TTAGTCTTGGTGCTGGTGCAGTCTTGTGGAGGTCCACTAGGTCCTCGTCTGTAGCTCAGTCCTGTTGTGAGGCAGAGATCTACTCTCGGGCTATGGCCGCTCAGGAGCTCCGTTGGCTGGCGTTCTTGCTCACCAACTTTCTATGTAAGCAACCTAGCACTGCCCCGGTCCTATTTGCTGATAACAGGGCCATGATCCTCTTGTGTCCGGAGACTAGACTTGATGGCAGGGCGAAGCACATCCAATTGCGGTACTTCCTGTTGCGGGAGTTGCAGCAGCGTGGCCAGACTCGTGTAGAGGCCAACACTGCTGATATCTTCACCAAGGCCTTAGGGCCTCGTGACCATCAGCGGTTCTATACTCAGCTTGGTCTAGACTCTGTATCCTGATCTATGGTATACCGGCTCTGTACTTGGTACTCTATACTTGCTACCTTGTCACACTTGGTGACTGGCCTTTTGGCCCTTGTCTCAGTGATCAAACTAGTTCTGCTCTGTGCTGTTTTATTACATATTTCAAGGGCTAGACTAATAGTGTTGCCCTAAATTACTATGTCTTATTAGACTCTGTCCCTACCCAAGCTAGGGGGTGTGTTGACATTTATATATATATTGGGAATATATATATATAAATATATATATATATATATATTGTAGCCTAGTTAGGATCAATTCTTAGAGAGTACAACACTTTGATATGTGACATAGTTCTATTCAACAATACATAGCTTCCTTTGACGTGCAAGCTAGATACGAGTATGATGCACCGTGCATGCATGGGATGTGAGTGTGATGACACGAAAGCTACTCATATGGAATGTAGTGAATTGAAGTGAATCGCTTATCATGGGACAGGTGCGGTGGGTGCCAAAAACATGTTATTTTCAGTGGTCATGGTGAGACACCCTGACTCGTGACTAGGGCATATGTTAACAATGTAATTTTCATGACTTGACTGAAAATCCAAGGTTTTTACTAGGCCGGCCCTGTATTTTCCAAGGCTTTTCCCAAGCCAGCCCTGAAATAATCAGGGAGTTTTTTCTACTGATCCGTAGAGTCCGATAGGGTTTTGAGGGGACCCGTACATCTGGGTAGTCGTGTAAGAATATCTCGAAATCCCCCAGCCATCCCTTTCCCCTAGCCCCACCCTTCCCTTCCCCAAGCTTGACGGCAGGGATTGTATAGTGTGAGTTCAACCATTTTCTTACGTTCATGTACCGTTTTGTGTGTTGCTGTCGTTTTTCCATACAGTTCAATGCGGTTAGAGTTGGGGAGGTGAACCATGCCCTGTGTTGCTATGTAGCTAGAACTTCACCTGTATTTCCGCACGTACTACCAGATCAATGGTCACTTCGCAGTAAGTTTCAAAATGAGCTGCGACGAACAAATGTTCACGCCACTCAAACTCGCCCCTTCCCTCCCCCCCCCTCTCCCCCCCCTCTTCCCAAATTTAGCTCCTTTGCAGCGGCCCAACTTCACGGGTGATGGTGAGGGGGTGAATGACACCACTGTCTGGTCCCGCAAAATAATGTGCATACTCCGTCAAGCCCTTTTAAAGCGAGTGGCCCAAGTAAGACCAAGACTCAAAGTCTTTGATTCTTGGTCCCGCTCGCCAACTTCGCGAAGTGGGGGCGAAACGATGGGCGAAAGGGAGATTGGGCGAAGGGAGGGACTTGGGTTGGCGACACTCGGTGACCATGAAAAAACATACAGTGTCGAGCACGTAAAGGAGGGTGTTCAAATATAACAAAATCGCTAATACTGAAGCCTCGCCGCCATGCAAAGGAGCCCCACGAACAGGACCAGCCACACAAGCCATAACACCCCAAGCGACACCCAACACGCAGCCATAAGGCTCGGAAAACTACCTAGGGCGACGAGGGGGCAACCCACGACGTGCGCCAAACACCGTCAACGGAATGCCAACTCCAGAGTCGTACGAAAGAGAGGGAACCCTAGAAATTCCCGATAGCCACCAAGCACAAGGTAGACTCGACAGAGACGAGGCACGGGGAAAGGAGCTGCGATAAACTAATTCGAACACTAGGCAGTGGCGAGAGAGGGGGAGCGCCGCACAAACTATCCGTAGCGTTGCAGGAACTATGGAATAACAAACCTGCGCCCTGAGCGACAAGGCAGGAGGGGCTCGCGCCGCATAAAAACGAGGGGAAAGGGAAGTGGAGACGTGCTTGGAGGCCTGCGCCCGACGGAAGGCGATCGAAGACAGGCGCGCCGAACACGCGCCTGATAAAACATGAGAAACGGACGATGGACCCCCGCCACTAGGTCTCGCATCAACTCCCCCGCTCCCCTGCACCAAGCACGCTCCCGTGGCACGGAAACCCCTCCCGTCGCGCGGGTTGGGACACGCTCTGCACCGCGCCCCCATCCACACTGTCGTCTGCAAGTCCATGGCACCACACTCCCTTGCTCCCCATCGTGCACAGCAGGAGCAGGGGAAACGGAGAAGGTTAGAGCGGGGTAAGGAGAGGTCGCTCTTAATTCCCTCAATGTCCGGCGCATTTGCCTTGCTGCCCCCGCGCCTGGTCCTTGCATTCCCTCGTACTATACCCCTTGCCTTCCCCGCATGACCCTTGTATTCCTCAACGCTCTCCTTCTCTGCATTGCCATCGCCTGTTCCCGCGTGTCCCCCCGATTTGGCCTGTACTTCCCCTCCGCTTATGCTCTGCTTGCCATCCCTTGCTCCCCACCGTGCCTATCCCTCCATGCGCAGTGCCTGATCGTATCCCTGCGCCGAACCATCCAGCGGTGCTCCCTTGCATTCCCTGGACCAGTTGCTTGCCGTTTCCCCTCATGTGTTCCTAGCTCTCAGCGGCATAGCCTTGTTTTCTTCGCGACAAATCCTTGCTTTGTGTATCTCTCGCCTAGCCATCGCCTATCATGTCGCTTCGCAATGGGGGGAAAAGAAAGCGCGACGAGGGGGAGGGAGAAGTGCGACAAGGAGGTGGGAGAAGCGCGACGAGGAGGAGCCCGAAGCGCCACGAGGATGAGGGAGAAGCGCGACGGAAGAGAAAGTGTCGCCCTGGGAAGAATACAGCGAAGGGCGGGAGTGCGCGCTTTTGGAAGAGTTGCAGGCGACGCGAGACAGAATAGGCGGGACGAGAGAGGGGAGAATCGACGAGAGAGTGAGTTGCCTTTTCGGAAGTGCGGGGGATCTTTTCCTGCCACCTCGCTGCCGCCATGGACTTCAGTCCCAAGAACCCAAACGCTCTGTATCTTGATTCTCATCGGGGTGTGGCTTTGTGGAGGCACTTCGTTCTGCGACATCTCACGCATTGGTGGGCTGTTAGGTGGCCAATCCACACCCGTCATTTTTGTGTTTCCAACCAGTCGCCCAATTATGGGATAACCCTGTTGACGTGGGTTGGGTTGGCGACGGATAAAAAATTCAGTCTTTGAGTCTTGGTCTTACTTGGGTCAAGCGAGGACCCTGAAGAATCAAGGAAATTCTCTCTGTTTTTCCTGGGTGGGATCCATCGGGGAAATTCTATTACGAGGACGGATTTTACAGGGCGATTTTTCGAGGGGCCCAGATCGTCCGAGGTGGCAAACAAAAAACCTAGCGAGAGCCCTGCTCGTTCGTGACACTTGAAAAGGCTGGAGGACTGCCTGCGTAGTTTGGATTGCATTCTCCTTCCGTCGTCGCATCATTCTGCCTGCTTGTACACATGACGTCCAGTGAACCGCACATTTGTCAGAAGCCCCATGCACTCGTCAGTCCCACTAGCACGGATTTACAGGCAACGGCCCGTCCTAGACTGGCCCAATTTTGGGCGGCTCAACCACTTGCGACACTGCTGGGAGCGAACATACAGAAGGAACAATCGTAGGTTGACTTGGAACCAGGGTGTGATTGTGCGACAGTTACCGGGGTACACGGGAGAAACAACGAATGTCTTCCATGTTCCAAGGGTCCTGCCAAACGGGTAACCATGATCCTACCTTCAGGCCCAATTTGCCAGCGATTTGAAGGCGTCCGTTACTGGAGTAACCGGCCAAAAAAAACTTGGGCCTCTTTCAGAACTCTAGTGTATCGCACAAGGATGTCCGTGCAGCTTGATTGGATGATTGGAAAAACCAAACGTAGATTACACACGGTGGTTGTTTTTCGTTGGACATCAGGTCAGGCCGAACTTCCCGGTCGGCTCGTGCCCATTGGACGGATGCAGGCGATGTTTTTATCATCCTGTCCACTACTGTTATGATGAGCCCCCCATGCCTGCAAAAGATTTCGACCACATGCCAGCACCACCCAGACATGTCACTGACCTCTCACTACAAGGGCTTGTTTTTGCCTGTTCAGAAACTCTTCATGCCACTTTGGTTGGATCCTCTGCGCCACCTTAGCAACCAAGGAGATCCGCTGTAACTCCTGACACGACGTATTTAACACGAGCCTAAATCGTGCTGTCCGAACCAAGAACAAGCCCTCTATAATTGGGGAGTTACGCTATGTAAAATCACCTCTCATTTGATACAGTACAGGACTCTGTAGATGTTTACTGTACATCAGTCCAGATGGCAAAAGCTCCAGTACAGTACAGTATTTGTGACCCTTTAACTTGCCACGGCGTTTTTTTTATGGTCATAAAGAAATGGCATGTTATTTGGCCTCCCGCAAATCTTACCTGACCCGGACATCACCAAGTTTACTAATGAGGGCGTGTTTTGGAATCCATGAAAGCCTCGAAGTGGGACTTCGGGGCATCGGTTATACGGCTGTGATCAAACATAGTGAGAGCTTGGGCGATCTCATTCGTACAATTGATGCCCCGAAGCCCTGCCTCGGGACTTTCCCCGAGCCCAGAACGGGCCCTGAGCTTGAGCTGTGCATGCCATTTGCACTTCCCTGGACAGTGCGCAGGGACCGTCGCCCAATCAGACAGGGCTGGGTCCAGCATATTTCAGCAGCAACCCTGCAGCTTGTTATCCAGGCATCAGTCCACCCACTACTGCTCCATCCTCCATTCTGGTTGCATCCTTGCCACTTCTGTCCTACTCCCCATCTTGTGAGAGAGCACTGACTTAGAACAACAGAACCATGGGGGTTTTTAGCAGAAACAGTGCTGTACCAAGGTTCATGAACCGACAACTCCCATAACATGAAGTTTCATATGAAACTCCGGGAGTTAAGATGCTGTTAGCATCCTGGCTGTCCGACCCTTTCAGAGAAATCTCTAACTACCCCTCCCTGTATTTTGAGGCTGCTCCAATAAACAGTGGCAGTTTCGGAAAGCGTTTTCCTGGAAGTCAGTAAACTGCTGTTTCTGACATTTTCAGAGACCTTGGCCTTTCGTCAAACCTCCGCGATTCCCGCAGCCGACTGAAAATGTCGGAGTTCCGGTCTCAAAGGTGCGTTCCTAATTTGCACCTTTTTTTTCTCCCCCTCTCTCTCTCTCTCTTTATGTCTTGTACTTTTTCTTTTTCTCTCTTTTCTCTCTTGTTCTTTCGTTTTCTTTTTCCATGCGTCATGAATTTCCAGCAGTGTTGCAGAAATTAGTTGTAAGACTCTTACGAATCTCATGCACTGCATCATAAATCACAAAAATGGCAGATCTGAAATCGATGGGAGCCAACCCTGCGGCGCGTCAACCATCCACCTTGGAAACAATCATCATGACATCCAGGCGCCGGCGGTTCCCCTCACTACTTTGGCTGAGTCGTCCATTGTTCACGCATCAACAGACCGGGGAGGAAACAGTCACACAGCAACCGGCGGTGGTGCAGAAAAGACAGGAATTACTGGCACTGAAGGCTCCAGTGACTCAGAAGAGCATGATCAGCTCAACTCAGTTCAAGACTTGAACTTGAACTCGGATCTCCATTTAAATGCATCTGGGCCGTTTCCAGACGATCCTAGCAGCATGGATCCCTTCCATGGTCATGGCCGCTTTCTTCAGCAGGCCCCCGGAGCCGTGACTCACGGAAGGAGCCAACAGCAGCACCATGGAAGGAGCCAACATGGAAACATGGATCCCACCATTACCGCCGCCGCTGCTGTGGCATGGTCTGCATCATCCTTCACGCAGCTGCTGTGTTCCGTCTCCCCGGCGTATCAGCTCCGGCGAAACATCCACCAGGAACACGTCATGACCAATGATGATCCCGAGGCCGGCAGCAGCAGCACCAGTCATATAAACCACGGTGATCCCGAGGAGAATCTGACCCCAGGAATGACTCCAGGAATGACTCCAGGAACGGAGTGGGTTGAAGAACAGCAGCAGCAGCCAACATCTGCGTCCATGCTGGTGCAGCAGTACCAGAATCTTGGAGTGCTACCCCCTGGCAGAGAGGTATTCTTCTCCGCCTTCGCCCAGAATCATCATCCCATGTCTCTCCATCCGACCACCAATTCTCGGTGTCATAATCCCGCTCCTTGTCTAACCGGAGAGCCTTTCAGGCCGGCTGTTTTCTCCCGCACGGCAGCACAAGAGCTTCTGGAAGCAGCATGCATCCCTTTTGGGGCACCTCAGAATGTCTTCTCAGGCACTGTGGCATCACATGAGCTTCTGGAAGCCGCACCCTCCCCTTTTGAAGCGTCTCCAGATGCCCTGCCAGACGCTGCAGCATCACACGAGCTTCTAGCAGCATCCGCCGCAGCATCGGGACACCACTCAGCAGCCCTTGTACCAGCTTCTGCTTTCCCTGCTTCAGCCCTTCCTGCTCTGTTTCAACCCGGACCGATGGTTTCGTCTGCAGCAGCTACTATGAGGCCGATCGGCCAAATGGATTCCTCCGTTGGTGTCGGGTGTACTAGTGCTGCCCCTAGTAGAGCTATCCTTTACCTGCCCGGGAGACCTTGCCCGCCGCCGCTGCCCGTGATCACGCACACTTGGGCTGGACGGACCCTGCCACAGCCTGCTGCCTCTGCTTGCTCCCCTGCTGCTACTGCTTTCTCCCCTGCTGCCACAGCCTTCTCTCCTGCCGTCTCTGGCGCTCCTGCTGCTGCCCCTGGCTCGCCTGTTGCTGCCCTTGGCCCTCGCAGACACTCCTTTCTCCCTGTTCCTGGTCGTGCCTCTTTTGAGGATGACTCGGTGTCTGCGTCGTCGTCAGTTCCATATCCTGGAATTGCTTGGGACGATGTTGTTGTGGCTGGCTGTGGTGCAGCTTCAGGGCATGGTGGCTTAGTGGCGGCCGCTGCTGCTGCTGCTGCTGGTACTGCTGTTGCCGCTGCTCGGGAAGAGGATATGGCTGCAAGTTATGGTGATGCAGTTGGGATGGATTATGGCAATGCTGGTGACGTGGATGTCGCTAGTGTCGCTGATGGCGCTGATGGTGCTGATGGTGCTGACTCCACCGCCTCTGCGAGCACGAATGAGCACGGCAGCACGAGCCAGAGTGAGTCGGATGCGCAATGATTACCTTATTCCACTGGTGCAGACTAAGGGCATGCTGTCAGCGCTGGTGACGGTGATGGCGCTGATGGCATGGCGCTGGTGACGCTGCTGACGCTAATGACACTAGTGGCGCCGACTCCACTGCGTCTGCGAGCACGCATGAGCACGGCATCACCAGCTAGAGTGGCTCAGAGACCGGATGATGATCGTCCTCCTCCTCGCCTCGTTCCAGGATGTGCAGCTCACTGCAGCTTCAGAGCTTGCTGGCACTGCAGGCGGGGGGTAGGTGCTGCTGCTCACGCTGCTGCTGCTGCTGCTGCTGCTGCTGCTGCTGCTGCTGCTGCTGCTGCTGCTGCTGCTGCTGCTGCTGCTGCTGCTGCTGCTGCTGCTGCTGCTGCTGCTGCTGCTGCTGCTGGCTGGCTGCTGGCTGGCTGCTGCTGCTGCTGCTGCTTGCTGCTGCTGCTGCTGCTGCTGCTGCTGCTGCTGCTGCTGCTGCTGCTGGCTGCTGCTGCTGGCTGCTGCTGCTGCTGCTGCTGCTGCTGCTGCTGCTGCTGCTGCTGGCTGCTGCTGGCTGCTGCTGCTGCTGCCTGGCTGCTGCTGCTGCTGGCTGCTGCTGCTGCTGCTGCTGCCTGCTGCTGCTGCTGCTGGCTGCTGCTGCTGGCTGCTTGCTGCTGCTGCTGCTGCTGCTGCTGCTGCTGGCTGCTGCTGCTGCTGCTGCTGCTGCCTGCCTGCTGCTGCTGCTGGCTGCTGCTGCTGGCCTGCTGCTGCTGCTGCTGCTGCCTGCTGGCTGCTGCTGCTGCTGCTGCTGCTGCTTGCTGCTTGCTGCTGCTGCTGCTGCTGCTGGCTGGCTGCTGCTGCTGCTGCTGCTGCTGCTGCTGGCTGCTGCTGCTGCTGCTGCTGCTGCTGCTGCTGCTGCTGCTGCTGCTGCTGCTGGCTGCTGCTGCTGGCTGCTGGCTGCTGCTGCTGCTGCTGCTGCTGCCTGCTGCTGCTGGCTGCTGCTGCTGCTGCTGCTGCTGCTGCTGGCTGCTGCTGCTGCTGCTGCTGCTGCTGCTGCTGCTTGGCTGCTGCTGCTGCTGCTGCTGCTGCTGCTGGCTGCTGCTGCTGCTGCTGCTGCTGCTGCTGCTGCTGCTGCTTGCTGCTGCTGCTGCTGCTGCTGCTGCTGCTGCTGCTGCTTGCTGCTGCTGCTGGCTGCTGCTGCTGCTGCTGCTGCTGCTGCTGCTGCTGCTGCTGCTGCTGCTGCTGCTGCTGCTGCTGCTGCTGCTGCTGCTGGCTGCTGCTGCTGCTGCTGCTGCTGCTGCTGGCTGCTGCTGCTGCTGCTGCTGCTGCTGCTGCTGCTGCTGGCTGCTGCTGCTGCTGCTGCTGCTGGCTGCTGCTGCTGCTGGCTGCTGCTGCTGCTGCTGCTGCTGCTGGCTGCTGCTGCTGCTGCTGCTGCTGCTGCTGGCTGCTGCTGCTGCTGCTGCTGCTGGCTGCTGCTGCTGCTGCTGCTGGCTGCTGCTGCTGCTGCTGCTGCTGCTGCTGCTGCTGCTGCTGCTGCTGCTGCTGCTGCTGCTGCTGCTGGCTGCTGCTGCTGCTGGCTGCTGCTGCTGCTGGCTGCTGCTGCTGCTGCTGCTGGCTGCTGCTGCCTGCTGCTGCTGCTGCTGCTGCTGCTGCTGCTGCTGCTGCTGCTGCTGCTGCTGCTGCTGCTGCTGCTGCTGCTGCTGCTGCTGCTGCTGCTGGCTGCTGCTGCTGCTGCTGCTGCTGGCTGCTGCTGCTGCTGCTGGCTGCTGCTGCTGGCCTGCTGCTGGCTGCTGCTGCTGCTGCTGCTGTGCTGCTGCTGCTGCTGCTGCTGCTGCTGCTGCTGCTGCTGCTGCTGCTGCTGCTGGCTGCTGCTGCTGCTGCTGCTGCTGCTGGCTGCTGCTGCTGCTGCTGCTGCTGCTGCTGCTGCTGCTTGCTGCTGCTGCTGCTGCTGCTGCTGCTGCTGCTGCTGCTGCTGCTGCTGCTGCTGCTGCTGCTGCTGCTGCTGCTGCTTGCTGCTGCTGCTGCTGCTGCTGCTGCTGCTGCTGGCTGCTGCTGCTGCTGCTGCTGCTGCTTGCTGCTGCTGTGCTGCTGCTGCTGCTGCTGCTCTGCTGTGCTGCTGCTGTGCTGCTGCTGCTGCTGCTGCTGCTGCTGCTGCTGCTGCTGCTTGCTGCTGCTGCTGCTGCTGCTGCTGCTGCTGCTGCTGCTGCTGCTGCTGCTGCTGCTGCTGCTGCTGCTGCTGCTGCTGGCTGCTGCTGCTGCTGCTTGCTGCTGCTGCTGCTGCTGCTGCTGCTGCTGCTGCTGCTGCTGCTGCTGCTGCTTGCTGCTGCTGCTGGCTGCTGCTGCTTGCTGCTGCTGCTGCTGGCTGCTGCTGCTGCTGCTGCTGCTGCTGCTGCTGCTGCTGCTGCTGCTGCGCTGCTGCTGCTGCTGCTGCTGCTGCTGCTGCTGCTGCTGCTGCTGCTGCTGCTGCTGCTGCTGCTGCTGCTGCTGCTGCTGCTGCTGCTGCTGCTGCTGCTGCTGCTGCTGCTGCTGCTGCTGCTGCTGCTGCTGCTGCTGCTGCTGCTGCTGCTGCTGCTGCTGCTGGCTGCTGGCTGTCTGCTGCTTGCTGCTGCTGCTGCTGCTCTGCTGCTGCTGCTCTGCTTGCTGCTGCTGCTGCTGCTGCTGCTGCTGCTGCTGCTGCTGCTGCTGCTGCTGCTGCTGCTGCTGCTGCTGCTGCTGCTGCTGCTGCTGCTGCTGCTGCTGCTGCTGCTGCTGCTGCTGCTGCTGCTGCTGCTGCTGCTGCTGCTGCTGCTGCTGCTGCTGCTGCTGCTGCTGCTGCTGCTGCTGCTGCTGCTGCTGCTGCTGCTGCTGCTGCTGCTGCTGCTGCTGCTGCTGCTGCTGGCACGGCTGCTTGCTGCTTCGGTGCAGTGCAGGGGCATCCATGAGCAGGGGCATCAGCTGTGCTGCTGCTCTATGGGGAGTAGCTCAGAAGAATGCTCCAAGATCCACATGCCGTACAACCGTGGAGCTGGGATGACTAGAGGCCTCTGCACGCTTCAAGGCAGCCGCGGTGATAAGTAGGGGCGGCTGCCACGCGTCCGTGCATTTATAAATTCATTTCCGGCCTCTTAATCCGGTGTGCCGCCCCTGCTGGTGCTTCCAGCATCTGCATGTGCAATACTGCAGATCAGAGGCGCGGCAGGTGAGACTTCCATAGTACGGCGGTAACAGAGTGCCGTATTTGTGAGGCTTTCATGTGGCGCATGCTAGCTGTGCTCCCGGCCGAGTTGTGAAGAAATAGCAGCCACTTCTGCCTCGAATGAATAACCAGCCCTAGTTCCTTCGGAGTCGACCCTCAGCTGCCGAAAAATATGTGTTGACAGCGCTTGACTTGACATTTGCAGAGCCAGAATTACACTGTAGAGCATAAATTATAGGAAATTACAGGGAAAAAAAAAATGATAACCTTCACACGACACAGCTCAGGAAAACGTGTTGTTATGGATGGAGCGCTTGACAGCCAGCTGTCAGGCGATATCAATTTGACACTGCTCAAGCCATCTGTAGCTAAAAAACGGATGGGTGTCGCTCAGAAGTCTGAAGTAGTGGAGCAGAAGCAGGCAGGAGCCAGCAGAAAATTGCTGCTGAAACATGCCTCATACGTCAAACTCGTGGAGCACGGTGCTATCAGCAGGCCGTCCACCAAGGATGGTCACCTTCCCAGCGTCGAGGTTGAAGAGGGCGCTGTGCAGGGTGTGGATCACAGGGCCTGGCGATAATGCAGGCAGGGGGGGCCGGGGAGGGGGGGGGGGGGGAGTGGGGAGGGGAGGATGGGGAGGGAACAGAGGTGAGTGGCGCATGCGGGGAAGGTGGACACCCTTCCACCATGCAGGTAGAAAAGGGCGCTGTGCAGCGTGTGGATCACAGGGCCTGGCGATAATGCAGGGAAGGGGGTGGACAGGAGAGGGGGGGGAAGGGGAGGGATCAAATGGAGGGAGCAACGGAGGGAGCAACGGAGGGAGCACCGGAGGGAGCAACGGAGGGAGCAACGGAGGGAAAGAGGTGAGGAGGGAGAATGGGCAGTTTCCTGGCATCGAGGTCGAAGAGGGCGCTTGGAGGGTGTGGGTCACAGGGCCTGGGGGAAGGGAGAGGGGAATGACTTTTGAGTCGACTCAAAAGGGCCTGGGGGAAGGGTGAGGGGAATGACTGGGAGGGATGGAAGAAGAGAAGGTGTAGCAGGAGGGGGGGGGAGGGGGGCCGGGAAAGCAGCGTGCACGCAGGGAAGGTGGGCATTTTTTAGAAATCTCAAAAAAAAGTAATTTCCAAGCGTCAAGGTTTGAAGAGGGAGTGTAGTGCAGACCACAAGGCCTGAGAATCATGTAGGCCGGAGGGTGGGGGAGGGAGAGGCGGGGGGGGGTGGGGGGTGTTGAAACAGTGCGTGAGGCACAGCGTGAGTGCTTGGAAGGGCCTTTTTTGAGTCGACTCAAAAATCACAGGCGGGGGGGAGGGTGTTGAAACAGTGCGTGAGGCACAGAGTGAGTGCTTGGAACAACCACTTCCCACTTCCTGCTGTAAAGGGGATACCCTCATTGAAGGGATACTCCAAATGTACACACACACACACACATACACACACTACCCTCCTCTCTTCTTCACACATGCTTCTCAACACAACCCCTCACACACGCCCACTCCGCTGCTCGCACTTCCTGCCTGCACAGGAGAGAAAAAAACGACCGAGACTTTTTTGCTGAAAGTTTCCGAAACCGCAAAATATCCATCCTGCTGACACGTACACCTTGCCTCGTACACCTTGCCTCGTACTCGTACACCTTGCCTCGTACTCGTACACCTTGCCTCGTACTTGTACACCTTGCCTCGTACACCTTGCCTCGTACACCTTGCCTCGTACACCTTGCCTCGTACACCTTGCCTCGTACACCTTGCCTCGTACACCTTGCCTCGTACACCTTGCCTCGTACACCTTGCCTCGTACACCTTGCCTCGTACACCTTGCCTCGTACACCTTGCCTCGTAAACCTTGCCTCGTACACTTTGCCTCGTACACCTTGCCTCGTACACCTTGCCTCGTACACCTTGCCTCGTACACCTTGCCTCGTACACCTTGCCTCGTACACCTTGCCTCGTACACCTTGCCTCGTACACCTTGCCTCGTACACCTTGCCTCGTACACCTTGCCTCGTAAACCTTGCCTCGTACACTTTGCCTCGTACACCTTGCCTCGTACACCTTGCCTCGTACACCTTGCCTCGTACTTGTACACCTTGCCTCGTACACCTTGCCTCGTACACCTTGCCTCGTACACCTTGCCTCGTACACCTTGCCTCGTACACCTTGCCTCGTACACCTTGCCTCGTACACCTTGCCTCGTACACCTTGCCTCGTACACCTTGCCTCGTACACCTTGCCTCGTACACCTTGCCTCGTAAACCTTGCCTCGTACACTTTGCCTCGTACACCTTGCCTCGTACACCTTGCCTCGTACACCTTGCCTCGTACACCTTGCCTCGTACACCTTGCCTCGTACACCTTGCCTCGTACACCTTGCCCTCGTTGAAGACCGGAAACTCCTTGTCAACATTCTACCCTTCTCTCCCCCCTTCACGCATCAAACGCAAACACCTCCTCCTCATGCACCCTCACTCAACCCCCTCACACCGCCCTGGACCTCTCACCTCCTGCCTCGTAGACCTTGCCCTCGTTGAAGATGGGGTAGTCCTTGTCGTCCGCGCTGGATAGAATCTGCGAGGGTTCAGGGGACAACAGTCGAGAGAGGCATGAGAAGATGCGGTACTCCTTGTCGTCCGCGCTGGATAGAATCTGGTGGTCAGAGCAACGAGCGGGTTCAGGGTCCATGGGGGAGCGAGACGGGCGAGGGGGGAAGGGCTTCCCTCGCTGCAATGGGAAACGCCGTGTCTAAAAGCGGGATAGAATTAGGCCCAGGAGACACACGAGAGGAGGGCAGCCGGGAGTATGGCAGACGAGAGGAGGGCAGCCGGGAGTATGGCAGACGAGAGGAGGGCAGCCGGGAGTATGGCAGACGAGAGGAGGACAGCCGAGGGGAGGGCAGCCGAGGGGAGGGAAAACGAGCGAGAGATGGAAAAACTGCATGAGGAGGTCGAGGAGAAGGAGGAGGAGGAGGAGGAGGAGGAGGAGGAGGAGGAGGAGGAGGAGGAGGAGGAGGAGGAGGAGGAGGAGGAGGAGGAGGAGGAGGAGGAGGAGGAGGAGGAGGAGGAGGAGGAGGAGGAGGAGGAGGAGGAGGAGGAAGAGGAGGAGGAGGAGGAGGAGGAGGAGGAGGAGGAGGAGGAGGAGGAGGAGGAGGAGGAGGAGGAGGAGGAGGAGGAAGAAGCAATCACCCTTGGTACCAATCCAGTGCTGCTCACTTGCTTGGTATAATCACAACACGACTCACATTGAGAATGTCCCGGGTGCCTGTGGGCGCGCCCAGCCTTCTGGCAGTGGCCTCCCTGCGGTGAGAGCTGGGCCCCATCTTCTGGGGGAGGTGCAGTCTGGTGTAGGCGTTGGCATGGAAGATGTATTCTACCCCTTCAGCAGCACCGGCAGCACCAGCGACAGCAGCATCCGCAGCAGCAGACCCACTCACTCCTCTTTCCTTCCTCTCCCCCTCCACCCTCTCCTCCCCCCCCGAATCCGCCTGGCTTCCCAGCTTGGGGTTTGGCCCCAGCTCCAGGACGCTATGGCGGCCGTTGGATGCGGTTTCAACGGACGCGATTCGCCGGCGGGCGAAGTCCATCAGCACGTAGTGATGCCCCACCGCCACCGCTGGGCCAGTCACACGCTGCCACGTGGGAGAATGTAGAATGGGAGGGGGTTGAGCAAAGGAAGGGGAGTGGGAGCAAGCAAGGGTGGCTGGATTTCAACTGGGAAAGAAGAGGTGAATGTGAGTAACCTTGCTTGCCATGCACAAGTGCAATTAGCACTTGACATTGCTAGCTGGCTTGCTAGGCTTGCACCAGTAGGAAACGGCCGTTGGAGGGTGGTAAATCTGCAGCAATCATCGCTATGATCAACCCTTGATAATCACACCCCTCGCAAAATCACATCCCAGGCATCCCAAGAACATGACACCCCTTCCTAATTTTGTGCCTCAAACCACTAGATTTGTTTTTGAGGCGCCTCATTTTTGAGGCGCCTCAAAAATAGACGCCTCAAACCACTAGCTTTCTTTTTGAGGCGCCTAAAAAATAGCTTTGTTTTTTAGGCGCCTCAAAAATAGACACCGCTTCCTCATTTTGTGCCTCAAACCACTAGCTTTGTCTTGTGTCACGTTCCCCTACTGTCACTCGGTACAGTCACACTCACCTGCACGGCATCCCGAGCAATGAAGTTCCGAACCCCTAGGACCACATTTGTTGCACTCAAACTCATCACACTCGTTACAGTCAAGCTCACCACTCGTTACAGTCACCCTCACCACTTGTTACAGTCAAACTCACCAGTCGTTACAGTCACACTCACCCACTCGTTACAGTCACACTCACCTCACTCGTTACAGTCCCGCTCACCTGCACGGCATCCTCTATGCAGCGCGCCTCCATGAGGCTGCGAGCCACAAAGTTGCGCCCGATGCCCCCCCTCACCACCTCTGAGGGCGCCGGGGGCACTGCGTCCATGGAGAAGCCCTGGGGAAAAAAGAGGGGCGAAAGTGCCAAGGGGGAGGTGAGAACATCTGGTCAATAGAGCAGAGTCTGTGAGCAGAGTCTGTGAGCAGAGTCTGTGAGCAGAGTCTGTGAGCAGAGTCTGTGAGCAGAGTCTGTGAGCAGAGTCTGTGAGCAGAGTCTGTGAGCAGAGTCTGTGAGCAGAGTCTGTGAGCAGAGTCTGTGGGCAGAGTCTGTGAGCAGAGTCTGTGAGCAGAGTCTGTGGAGGCGAGAGGTCTGTGAGCAGAGTCTGTGAGCAGAGTCTGTGAGCAGAGTCTGTGAGCAGAGTCTGTGAGCAGAGTCTGTGAGCAGAGTCTGTGAGCAGAGTCTGTGAGCAGAGTCTGTGAGCAGAGTCTGTGAGCAGAGTCTGTGAGCAGAGTCTGTGAGCAGAGTCTGTGGAGGCAGAGGTCTGTGAGCAGAGTCTGTGAGCAGAGGTGGCAGGTCTGTGAGCAGAGTGAGTCTGTGAGCAGAGTCTGTGAGCAGAGTCTGTGAGCAGAGTCTGTGAGCAGAGTCTGTGAGCAGAGTCTGTGAGCAGAGTCTGTGAGCAGAGTCTGTGGGCAGGTCTGTGAGCAGAGTCTGTGAGCAGAGTGTGGGGATCAAGAGGAGCCCTCCCTCTCCCTGCACCACCTCTGAGGGCGCTGGGGCACCGCGTCCATGGAGAAGCCCTGGGGAAGGGGATGAGTGAGAGGGCAGTCAAAGGGGGAAGTAGAGAACCCCAGGGTGAGAAGAGGAAGCAAGAAAGTTGCAGCCCTGACCTCCCTTCACCACCTCTGACGGGCGCATGGGGGTACCGCGTCCGTGGAGAAGCCCTGGGGGAAAGGGGGTGAGAGGGTAGTCAGTGGGGAAGTAGAGAACCAGGGGTGAGAAGAGGGAGCAACAATGGTGTGGGGGAGAAGCCCAGCACAGGAAAAGGAGAGTACAGGAGTGAGAACAAGCACTCCAAGCAGCAGACATGCACCCTGACTGCGTAGGTATATGCCACGAAAGCAATGCCACCAGCTCACCATTCAGCCACCAGCTCACAATTCTGCCACCAGCTCACCATTCACGCACTGTTGAAGGCAAGAGCGAGCGAAGGCAGCTCGTCCGCATAAGTGTATGCCGTGAAAGCAATGCCACCAACTCACCTTCCAGTCACCAAACTCACCATTCAGTCAGTCACTCACCATTCAGTCACTCACCATTCAGTCACTCACCATTCAGTCACTCACCATTCAGTCACTCACCATTCAGTCACTCACCATTCAGTCACTCACCATTCAGTCACTCACCATTCAGTCACTCACCATTCAGTCACTCACGACTACCATCCGCGCACTGTTGAACGCAAAGGCTATGGACAGCAGCTCGCCCGCATAGGTGATTTTTGAGTCGACTCAAAAGACGTACCATCCATAGGCTATGGACAGCAGCCTCAAAAGACGTACCATCCATAGGCTATGGCAAGGTGATTGTTGAACGCCAAGGCTCACATAGGCTATGGACAGCAGCTCGCCCACATAGGTGTGCACCGTGAAAGCAACACCACCAACTCACCAGTCAGCCACTGAAGGCTCACCATCCATCCACACATGGCACTTACCATCCGCGCACTGTTGAAGGCAAAAGCAATTGAAGGCAATTCGCCTGCATAGGTGTACGCCGTGAAAGCAACGCCGCTGTCAGAATGCATGTGCACGAGGAAGCTGCAAGGAAATGATGCAGTAAGTGGGGGGGAAGGGAAAGAAAGGGAGGATGCAGAAAGCATCGAGGAAGGGCGGCTTTGGCATGACATGGCATAACATGAGCATGACATGGCATTGCAAGGGCATTGGCAGGGCGTGTCGCTTACCAGTTATCCACAATCGAGTAGTCCGCATCCTCGTTATGCCCCACTGCTGCCACGTCATCAGTGAGCAGCAACACGTCAGTGCAGTCGTCAGACGCCATGCCATACTGCAGCGCCCTGTCTGACGTGGCAGCACCTCCTGCTGCTGCTTGACATTCATCAGCCCCCAGAGCCGGTTCTTGTAGTGCTGCTGACGTGGCAGGTGTGCTTGACGTGGCAGGAGTGTCTGACGTGGCAGGCGAGCCGAGAGAGGGCAGGAAGGCGCCGAACTCCTTGCGAAGATTCAGAAGCAGCAGCTGACGTGGACGGAGTGGGAAGTAGGTAGGGTACAGCAGGGCAGAAGCTGACGTGGATGGATGGAGTGGGTAGAAGGTTGGTTTCAGCACAGCAGAAGCATGGGTCGGGTAAGCGTCATGGGATCGGGTGAGAATGCAACGGGCGACAGTTACAATAACGGGTGAGAGTGCAACGGGCGAGAGTTACTATAACCGCCGCCAGAGTAGCAGCAGCACCTTATGCGGGTGGAGACTGAAACGAAACACAGGTGAAACCGTGGCGAAGCGTCAATCGCTCACCTCGTGCAACGGACCGCAGCTCATCTTTTCAAGGGGGCCACAGCTCATCTTACCAAACAGACCGCAGCTCACCTCGTCGAACGGCACGCAGCTGCCTGCCGCCATGCCTCTTAGCTCCTCCCAATAATCCGGGTATAGCGCCCTGCCGCGGGGACCGAGGCACAGAGAGTGATGCCGACACTATTGGAGTGATTATAAGGACTAAAACAGCTGCCTGCCGCCATGCCTCGCAGCTCCTCCCGGTAACTCGGGTGTAGCGCCCTGCGGTGGGGATTGGGACACAGTATTGGGCTAGGTGAGGCGAGGCGCGTGGATAACACAATAAGGGAAGCCAAGGGAAGAGAGGGTCGACGTGAGCAGATGACTTTTGAGTCGACTCAAAAGGCACCTCGTTGCGAAGGGAAGAGAGGGTACACGTGAGCAGGGGAAGTGAGAGTGTGTAATGAGTCGATTTTTTAGTCGACTCAAAAATCGACTCATTACACACGGAGCAGGGAAAGTGAGAGGCGACGTAGGGAGGGGCCAGTGAGTTGACATCACAGCTTTACATTGCGTGGGGTTCGTCTTGGACGGTTGGAAGAAAGTGCAGTGGGTGGTTATGTACTCGTCACAAGGAGTTATTACTACTGGTTAGACCTGAGACGTCTCCTGCAACCACTATCACAAGCGGATCAAAATAATGGGGCCTCGTGGCTCCAAATACGGACTCCCTACAGGCGTCTCGTGGACTCGCTTGTTCAACTCGAAAATCGCTTCCACGAGAGACGCTCGTTCGAGTTGTAGGGCGGCTCAACACACGGAGACCAGAGACAGGAGACCACGAGCGCGGACTTAATACCTGTTAGACTCGGAGAGCGTCTCCAGAAGCCACGCCCCCTCGCCCGTCCGTGCGAACGGGATCATGTCGTCATGCAGAAACGGCGCCTTGGCGACGCGATCGCGGATCTTGTCGCCGAATCGCACACCGATCGCACAGCCGCGCTCGAACGGGCTGCCAGACACCTCGAGGCATTCGAGCGGCCTAGGGACTGCCGACGCGCTGACTGCGCACGCGTTCGCTGACGTGGCTCTTGCTGATGCTGCTCTGGCTGACGTGGCGCGAGCGGTAGATTTGGAGGGGGGTGACGTTAGTAGGCCGGCGGATGCGAAAGGAGGTCGCACGCTGACTTGCGAGTGAGTCATGGGGTCTGCGACGGTTGGCGACTTGGCGAAAGCGGACAATCAATGTTACGGAACTTGCGTTACCACTGGTACTGGCAGTGGAAGGACAATACGCGAATGCTCGAGGATGGCTGCTCGTGGGCGGACTATAGTATGTTCTAGAGACGACTCTCGTCCCTAGGTACTAAGTATGCTCGCTGAAGATGCGGTACTAATTGACATATCCTGGGGTGCAGGGTGTGGGTCCTCGTATGGTGGCTTGAGAGGAATCATGCCACGAAGCGCCAAGTCACCCGTGCATAGCATGTCGGCATTTGGCCAAGAAAATAGGGATGAGATCAACCGCACTCACATTATGTATGAAAATCTGTAGGGAGCACTTAGGGAACTCTCTAGGCCTACATAACTCTTCGTGTCGCGCCCAAACCAGAAACGGGGATGATCCGCCAAAGGGGGACGCATTGAGCGGTGAGTGCGCTACAGTACTCAATTGTTCAGAGATCAACCACGCTTCTCAATAAGGAAGTAGTGCAAGATGCTTATTTATGCTCACAATTGTTGTGATACCGTGATGAAGTCTTCGAACAAGTCAAACAAGGTATTTCCTGAACGCTATCATTATCATCTGTGACTTTCGTATGTGCCAAATTCTCAACTAGGTTGCCGCAACGCTACAATTATCAAACAAGCAAGCAAGTTTGCTCTAACAAGTGCTGCGAATTGCAATGCAAGAAAAAATTGAACCCCTCACTCCCCCCCCACCCCCCCACCCCCTCTCCCCCTCTTCCCTCTGCAATCTGTCTGATTGGCTTTGGAGTACGGGCCTTCAGCATGTGTTGGAGATAGTCAAGGGATCATATCTTACGCAATAAACATATGTATACAGTGCACATATATACATGGATAAATACACTGAATGGATGGAAAGGCATGCGGCTCATAATGTGTGGCCAATTGCCAAAAGGAGAAAAAAACTCTACGAGGGCCCGGTTTGCTTTTGTAGTGCCTCAAAGGCAAACAACAGAGGCCCCATGCAACTTGGATGTTTGGGGGCGCCTCAACGGAACATGCTGCTCATATGTGACTTACGTATGTCTCAATGTCACAGGCACGATGACGCTCAGTAGATCCGCGACTCCCATGTTGCTCATACACCTCTCTATCGTCCCTCAAATGCCAAACTCGTGGAGCACGTTGCCATCAGTGGACCGTCCCCCAAAGATGGACAGTTTTCCGGCATCCAGGTTGAAAAGGGTGCTGTGGAGGGTGTGGATCACAGGGCCTGGGGGAAGGAGGGAGGGGATGAAGGGAGGGAGGGGGGGGGGGGGGCGGGTATATGATTAAATGGAGGTGAGTATAACATGTTGGTAACAAGATGGACAAATTCCCAGCATCCAGGTTGAAAAGGGGGCTGTGGAGAATGTGCATCACGAGGAGGATGTGGATCACGAGGAGGAAGTGCTTTTCGTGAGGACTTCTTGAGAACTTTTGAGAACTTTCAACACATATGATAACTCACAAGAAATCCAGAGAGAGATTCTCATAAATCTCTCACAAGAATCTCGAGAATTTGAAATTTTCATGTAACGGGGAGGAAGAGTTGGCAGGGTGTAACCCACGGTGCCTGCGACAGTGGTAGTTGCCAGCATAGAATCCGCACTCACGCTGCATCAAACGAGTTTGCCTCATTGACGAGGAGATTCTCCCTGCCTACCCTACCCTAATCCCCTCTTTACCTCTGTCACTCAAACTCACTCAAACTCACTCAAACTCACTCAAACTCACTCAAACTCACTCAAACTCACTCAAACTCACTTAAACTCACTCAAACTCACTCAAACTCACTCAAACTCACTCAAACTCACTCGCACCCCTCACACCCCTGCACTGTTCCTACCCTATCCTACCGTGCCCTATGTTACCCTACCCCCCCTCTTCACACGTGTTACCCAACATCACACGCTCACACTGCAGTCACTCACCGCCTGCCTCGAAGGGGTTGCCCTCGTTGAAGATGGGGTACTCCTTGTCATCCGAGTTGGACAGAATCTGGCGGGAGTTGAGAGAGGAGACGAGAAGGAGACACGAGATAGGCACAGGATGAGAAGGAGAGACGAGATAGGCATGAGAAGGGAGCGACGAGAGAGGCATGAAAAGGGGCTGCTTTCGTTGAAAATGGAGTAGTAACCTGGGATATTGCCCAACCACTCCCCCCCCCCTCCCCTCTTCAATGGAACCTTGCCAGCCATCCCACTCCTTGTCCCTGCGGCACTCCAACCCAAACCCCCTTTACCATCACCAGCTCTGACCCCCCCCCTACCGCATGCATATGCGTGGGAAAAAACAAGAGCTGCGGATGTGTTAATGCATGCATGTGGGGAGTCTCACTCCCTTTGAGAATCTCCAGGGTGCGTGTGGGGAGAAAACGAACTGTGGGTGCACACAGGCATGGTGTTTTCTTGTAGTCACACTCACTTCAAGAATATCCTGGGTGGTTGTGGGTGCGCCCAGCCTTCTGGCAGTGGCCTCTCTGCGGTGAGCGCTGGGCCCCATCCTCTGGGGGAGGTGCAGTCTGGTGTAGGCGTTGGCATGGAAGAGAGACGCCGTCCCTTCAGCAGCAGCAGCAGCAGTACCAGCAGCAGCAGGACCCTTCTCAGAACCACTCACTCTTCTTTCCTTCCTCTCGTCCTCCACCTCCTCTCCCTCTCTCACACTCATGCCATTCATCATCTTCTGACTCACTCCTAACACCTCCCGCTCCTCCTCTCCCCCCTCCCCCCCCTTCTCCCCACGTGAATCCGCCTGGCTTCCCAGCTTGGGGCTTGGCCCCAGCTCCAGGATGCTGTGGCGGCCGTTGGATGCGGTTTCAACGGACACGATTCGCCGGCGGGCAAAGTCCATCAGCACGTAGTGATGCCCCACTGCCACCGCTGGGTCAGTCACACGCTGCCACGTGGCACGTGCGGATATGGAGGGGGATGTCAGAGGAGAGGGGAGAGGGGGATAGGAGCCGGAGAGGAGGGGGAGGTATACTAAAGAAGTGAGTGGCTCGCACAGAGCGCACCACTCGATAGCGGTGCTACCTCTGCTGGGATAGGAATGGACTCGGGGAAATCACAGGGCCACGGGATTCTGCCTATTTTTCATCCGCCCCTTCCCCCCCCCCCCCCCCCCCCCGATAATCAATATCACACCCTAACATATCATGCCGCCCCTCCCAAGAATATAAAGCTCCCAATCACCTTGCTCCCCAGAACTCTTCACCTGTCTATTGCCACGTTTCCCAACAGCCCCACTCACTACAGGCACACTCGTTGCATTCACACTCATTACATTCACACTCGTTCGTCCCACATGAGAACACAGAGTCGTTCCAGTCACACTCGTTACAGTCACACTCGTTACAGTCCCACTCGTTACAGTCTCCCATTACACTCTCACCTGCACGGCATCCTCTATGCAGCGCGCCTCCATGAGGCTGCGAGCCACAAAGTTGCGCCCTATCCCTCCCTTCCCCACCTCTGACGGCGCCGGGGGCAGCGCGTCCATGGAGAAGCCCTGGGGAAAAAAGAGGGGCGAAAGTGCCAAGGGGGAGGCGAGAACATCTGGTCAATAGAGCAGAGTCTGTGAGCCTGTGTGTCTGTGGGGGAAGTTGCGCCCGATGCCTCCCTTCACCACCTCTGACGGCCCTGGGGGTACCGCGTCCATGGTGAAGCCCTGGGGAAGAGAGAGCAAGGAGAGCAGAGGAGTGAGAGAACACAAGCTGCGAGCAACAGAGTTGTGCTCTATCCCTCTCCTCACCACTTCTGAAAGGGACCATATGAAAGGCAGAAGGGCACAGCGGCAGGCATGTCTTGAGGCACCTCAAAGTACTGCTTTTGAGGCGCCTCAATATACTGCTTTTCGTGAGGACTTCTTGAGGCGCCTCAGGCAGGCAGGCAGGCAGGCGGGCGGGCGGGCGGGCGGGCGGGCGGGCAGGCAGGCAGGCAGCGGCGGCACTCCTGAGCGATGGGTTTGCGCCAGACAGCCACTCAGTCTTCTGCTCTTGAATTGGTTTTTGAGAGTTCTCAAAATCCAGATAGCCACCTCTGTCTTCTGCTCTTTGATCTCACCACGCGAGCGTCGTTGAAGCCGAAAGCTAAGGTGACTCTACACTCGAGTCAATAGTCACTCAGTCTTCTGCTCTTTGATCTCACCACGCGAGCAACGTTGAAGCCGAAAGCTAAGGTGACTCTTCAGTCGAGTCAATAGTCACTCAGTCTTCTGCTCTTTGATCTCACCACGCGAGCAACGTTGAAGCCGAAAGCTAAGGTGACTCTTCACTCGAGTCAATAGTCACTCAGTCTTCTGCTCTTTGATCTCACCACGCGAGCAACTTTGAAGCCGAAAGCTAAGGTGACTCTTCAGTCGAGTCAATAGTCACTCAGTCTTCTGCTCTTTGATCTCACCATGCGAGCGTCGTTGAAGCCGAAAGCTACAGAGGGCAGCTCGCCCGCATAGGTGTACGCCGTGAATGTGACACCACTGTCAGAATGCATGTGCACGAGGAAGCTGCGAGGAAATGACGCAGGGCGGGAAGGAAACGGAAAGGAAGGGAGGATGTGCAGGGCATGGCATGCCATAACATGAGCAGGACATGGCATGCCATAACATGAGCAGGACATGGCATGCCATAACAAGCATGGCATAACATGAGCAGGACATGGCATGGCATAACATGACCATGGCATGCATGGTATAGGCAGGCATGGACATGGCGTGGTCTCCCATGCACATGTGTCCATGGCATGGCATGGCTTGCCACTCACGTATTATCCACAATCGAGTAGTCAGCATCCTCGTTGTGGCCCACAGCTGCCACGTCATCAGTGAGCAGTAACACGTCAGAACAGTCGTCAGACGCCATTCCATACTGCAGCGCCCTGTCTGACGTGGCAGCACCTCCTGCTGCTTTAACTCCAGTAGCTGACAAGGCCAGCTCTGGCAGAACTGCTGACGTGGCAGGTGTGTCTGACGTGGCATGCCCATTGAGAGAGGGCAGGAAGGGGCCAAACTCCTTGCGAAGATTCAGAAGCAGCAGCTGACGTGGACGGAGTGGGTAGTAATAGGGTACAACAGGGCAGGACAGGACACAGTGGGAAAAGGTAAGTGTGGAGCGGGAGAGAGCCTTGGCTACAGAGGAGAGGGGAGAGGAGAGATGGAGAGCAAGTGAGGGGAGATAAGCACGGAGAGCAAAAGATGAGCACCTGAAGAGCACCTGAAGAGCACCTGAAGAGCACCTGAAGAGCGACTGAACAGCGCCTGGAGCTGGAAGCAGCCCGATTCCTCTGAGGGGACATGAGACCCGAACGGACCCGAACGGACAACCCAATTTATCAACCCGTTTGATACCACACAAACCAACGGGGATCTTCCACAGGTCACCCTCAGCAAACGGAGCCCAATTCAGTCCACGTGGCGTTCCGCAGTCATGAGCTCACCTCGTCGAACGGAACGCAGCTGCCTGCCGCCATGCCTCGCAGCTCCTCCCAGTACTCCGGGTATAGCGCCCTGCAGTGACGACCGAGGCACAGAGAGGAGCTATTAGCGTCAGTGGGAGGAGGAGGCGTGGGAGATCGGACAGCTTGAAGGCATGGGTGGGTAGCACATGCGTGAGGAGTCTATTTTTGAGGTGCCTCGAACTTGAAAGCATGGGTGGGTAGAACAGCGGCAAGGGACACGAATGAAGAGTGGGGACACTTAAAAGTTGACGTTGGCGCAGGGAGGGACCAGGAAGTTGATTGCAATGGGCGTTACTACAACAAATGAAAGTCCTTCTTCTCGCAGGTTGGGAAGGGAGTTCTGCGGATGATGGCTCGTTCCGAAGTGATTTTTGAGTCGACTCAAAAATCTCTTCTGCGGATGATGGCTCGTTACGAAGAATCTCGGAAAACGTCCCAGCGACTTCTCCAGCCACTGATACCCTTCGAATTTTGGGGCGGAACAAAAATGAGGACTCACTTGTTAGACTCGGAAAACATTTCCAGAAGCCACGCCCCTTCGCCCGTCCGCGCGAACGGAACCATGTCGTCGTGCAGAAACGGCGCCTTGGCGACTCGATCGCGGATCTTGTCGCCGAATCGCACGCCGATCGCACAGCCGCGCTCGAACGGACTGCCAGACACCTCGAGCCATTCGAGCGGTTTAGGGATTGCCGACACGCTGACTGCGCACACGTTCGCTGACGTGGATCTGGCTGACGTGGTTCTGGCTGATGTGGCGGGAACGGCGGATTTAGAGGAGGGTGAAGATATGGCGGCAGATGCGACTGGAGGTCGCACGCCGACTTGAGAAAGAGTCATGGGTCCTGCGACGGTAGGAGCCATGGCGAACGCGTTGAACGCGTCAGTTAAAGTTCACAAGCACACACGGCGAACAAAAACACGACTAAGCGTGCGGGACTAAGCGTGCTCTCTTTATTAGGCTTTTCAAGAACACGATGCTCTAGCGACAAGTCCTCAGAAACTGCGGTAAGTATAATGAGTCTAACAAAATAGGCGGTATGTGACAAACATTTGGGGTTTGAATTCTAATCCGAGTTGTTGTTTTCTGAAGTCGTCTAAATGCGTTTCATACAATGTTTGTGGCGATGGCGTAAGAGGAGGTCACGTCACGAAGCGCATCACTCACCCGGGAGCTGACGGATTCTGTCAGGGGTACAAACGATGTGATCGCGCCGCGTTCGGGAAAAAACATCCAGTGAATTCACGGCCCTTCTCTATTCCTTCTCGCGTGGCGAATAGGGGTCTGGCTGTCTTTGTGGAGTCCACTTGCTTGTTGTCTTGGAGTCTTGGGATTGGGAGCGTCGTGGAAGAACGTAGTCTAGACCTAGATGACGAATATCGTCCAATCCCGTCGTGCTTATCACTTCCCCGCCAAATCTGCGCGTGGCTATTCGAGAAAACTATCTGAGCAAGCGCGGGAGAAATCGAGGGTACGAATGAGGAGACAAACACATTTCATATTTCAGGGTACACAGGATGCCGAATTTCGTCGAGTGGAGTGGAGAAGAGTGATGCTAAAATGGATGCTGCCGCGACTCGGCTGGAGCGTGTGCGACTCCTACCTAGACCTGATCGCCAAGCTGGTTGCGATTTGTCTGCCGCTTGTGATTTGGAAGTTAGTGACCAATCAGGGAGCAGGATAGGTGTTCATGTGGAGCCAACTGGGCAACTGAGGGGGAAGGAGTGCGACCGTGCGAGCGAGAGAGGGAGGAGCCCAATGGCATCGCAGCCTCGCAGCGACCACAGTTGCGACTCGATCAGACAACCTCCTGTGGAGGAAGTGCGGTGCGGTTCCCGCCAACGCATCCTCCAGCGAAACCTCGACAGACCTGGTGATCACCGCGAGTGGCGTCAAATCGAACGGACGTCCGTCAAATCCGACGTGCACCAATTCACGTCTGCGTCAGCAATATCGAAGTGGGCGTGGGAGCCCGGCGACCTTTCGGTAGAACGAAGAGGTGTGCGAATACGAGTCGTACTGGGAAATGTAGGCAACAACAAGCGCAGATTTTGAGGGGCCGCATTGGAGCCAACGAGAAATGAGCGATGAATGACGTGGAACTGCTGATGAAATTGAACAGTGCCGCAGGTATGACATGCAACGAGCATGTCAATGCAAGTGTTCCTACTTCATTATTGTCTCATTTCGTCATTTACATCTCTTCTCTTGTTTATACGTCTTGAAGATGTTGACTCCAATCGTCTCACTCAAAATCTCTTTCCCAGTGGCTAGTAGGATAGCTCTGTCACACGGCTGTGTTAACTGTTGACTAAATAGCATAGCCCACTCTCATGTGAAGCTCAACAGATGCTAATGCTAGCACTAGCTCTCCATTCTAGATCAGCTCCTTTCCCTTCTTCACTTCCATACATCACCCTCCGTTCGCACTTCAGAGGCCTCCACAACTTCAGGTTGTACCGGGGCGCTTGTTGATGAGGATGAAGTAGCAGCAGGAGAAGCAGAGTCAGCTTGAGGAATGGCAAGAGCCATCATCTCATACACACGGGAGCCAAACTCAGCAGGGTTCTCAGGCTGGTGGGAGGACAGAGGCAAGAAGACAAGGGGGTGGAGAATGCAGGATAAATACACACCCACGCATATAGCATAATGACCCATGCACATCCCATGATGGCCCATGCACATCCCATGATGGCCCATGCACATCCCATGATGGCCCATGCACATCCCATGATGGCCCATGCACATCCCATGATGGCCCATGCACATCCCATGATGGCCCATGCACATCCCATGATGGCCCATGCACATCCCATGATGGCCCATGCACATCCCATGATGGCCCATGCACATCCCATGATGGTCCATGCACATCCCATGATGGCCCATGCACATCCCATGATGTCCCATGCACATCCCATGATGGCCCATGCACATCCCAGAATCGCCCATACACACCCCACAATGACCAGTGCTAATCCCACTATCAAGGCAATGTGCGCCGCCTCATACAGCAAATCCACCAGCTGCACTAAGCACACCGAAGTTCTCCAACTATTATCACACACTCACCGGGAATCCCGAGGCAATGTGGGCCGTCTCGTACAGCAGATCCACCAGCTGCCTGGCCTTGGGACTATCCGGTGCCACACTGCTCTGCACCTGCAGAGTGGGAAGCAGAGGGGGGGAAGGCACGGGAAGAGGCGTGAAGATAGTTACAGGGACAGGTATGGGGATAAGAACCCGGATGAGCATCGACCTGAGGCATGGGCAGAGGGTAGGGGAGACAACCATGGGGGACAAAAAATCAAGGTGTACAGCTCTTACGTCCAAATCCAAACACATCTGAAGTCCTGGTACATGCCCCATTCCTAATTCGACAGCCCGGATCGACTCTCACCTTGAGGTCCTTGATGATCGGATGGTCAGCGTTGATCTCGAGGATCCGCCTGCCCCTCATGAACTCCGCCTGCTGGGGGTCGCCCATCGTCTGCGCCTTCATGATGCTGCGGGGGGGGGAGGGGCGAGGGGGGGAGGGAGGGGAGAGGAGGTGGAACCAGGAAGGAGTTGTTACTTCAACGCAGCCTAGAACTCCGCCTGCTGGGGGTCGCCCATCGTCTGCGCCTTCATGATGCTGCGGGGGGGGAGGGGCGAGGAGGGGGGGGACCCCCTTCATCCACTCACACACGCCCTCAAACTCCTCCTCCTGCTCCCTCTAGCCTGAGCCGCTATGCTGTGTGCTATGTGTGCCACTTCCGAACAGCACTTGCACCATTCTGCAGAGAGAAGCAACACGACCTGCACAGCAATGGCACTCACCGCTCCATGTTGGCCGACCAGCCGAACTTGCCAGCCACGAGCACGCACGGCGACGACGCGATCCTCTGCGACACCTGCACCTTGGCCACCTTGTCCCCGAGGACCCCCTTCATCCAGTCGCACACGCCCTCATACTCCTTCTCCTGCTCCCTCTTGCTCGCCGCATCCCCCTCATCTCCCAGGTCCAGGTCCTCCTTGGAAATATCCACGAACTTGACGTCCTTGTACGACTGTAACGTGGTAACCGCAACCTCGTCGATTGGCTCCACCAGGAAGAGCACCTCCAGCCCCTTCTGGTTCAGCTTTTCGAGGAACGGGGCAGACTTGGCGCTGCGCACGGTGTCCGCGGCAATGTAGTAAATTTCCTTCTGCCCGTCCTTCATCCGGGCAGTGTAATCCTCGAGCGAGATCAGATCATCCTCGGATTTCGACGAGAAGAAGCGGAGGAGCGGTGCAAGGCGCTTGTGGTTACCAGCATCCTCGATGCACCCGAGCTTCACGTTACGCCCGAAGCTCTGCCAGAAGGTCTTGTAGTCGTCCGAGGGGTTGCCGTCCGCGTCCTTCCGGGCGGCGATGTCGTCGAGCATGTCGAAGGCCTTGCGCACGAGGCGCTTGCGCATGATGCGGACGATGCGCGACTCTTGGAGGATCTCGCGGGAGACGTTGAGGGGGAGGTCGTTGGAGTCGACGACGCCCTTGATAAACGCCATGTAGCGCGGGAGCTGGGAGTGGGGGGAGGGGGGGGGCACGGGGGCAAAGGATGGCAGAAATCGGGGGGGGGGGGAGGAGGGAGCAGGGGGGAGGTTAGGGAGCATGTCGAACGCCTTGCGCACGAGGTGCTTGCGCATGATGCGCACGATGCGCGACTCTTGGAGGATTTCGCGAGTCACGTCGAGGGAGAGGTCGTTGGAGTCCACCACGCCCTTGATAAACGCCATGTAGCGCAGGAGCTGCAGTTAGGGAAGAGGCGGAGAGGGGGGGGGGAGAAGGTGGGCGGGGACGGGTGGAGTGGAGTGGAGGGTGGATTGTGAAGGGGTTGCACAGAGACGTTTAACAGGAGCTGAGCTGGGAGGGGCGCAGAGAGGATAAGCGAGAGAAGGATAGGAAGTGCCGCAAAAGGTTCCTCGCCACAAGAACCTGTCCTTGGGATCCAAGGGACGCCCTGTTCGAGGGCGGTATGGAGGACAAGTTGCTGTCCTCAAAACTGCGATCCAAGGGACGCCCTGCCTGACACACACGCACAGCAGCAACTTGTCCTCCATATCGCCCCAAACCCCTCCTCAGCTGCAAACTCCAAAGCGCGACCCCTGGACTCACCAGCTCGCCGTCAAATTGGTCCGAGATGAACACGCGCTTCACATAGAGGCGGATGTTGCGCGTCTTCCCTGAGAACATGTCGTTGGCATCAAAAGGGGCCATGCCCGGCACGTAGAGCAGCGACTTGAACTCGATCTCGCCCTCCGTGGAGAAGTGCGCGTGCGCCAGGGGGTCCAGAAACTCCTTGAAGGTGTTTTTGAAAAACTCGTTGTACTCTCCGTCAGCCACCTCCTTGGGGGCGCGCACCTGCGGGGGAGGCCAGGCAGAAGCAAGGGGCAGGATGAGTGGAATGCGCCTGCGGGGCCACGGACTCCTTCAACGTGTTCTGGAAAAACTCGTTGTACTCTCCATCAGCCACCTCCTTGGGGGACTGGATGACAGGACGAACTCCCAGGCCAGGATGACTGTTGCATCGACTCAAAAGGGTGCGCATACTCTTTAAAGTCATCTCCCTTTCAGGAGTTCGTCACACACGTGATAGGAGTCTAGTTTAGAGGCGCCTCAAAACTGGAGTTCAGTACACATACTCTCCTGGGCTCGTTCGTGGGGGCACGCGAAGGCGCCCAGGAACTCCATACAGAGACTTGTATTGACTAACTATATGCGTTGAGCCACGCTGACTAGCATGCATGGACTTGCGTTGAGTGGGCCCCCATTGACCCCACATTCCACTCACCCAGATGGGCTTGGTGTTGTTCTCCAGCACCCAGTCGAAGTACTTCTCCTCCACCATTCGCGTCTTCTCCATGTGCCTTGCATTGACATATTTGCCAGCCCTAAACCCATTGACTCGCGTTGACTCCCGTTGACCCTGTTCACTCACCCAGATGGGCTTGGTGTCGTTCTCGAGCACCCACTCGAAGTACTTCTCCTCCACGGTGCGCGTCTTCTTCACGGGCTCCCCGCCCTCCTCCTTTGCCGCTTCCTCGTACTCCTCCTGGGGTTAGAGGAAGAGGGCGTATATGGTGGAGTGGGAGTGGGGGGTGGGAGGATGGGATGAGGAGTGAGGAGGAGCGAGGAGAGTCTTCCTCACGGACTCCCCGCCCTCCTCCTTCCCCGCCTCCTCGTTCTCCTCCTGGACAAAAAGAGGCAGGTGAGGGGGAAGGGGAAGAGTGGGAAAGGGGGTAGGACGGGATAGACGGGCAGTTTCTGCTTCCCCGTAGTTAGCGAGTGGAGCGAGTCCCACCACCTCATCCCTTGCAAGCCCTATACTCGACACTTGCTGCTTTGGAGGCGCCTCAAAAAACACTTGCTGCTCCCTCAGACCCTCAAAGCCCTCTCCTCCGTGCACCTCGTCTGCTCCTGCCACGTGTAGATGGGAAACCCGATGAACTGCGAGTAGTTCTTCACCCCCCCCTACCCTCCCTCCACCGCACCCCCATCAATTTCTACACCCAACACGTGCCCCTCCATCCCACCGTGCAAGCCCTCACCTCCTTACTTCTCGTGTGCTCCTGCCACATGTAGACGGGAAACCCGATGAACTGCGAGGAGCCTTTCTCTCCTCCCCCCTCCCTCTATACCCTCCAATCCCCATACCATGACATGCCGATGACATGTATCTCCTGGTTATGTCATCTGGTCTGGTGACAGCCACCAAGCACGCACCTCCTTGCTGCGCGTCTGCTCCTGCCACATGTAGATGGGAAACCCGATGAACTGCGAGTAGTTCTTCACCAGGCTCGCCAGGCGCGTGGGGTCCGAGTACTCCGCCTTCTGGTCGTCCTGCAGAGAGGGGAGCCAGGGAGGAAGGGGGACGGGGGAGGGGGGGGGGGAAGGGGGGAACAAGGGGGGAACAAGGGGGGAACAAGGGGGGAACAAGGGGGGAACAAGGGGGGAACAAGGGGGGAACAAGGGGGGAACAAGGGGGGAACAAGGGGGGAACAAGGGGGGAACAAGGGGGGAACACAAGGGGGTGACAGAGCAGAGGGGGGCCGGGGTTAGACACAGGAGCAGAGGGGGGGGAAGACGGCGGCATATCCAGGCCGCATGCGAGCTGAGTGCTCCAGACGCTTGATTCAGCACCTCCCATCTCGAACCACAAAATAGGTCTCTAAACCCCCAGCAGGACTATAGATTCTCACCTTCACCCAAATCCGCCTCCCAACACCCACTGCGTATCTCTCATGGGGCACCTCGTGCGATCCGTCACTTGCCGTGCACACTAACACTCATGAGCTCTAAAACCCAGAACCCAGAACGCGGCCATGAACCCTCTCTCTTGAGATGCAGTCGGATGGACGTGCCACGTGCCGGTCGTCCTCGCCCACATGATCCATCTCAGCTCCTCAGCCTCCAACGCCCGCTAATTGTTACTCCCTCACACCTGAAAACCCTAAACCCGAAAACCCGAAACCTGAAAGCCCGAAACCCGAAAAACCCGAAACCCGAGACCCCTCCCTCAGCTTGATGTGCCTCAAGCCAGTATGTCATCCGCGACCGTCTCCTCTGAGACCGTGTACGCGCTGTGATCCGCCCCAGCCACCCACACCCACTGCTTGTCGCTCTTGGGGCTGCTCTAGGTGTGCACCGTCACTCACTAATTCTAGAACCCTAGACGCTGAACCCCGGGGCAGCGTCTCACCTTGAGGTGCAGCTGGATGGACGTGCCACGGGTCAGCTGAGCATCTGCGTCCGTCTCCTCCCTGATCGTGTACGTGCTCTGGTCCGCCTCCGCCTCCCACACCCACTGCTTGTCGCTCTTGGGGCTCTTGGTGCGCACCGTCACTCGGTCCGCGACGAGGAAAGCAGAGTAAAAGCCCACGCCGAACTGGCCGATCAGGTTGCTGTCCACCTCGCCCTCCTTCTCCTGCTTCTCCTGTTAGGCGGGTGAAGGGAGAGACGGGAAGACTGTTTTTGAGGCGCCTCAAGAATGGTCACTGTTGGACGAGTGTGAAGGTAAAGAAGTGGAGACACCGCGGCGCAAAGCCAGACTATTTACGAGGCGCTTAAAAAAACAGTTATTGTTACACAGGTGTGACGGGAGGGAAGAGAGACGGGTGTGGCGGGAGGGAAGAGAGACGGGTGTGGCGGGAGGGAAGAGAGACGGGTGTGCCGGGAGGGAAGAGGAGACGCCACGGCGTAGGGCCAGACGGCGAGATCGACGGCGCATGACTGCGCAACGGATACCAGGCTGAGTACTGCATCCCCGCTATAAGCCTCCCCGTGCTTACCTTGAGCGCCTTCACGAATTTGGCGGTGCCACTCTGCGCGATGGTCCCGAGGGAGTCCATGAGCTCCTCCTTGGTCATGCCGATGCCCGAGTCGCTGGTGGGAAAAGGTAGGAAGGACGGGAGGGGAGTGAACGCAGCAGAAGAGTCTCAATGAGTCCCAAGCAACGGTCTGCGCGATGGTCCCGAGGGAGTCCATGGGCTCCTCCTTCGCCATGCCCATGCCCGAGTCGCTGGTGGAGGGGGAGAGGGGAGGGAAGGGAGCGAGAAAGGGAGAGAGGTCGTTTGAGTTGACTTAAGCACCGCTCTGCGCGATGGTCCCGAGGGAGTGCATGGGCTCCTCCTTGGCCATGCCGATGCCCGAGTCGCTGGACAGGGGACAGAGCAAGGGGAGAGAAGAGGGGGAATGCGAGGAGGCACACCACAGGCAGGAAGGAAGCATGAGACGTGGGTAAAAAACGAGGGAAAAGGCTTGGACATTAATCTGCACGTCGTGCCATGCATGCACATGGCATCCTGACTAAGCTGAGCTTGATCCAGCGATCGCGCCAGAGAACCGACTTTTGAGTCGACTAAAAAATGGCATCCCGACTAAGCTGAGCTCGATCAAGCGATCGCGCCAGAGAAGCCGCTGCACTCACGTGATGGTGATGGTGCCAGTAGCGGGGTCCGCCTTAATGCGGATGGCGAGCTCCGAATTCGCCTCCATCAGCGACGGGTCCGTCACCGACAGGAACCGAAGCTTATCCAGGGCGTCGCTCGCGTTGCTGCAGAGAGGAGGTGCGGGGGAAGGGGGAGGGGAGAAGGGAGAAGAGACGAGGTGAGGGCGAGGACGAGAGGAGGATGTGCACAACTAGAGGACGCGAGCTCTTGCAGGAAGACCTCGCGGTGGCTGTAGAGCGAGGATGTGCACAATAAGTGTTCCGAATGCTGAATCTGTATCCAGGTTACGGTTACCAGCAGCGTCGTCGTACCTGACGAGCTCTCGCAGGAAAACCTCGCGGTGGCTGTAGAGCGAGTGGACGATGAGATCCATGAGCCGATTCACCTGCGGGGAAACAACACGTGACAGATCGTGGATCAAGCCGCCTGAGTAACTTTCTCCTTTTCTTTTTTGGGGTACAAGTTCGAGGAATGCGATTTCTGTGACGCGTGAGGTGTCTGAGGCTTGGAGATGGTGAAATACATCGAGATTCACCATGGAATTGCCTCAAGAAAACCGCAAGGAAACGCATCCAACCACTCTACTCACCTCTGCCTGGTAGGTGAATGTCTCGGAAGCCGCCTCTGTAGTCGTGGCGTTGCACCGGACGGGGCTCCACGTGGCAGGCTTCTGCGAGGCACGCTGCCATGCTGACGTGGCGTGAGCGCCAGAGCGGGAGAGCCGGGCGAGCAGAGCGGGATTGCCAGCAGCACCGGACGAGAAGGATCGCCAGGAGATGGAGGGTGTGGACTGGGATGACTGCGGGGGGGAAGAGATAGGAAGAGAAAGGGAGGGAAGGACGGAGGGACCTGCGTCATCTGACTGACTGATGATCGAGTCGGTCACGCGGAGAGGAATCGCCACGAGATGGAGGGAACGGGCGGGATAACTGCGCAGAAAAGAATGAAGAGAGAGAGCGAGAGAGAGAGAGAGAGAGAGAGAGAGAGAGAGAGAGAGAGAGAGAGAGAGAGAGAGAGAGAGAGAGAGAGAGAGAGAGAGAGAGAGAGAGAGAGAGAGAGAGAGAGAGAGAGAGAGAGAGAGGAGTCTGCATCTGAATGGCTTGATCTCCACGGAAAACAGCCCCACGCGTGAACGATCCGATTGCTTATAGAGACACGTCGACACACGAGTAAGGACCATAGGAAGCGGCCGTGTTATCAAGGACAGCAGGTTACACGCGCCCTGAGGGTGAACACGCACCGCAGGCTTCGACGAAGCGTCCTTCGCCTGCAGCGCGCGCGGCGCGCTGGAGAGCGACGCGGCGTTCATCTGAAGAGCCGCCATGGGCAGATCTGAAAACGCGGGGAGAGCGCGGCGGAGCGCGGGATGCAGGAGTCGGCGGGCGGCGGACGGACGGGAGGTGAGCATCAAAACAAAACCAAACACCTCGACGGCGGATAGCTCCGAAGCTCACGCGATTCTATGCGAAGCAGCAGATCGCAGGAGAGAAGTGATCAGAAGCAAGAAGCAGGGTAGGAGTAGCAAGTGCGTTCTATACGAACAGGGTTCTCTGGATTTGGGACAGGGGTTGGCGGAGCAGCAGGGGGGGAAAGCTACCGCGGAAAGGCGCGCGGAAAGTCTTGGCAGGAAGCTCTGACGCGCGGAAATAGGTGGGCGGAGGGGGCGAGGGCTATTGGGAGTGGGGGGTTTGGCGGGAAGAATGTCGAATGTGTTAGGGAGCTGGGACATTCTCGAGGCTTTCCAGGTGGACTCAATGCCTGCTCGCGTGGCTTCGATTTCGGTGTGCCAGATCTGATTCTAGAGAAAGCATTGATTCTCGCGTGGCATCATATGGATGTGCCAGCTCAGCCGCAGTTGATGTCAATTCCAGAAGGTTCGAATGCAGAAAAGAGGGCAATCACCGTAAGGAGTCGGGTGGCATGCGACACGGTTCGAAGAGGCTTGGTACGGCATATACGTGTGTACACGCTAGTACTTAAGAAAGGTGTGATCTTTCATGTATTATGCAAGAAAATCACTAACAATGATTGTTAAGAGAGTAAGAATCTGTAGGAGTGACTGGTTGAAGTGTATAAGTGATTGGTTGCAATGAAAGACTGAGTAGAACGTTGAACAGGGATGTAAATTCAAAATATGACCACTTTTCAACACTCGATGATGGTCTATGCTAATCATTTTACCCATAGACATACATTTGGCCAGCAGCAACTAAACAATTGAATTGCGTTTCGTTTTAAGCAGAGTGCTTGGTTTCCATGTGCTTCTTCAAGAAATTCTCCGCGTTGAACTTCCTGTTGGCCACCAAAAGCAAGACCACACAAGGACAATGCGGAAGAGATGATTTCTCCAGCATACCAACAAAAAGGAATGGGAGACAAAGAGAGAAGGACAAGCTTGCCAGGGGCATTGTGCATATTAGGAGACTTAGGGGCACTGTGCGCATTCGAAGGAACTTACTTGGGGGACTGTGCAATGGGAAATACTTGCTTGGGGCACTGTGTGCATGTGAAGAGGCTTACTTGGGGCACTGTGTGCATGTGAAGAGGCTTACTTGGGGCACTGTCTGCATGTGAAGAGGCTTACTTGGGGCACTGTGTGCATGTGAAGAGGCTTACTTGGACTAGGCATTTGTGACTTACTTGGGGCAGTGTGTGCATTTGTGACTTATTGGGGCAGTGTGTGCATGTGAAGAAGCTTACTTGGACTGTGCATTTGTGACTTGGGGCAGTGTGTGCATCTGTGACTTACTTGGGGCACTGTGTGCATTGGAAGATGACCTTCTTCTTCCCGCCAGAAGCAGGGGTGGCGGTGGCACCAGGCTCAGGTGTTCCTGCCGCTGCTGCTGGTGGCGTGGCTGCTGCTGGCGCTGCTGCTGCAGGCTTGGCGGCAGGAGTGGCAGGCTTGGCAGCCTGGGCAGCGAGGGGAACGAGGGGAATGAGGGGAGTGGGGGAAATTGAGGAAATGGGGGGAAGGGGGGTAAGGGGGGGAATGGGGGTAAGGGGGGAATGGGGGAAAGGGGGGGAATGGGGGGAAGGGGGGGAATGGGGGGAAGGGGGGGAATGGGGGGAATGGGGGGGGATGGGGGGAATGGGGGGGATGGGGGGGATGGGGGGAATGCAGGGAATGGATGGAATGACGATCTAGGAGGTTGGGCGCCTAAACCCGAACCCTGAAACCCTCCATTTCACAAACCCCACGAGGAGAATCCCCACCCATTCATTCCGTGCTCACCTCATGACAGCTAGCCCCGACAACCCAACGCCCAAGCCTCTACCATCTCTCCTTCACCTCCCTCCCAACCCCGGTTCATATCTAACCAGTGCATCCCAACAAACTCCAGGCATGCTTCTTTGAAAAAACTACTGTGTGATTTTTGAGTCGACTCAAAAGTCCCCACGCCTCTACCATCTCTCCTTCACCTCCCTCCCAACCCCGGCTCATATATAGCCCCAGTGCATCCCAGCAAACCCCAGGCATGCTTCTTTGTAAAACCTACTGTGCAGTGCAACATGCACGCAGCACCCTATATCCAGTATTCATGACGCCTCGTTGAGACACACACATGCATCCTTCGCAGGAGCCGGAGAGGGAGCAGCACGGGAGGCACCGTCAGCGGCAGCAGCAGAGGCAGGAGCAGCGGCACCAGTAGCAGCCTGATCACCCTAACCACCCGCACCTGGCTGTAACACACACATACCTCCTTCGCAGGCGCAGGAGAGGGAGCAGCAGGGGAGGCACCGCCAGCGGCAGCGGCGGCGGCAGCTTCTCTGCGTTGTTTCTTCTTCTGGCTCTTGGTGAGAGCAGGCGACGGCTCGGTGGCAGGGGCGTCCGCTTGGCGCTTGGCGCCCGCTGCAGGCTGTGAAGGGAACAAGGGGTTTCGGGGTTAAGGAGAGGTAAATAACCTTTCCGGGGAGCAGTGGCCATGGGGAATAGATGACCGTGTCAAGCTTTGAAGAGCCTCGAAACTAGCTTTGAGGCGCCTCGAAACTCGCTTTGAGGCGCCTCGAAACTAGACTTCCGGGGAACAGTGGCCATGGGAATAGATGCCCATGCCAACGTGCAAGTGGCCCTGATCCTAAAACCCCTGAACTCCAGAACTTCAAAAAGACATTAGGCACGAGGGCAGACATGCATGAGATACAAAAAAGTGACGGAGCTAGCAAAACAAAATACGAGGGTACGAAGGCATTACGGTAGGCGGATGAAAAATGCTCACCTCGGGTGTAGCGGCGGGTTTAGCAGCAGCAGCGGGCTTCGCTGGCTCTGCAGCGTCAGCCATCTGTGGGGACAACCAGACGAGGGCGAATGGGCGAATGGGGGAATGCGGGAATGGGCAAATGAGAGGGAGTACGAGGAGAGGAGAGAAGTGTCGGATAGATATGGCACGTGACACACGCTGAAGCACCCGAAGCACCCGAACCCGAAGCACCCGAACCCGAACCACTAACTCTGATCTCCCTGTAACCAACCTGACCTGACCCGGGAAACCCTTCTCTGGTTCATAGCATCAACTTGTATCCGCTCAGAATTCACTGCCCCACAAATCTGCCCCTCTGCGGCCTCGCTATGTGCCCCGTGACAGCTGCAGACAACTCCAGCTCGCCAGCAAAGCCTAACCGCACCACCCGAACCCTCCCTTAAACCCTTGCCGGATTTCACCCGTCACCACATTCACCCAGGTCACCACAGTCACCACATTCACCACCCAAAACCCGGGATACTCTGGTCTGGATTGACTTTCCCACGTTACCCATGAAAATAGCGCACTGATCTCGGCCGCCTGGAAATCCTATTTCGCTGAACCCAAAATCCCGCGAAACCCGCACCCAGGAGAAACGTTACGCCAAAGCCCGCGTCGAAATTACCCACATGAAAGCCCAGCATCAACTGTGAAATCTCACCTCCGAGTCCTTGTTCGGCGTGGGCGCCTTCTTCCCAGCCTTGGCTGCCGCGACAGCAGCGGCGGCGGCCTTCTTGGGCGGCGTGTCCTGCGCCAGCTCCTCCTCCTCGTCCTCCTCGTCCTCCTCCACATCCTCCTCGTCGAACTCGTCCTCGTCCATGTCTGCAAGGGGCAAGAAGTGAGAAGCGATGAGTGAGAAACAGCGAAGGGGCGATAGGGTGGGCACACAAGGCTCCTCCTCGTCCTCGTCCTCCTCCTCCTCCACATCCTCCTCGTCGAACTCGTCTTCGTCCATGTCCGGAGGAGAGGGAAGAGGGAAGCAAGGAGTGAGAAACAGCAAGGGGGAAGCACAAGAACGTTGGAGGGGAGTCAGAGGCTCCTCGCCCTCCTCGTCGAACTCGTCCTCGTCCATGTCCGGAAGGGGGGTGGCAGCGACAGGAGTGAGAAACAACGAACGCGAGTTAGATAGTGTGGGCCAACAAAGCTCGGCTCCAGAGAGTAACCTGAAAAGATGCTGTGTGAGCCGGGTGGAAGAGGCTGAAGGGCCGGTCCAGCACGAGGTCGAGGCTCATCTGGTCCACCTTGCCCTTCACCCCAACGAAACCGGGTTACCAGCACTCACCATAGTCGTCATCTTCGCCAGCGTCGCGCGTCTTGTAACCCGAGAAGTAGATGCTGTGCGAGCCGGAGTGAAACAGGCCGAAGGGCCGGTCCAGCACGAGGTCGAGGCTCATCTGGTCCACCTTGTCCTTCACCCCAACGAAACCGGGTTACCAGCACTCACCATAGTCGTCATCTTCGCCGTTGTCGCGGGTCTTGTAACCCGAGAAGTAGATACTGTGCGAGCCAGAGTGGAAGAGGCTGAAGGGCCGGTCGAGCACGAGGTCGAGGCTCATCTGGTCCACCTTGCCCTTGACGAGCGTGCCCAGCACCACCGTCACCGGGGCCGGGGGGGCCTCGTCCTCATCGTCGTCCTCATCCTCCTCGTCCACCTCCTCCCTCAGCTGCACCACCACCCTCTCGTTGTCCTTCGCCTGAGCGCCCAGAGCCGCCTGCAGTTGAGAAATTCAAATAAAATTTCAGCATAATAGTTGCCGGAAGAGGCTCGTCCTCGCTGTCGTCCTAGTCGACTTCGACCACCCCATCCAAAGCACCACCACTCTCTCGCTGTCCTTCCCTCCCAGACGAGTCGAACGTGTCGAAAGAGTGAGAAGAGTCAAACCGGTCGGATCGGTTTAGCAGCAAGATCGGTCAGAGTGACCGATTTCACCAGATCAGACGGATCGACGAGATTTGGTATGATGAGATCTGTTTGACCGGGTGGCCTGATCAATAACACCGGCTTTAAATGGCTTGTAGAGATGAATAAATGCTGCAGTGTTTCCACGCCTACGGCATGGTGGTGTTGCCTGATCCCTAACGAATTGCTCTATACCGGTATGGTGTCACAGAAGTTCATCAGCAGCTGGGAAACAGCCTTCGAGTAAGTAAGACACCTTAATCCTGTAGCAGCTGGCGGATAATTGATCTATACGAGACTCAACCGATGAGCCGCTGTCCTTCGCGATCGTTTAACTTTGGTCGACCAATTAAGTTTTCTCACGGCCGAAGTCGACCAGGGTGACTCATTCATAAAAGGTTAGTACCCGAGGACCAGCACCTGACAAAAAGAAAAAAACAATAAATACTCGAAAAACATGATGTTTGGTACCAACCTGGGAAATGTGGAGGTAATCGGCATCGTCGTTGGGGTCAACTGTGAGAGTCTCCTTGGGCTTCACCTCCACGCCTGCAGGAATTGGATCGCACGGAGCACGGTACACGGTACACGGACAACGGAACGCGGAACGGAAGTGTTAGAAAACGAAGAATTCGAGACGACCACGGTAAACGGCTCGAAGAATTCGTTCAGGGATCATAAATGGAATCAACGACCAGAATCACAATCAAAAGCAGGGCCATAAGTTCACAGGGGAGAAAGCGACGCTGGAAACTAGTCCAAGTCGTGCGGAATTCCAGGGATTGAAGGACACGAGCAGATAAATGAGACATGGCGAGAGAAATGAGCGGATGACTTGCTGGATTGTCCAACGAGTCGCTAAATAACGCGACAGCGGAACAAAAGCTCACCCCAAAAGCTCAGCTTTCCGTCCATCCTTTACTCGTGGTGAATAAGAGCAAACGGAATGTTGGCGCTGCGAGATGGCGACTAGGGACGAGCTGACCAGCCAAGGGAGTTGCGAACAAATAGTACCGAACTTGGTTTCGTCTTGGTTTTGTAAGGAACCAGACGAGGCAGAAAATGGCTGCTGGGCTGGATCAGCTGGACTCTACCAGCTAGAGCCTGCAAGGGGGACGCGTTGCTGGCACGCAAAACACTCCCAGGGCCCAGCGGGAATCTGGGTTTCGCGGATTTCTGGAAGCCTGGTTTGGTCCGGAGAAGCCTCGCCGAACCAAGACCGAGCCAGGGCTGACTGGCTGTAGGGAAGCAAGGGAACTAGGGCAGCGAGGCTCGGCGAGAGCACGTGCTGCTTGCGCAGTGCTGCTCCGCCTTCCACGAGCAAAATGGCGCAAACGAACCCGCTTCCAGTTGTGGTGCACCACCCCATAACCACCTTCAGATATTTCCAGATCTTATGGAGATTACGTAGTTAGGGTTGGCCTTTATGTGGTGATGGGAAAACAAGGCTCCCATACAAAAACTGGGTTACGGATTCTGAAAGCTAAAATATTTTGACTTACAGCATTAATAATTTCGTGCTGAAGGGTGCAGCAGAGTGCCCAAGAATGGTTAGCTAGAGTATCAAAGGCGCTATGCATGGAGGGAGCCCAGCAAAGAGAGTTGAACAATGTTAATCGAGAGAAAGTTCTGTTGTATTATAAGTATTGTTGCATCACATTCACTCATGCTCTTTGTCCAACACCGCCACCAAGCAGCCCCTTCTCTAAATCACTATCACCACCACCACCCTTCTTACCCCTTCCCTCTCCCTTGGCCTTCTTCCCCGACTTCAACCCCGGGAGTCCAGGAAACCCCTTGGGAATGGCTTTCAGTGAGGGCGTCTTGTACGTGAGCTGGAGCAGCAGAGAGTTGGCCATTACTCCCAGAGAGCTGACCCCCATGAGCGCACCGCAGAGGGAGGGGGTGAGCATGGTGCCTGTGAAAGGGAGCAGCGCGCCTGCTGCCACTGGGAGGCCCACCTGGAGTGATACGGTAGTATGGGAGCAGCGGGGTAAGACAAGGAATTAGCCATGGTGCTTTGTGAAGGCGAGCAGCACCCCTGCTGTCACTTGCAGTCCCACCTGGAGGGATGAGATGGGAGAAACGAGAATCACAAAAGGCGGGAGGTGGGGAAGGGCAGAAAACGCTGAGCATGGTATAGTGCCACCCATGCTAGTATGTCGCTGGCAGCGCCCACCAACCTGTACGGGCCTTTTTACCCTTGTAGAAGAAAATGTTTACTAGGTATTCTTATCATGTTGTGGAGGAAGGCCTATGCCGTGTTCTGTCTGATATTGTTGAAGGTGGATTGACTTAGATTAGTGGCGTCCACCACTTTGCAAGGGGAGGGGGGTGGGGGGGGGGGGGGGGTGTTCTCACCATATTGTAGAGGAAGGCCCAGGCGAGATTCTGCCTGATCTTGTTGAAGGTGGAGCGGCTCAAATGAATGGCGTCCACCACTTGAGACACTCTATCTCCCATAAGCACCACCGACGCCACGTCGCTGGTAGCGCCCACTCCCCCACTCACCCCATTCCTGCCACGCTTACCATATTGTAGAGGAATGCCCACGCCAGATTTTGTCGGATCTTGTTGAAGGTGGATCGACTCAAATGAATGGCGTCCACCACTTGAGACACTCTATCTCCCATCAGCACCACCGACGCCACGTCGCTGGCAGCGCCCACTCCCCCACTCACCCCATTTCTGCCACGCTTACCATATTGTAGAGGAATGCCCACACCAGATTTTGTCGGATCTTGTTGAAGGTGGATCGACTCAAATGAATGGCGTCCACCACTTGAGACACTCTATCTCCCATAAGCACCACCGACGCCACGTCGCTGGTAGCGCCCACTCCCCCACTCACCCCATTCCTGCCACGCTTACCATATTGTAGAGGAATGCCCACGCCAGATTTTGTCGGATCTTGTTGAAGGTGGATCGACTCAAATGAATGGCGTCCACCACTTGAGACACTCTATCTCCCATCAGCACCACCGACGCCACGTCGCTGGCAGCGCCCACTCCCCCACTCACCCCATTTCTGCCACGCTTACCATATTGTAGAGGAATGCCCACACCAGATTTTGTCGGATCTTGTTGAAGGTGGATCGACTCAAATGAATGGCGTCCACCACTTGAGACACTCTATCTCCCATCAGTACCACCGACGCCACGTCGCTGGCAGCGCCCACTCCCCCACTCACCCCATTCCTGCCACGCTTACCATATTGTAGAGGAATGCCCACGCCAGATTTTGTCGGATCTTGTTGAAGGTGGATCGACTCAAATGAATGGCGTCCACCACTTGAGACACTCTATCTCCCATCAGCACCACTGACGCCACGTCGCTGGCAGCGCCCACTCCCCCCGCCATGGCAATGCCCACGTCTGCCCGCGCCAGCGCTGCTGCGTCATTCACCCCGTCCCCCACCATCGCTACCCGTGCGCCCTTTTCTTGAAGCGCCGTCACAAAGTCAGCCTTGCCCTCTGGCTTCACGCCCGCATACACCTGGGAAAAGGGGATGAGGGGGGATGGGGGGATGGAGGGGGAGATGAGGGGGGGATGGGGGGATGGGGGGATGGGGGGATGGAGGGGGGGATGAGGGGATGGAGGGGGCAAGGGGAAAAGCGAGTGTCGGAGGAGATTGAGAGAGCGCCCATGGCAAATTGGAAATTGAGGCAGCATGGCTGCATGCAGCCCCATGACCTGGAGCGCCTCTACAGCCGCTACAGCTGCTGCTGAGTTGACTCAAGCTAAATTTCTTGTGGCAAGGCCCACTTTGTGTGCAATGGCCAGAGCAGCCGGGCGTTTGTCTCCGGGCACATGGCTGCCGCCTCGTCTGCATGCAGGGTGCACCTGTTCTATCCCTTCTCATCCTCACATCGTTCTCCAGAGTGCACTCCTGTTCCCTTCTCGTCCTCACCTCGTTTTCCGGGATGCCCACTTTATGTGCGATTGCCAGAGCAGCCGGCCGCTTGTCCCCAGACAGCATGGCGGTGTGCAGCCCCATGGCCTGTAGCGCCGCTACAGTCGCCGCCGCCTCGTCGCGCACCTTGTCGACCAATGAGATGGCTGCTGCCAGCCTTCCATCCACGCCCACATACACCGTCGTTTCCCCTGGGGTGGGGTCGCCTGCGGCTGCTGGTAGAAGGGACGGTGTTTTGGGGGAGGCAGCTGCAGGAAGGAAGGGGAGGGAGTGGGCGGGGTGAGATGGTAAGCACGGGAGGGGAAGGAGATGGCTGTTGCCAGCCAGCTGTCCACGCCCACATACACCGTCGCTCCCCCCCTGGGTTGGGGTCGCCTGCTGCTGCTGGTAGAAGGGACGGTGTTTTGGGGGAGGCAGCTGCAGGAAGGAATGTGAGGGAGTGGGCGGGGGGGGGGGGGGGGGGAGGTAGAAAGGAACGAGATGGCTGCTGCGATCTTGCCGCCCCCTGCTCTTGCCCACTGCCGTCCCTTGCTCGTGACCCCAGGGATGCACACTGCCGTCTCCCCTGGGGAGGGTCGCCTGCTGCTGCTGGGGATAGGGATGGTGTCTTGGGGGGCCACCTGCAGGGAGGCGAGGGGAGGTGGTGGAATAATAAGGGCGGGAGGTAATTAGATGGCTGCTGCCAGTGTGCATTCAACCACCCTGGCGTCCACCATACACTGTGGTCTGGACTGCAATCTTCCAGAAGAGACGCGGCTGCAGGAGAGGCACCTTGCGACAAGCTCGGGGAAGGGAAGGGGGGAGGGTGGATGGAGGGGGTGGGCGGGGTGGGCAGGGGGAGACCGTACACCCTCTGCCCACCTAACCGTACCTTCACCTTTTCCAGCACCCTCATCCACTGCATCTCTGTATTAAAACCGCGGATATAGAGACGACTTTTGAGGCGCCTCAAAAGTCCTCTTCCACTGCATCTCACCTTCTGCCTCATGCTCATCAAATCCGCCTCCTCCACCTCTACCGGCACATCAGTCATTATCCCTCAGCCTGCTCTTGCACTTCCCACCTGCCCCAGTTCCTACCTTCCCCACGCCCACATCCCACCTTCTGTCACGCTGCTCATCAGATCCGCCTCTTCCACCTCCACCAGCAGATCGCCCCAGTTTCCACCTTCCCTACGTCCCCCCTCCCTACACCTAGATTCTACCTTCCCCACATCCCACCTCCTCTGCATCGCACCTTCTGCCGCGCTGCTCATCAGATCCGCCTCCTCCACCTCCACCGGCACATCGCACCCATTATCTCTTAGCCAATCAGGAGTGCCCACCACCACGTGCCGCCCGCCCACCACCGCCGCTGCCCCAGCTCCCGGCTGCTGGAAGAACGACCCGTCCTCCACCTTCGCTCTCTTCGCCTCCTTCCCAGCAGCTTCCACTATCGCCGTCGCCAGGGGATGCGTGGAATTCCGCTCGACTGCCGCTGCCCACCCCAGCACCTTCTCCCTCCTCGCCTCCTCCCCCTCTCCCTCTCTTTTCCCCTCCCCTCCCACGCCATGCAGGCGCACGCGGGTGACTGTGGGGCGGCCGAGGGTCAAGGTGCCGGTCTTGTCGAAGAGCACAGTGTCGACAGACGTGGAGCGCTCCAGCACGTCCCCCCCCCGGATGAGAAGGCCCTTCCTGGCCGCCACAGCCGTGCCGACTAGTACTGCTGTCGGGGTGGCGAGGCCCAGAGCACAGGGGCAGGCCACCACCTGACAAAGGGTTAACAGGGGAATGCAGGGGCGGGAAGGGTCAAGGAGAATTTTTGAGGCGCCTCAAAAATCGTCACAGGGGAATGCAGGGGCGGGAAGGGTCAAAGAGAAGGGCAGTGAAGGCCGAGTGTGAGTGTGCGGCTCTTGTCGAAGAGCACGGTGTCAACAGACGTGGAGCGCTCGAGCACGTCCCCCCCTCGGATGAGAAGCCCTTTTCTGGCCGCCACAGCTGTGCCGACTAGGACCGCTGTAGGGGTGGCAAGGCCTAGCGCGCATGGGCAGGCAACGACCCAGGCGGGGGAGGGGCGGCAAGGCCCGGGCAACGACCCCGTGCGCATGGGCCCATGCGCACTAAGACGCTCATGGGCGACAAAGGGATGGGCAGGGAATGCAGGCGCGGGAGGGGCCAAGGAGAAGAGCAGTGAAGGGAGGGTGGGTGACTGTGGGCCGGCCCAGCGTGAGCGTGCCAGTCTTGTCGAAGAGCACAGAGGCGTAGAGGCGTAGAGTGCTCGGGCACCTCCAAGTTACAAGAGCTTCACTCGGCCACAAAATTCAAGAGCTTCAGTCATCTCCAAGTTACATGAGCTCCCCTTACCAGCACGTTGCAGGCGAGCTTCAGAGCAAGAAGCAGCCCCCCCGGACAGCAGGGACGACCTTGGGGCCAAGGGTGGACCAGAAGGTGAAGGTGGCGGCTGCCATTCCGACAACCCCTTCTTACCTGCAAGTGTCAAACCCATACAGGCACTAGAGAGCCCCCTTACCAGCACGTTGCAGGCCAGCTGCAGGGCGAGCAGCAGACCCCCACCGGGGCTAGCGGTGAGGGCAGCAGGCACGAGCTTGGGGCCCAGGGTGGACCAGAAGGTGAAGGTGGCGGCTGCTATGCCCATCACTCCGTAGCAGAACTTGCCAGAGACCTGGTGGGGGGTGGGGTGGGTGGGAGCAGGGCGGAGAGGTCAGGCTGAGAAGAAGCGATGCGGGTGATCACTGCAGGTGATCACTGCAGGTGCAGGGCGATAGGAGTCTAGTTTTGAGGCGCCTCAAAACTAGATTCCTATCGAAAGGTCAGGCTGAGAGGAAGCGATGCGGATCATCACTCACTGCAGGGCAAAGCTGAATCCGACATCACAAACCATGCCCACCTGGTCTGCGGATCGCTGTACAGGTGATTGGCACCCCTGTGTTTCCTCCACCATGTGCACTATATCAGCCAGCATTGCGTGCACCCATGCCTCATCATACGGGTCGCATCACCCTCCATCCACCCCAAGGGCTTCAGATTGATTTTTTAGCCACTCGTCAGATCCGGTTTCCCTACCAAAGCCACTCGTTTAAGTCCGTTTTCGGCCCCAGTGGTACTCGTCAAAGTCCGTTTTTTCGGCCAAAATCCCTCGAAACCTACGCTTTGAGCCCATTTTTGAGCCAGAATCTGCCCGTTACCCCCCGGGTTCAGAGATAACCGAATCCGTCAAAAAGGGATTCCGGTGAAAAACGACCCGTTAAAGTATCAAAATCCGGGTAATTACCCATCAAGCATAGGCCCTGATCCACCCTTGTCACCTGGTCTGCCGATTGCTGCACGGGCGCCTGTCGCCCCTGAGCCTCCTCCACCATGTGCACGATGTCAGCCAGCACCGCACGCCCCCCGTGCCTCAGAGTGGGCGGTTGTTGTCCCTTACCCAGGATGCAAGTCCACTCTTGGTTCGTTCGCCCCTCACCTGGTCTGCGAAGCGCTGCACGGGTGCCTGGCGCCCCTGCGCCTCCTCCACCATCCTCACGATGTCAGCCAGCACTGCGTCCCCCCCGTGCCGCCTCGCCTCCACCACTATGGCTCCGTTGAAATTCACCGTGCCCGCTGTCACCTCGTCCTGAAGGGGGCGCGCATGCGCAAATCACGAGCGAAAGAGCGAAACGGAAGGCAGGAAGGTAAACGTTAAGAGTTACGCATCCGCCCCCTCCCCCCCCCACCCCGCCTCGCCTCGACCACGATGGCCCTGTTGAGGTTCACCGTGCCCACGGTCACCTCGTGATGGAAGTGGGGGCAGTGGGAAGGAGGGAGGGGGGAGCCAAGAGGTTCAAGGTCGCCATCCGTCCCCCCCCTGTTGCCTCGCCTCCACCACTATGGCCCTGTTGACGTTCACCGTGCCCACGCCTCGTCCTGGAAAGGGAAGTGGGGTACGTTGTGGTGGTGGTCCTCAAAAGGCGCCTCAAAAGCCTCCACCACGATGGCCCTGTTGATGGTCACCTCGTCCTGGAAAGGGAAGTGGGGTACGTCGTCGTCGTGGTGGCAGTGGCGGCGGTGGTGGTGGGAGGGGGGGGAGAGGGCGGGGGTGGGTGGGTGCGGGGGGGGTGCTGGGGGGGTGACGGTGGTGGTGGGGCAGGGATGGTTTCATGTGAGAGGGGATCAAGATTGACGATGCGTCGTGTTGGTTGGGGCCAAGCGGTGAATGACACTTGTGAGCATTGTGAGCATTGTGAGCATTGTGAGCATTGTGAGCATTGTGAGCATTGTTGTGAGCACTGTGAGCATTGTGAGCATTGTGAGCATTGTGAGCATTGTTGTGAGCACTGTGAGCATTGTGAGCATTGTGAGCATTGTGAGCATTGTGCGCATTGTGAGCATTGTGAGCATTGTGAGCATTGTGAGCATTGTGAGCATTGTGAGCATTGTGAGCATTGTGAGCATTGTGAGCATTGTGAGCATTGTGAGCATTGTGGCATTGTGAGCATTGTGAGCATTGTGAGCATTGTGAGCATTGTGAGCATTGTGCGCATTGTGAGCATTGTGAGCATTGTGAGCATTGTGAGCATTGTGCGCATTGTGAGCATTGTGAGCATTGTGAGCATTGTGAGCATTGTGAGCATTGTGAGCATTGTGCGCATTGTGAGCATTGTGAGCATTGTGAGCATTGTGAGCATTGTGCGCATTGTGAGCATTGTGAGCATTGTGAGCATTGTGAGCATTGTGAGCATTGTGAGCATTGTGCGCATTGTGAGCATTGTGAGCATTGTGCGCATTGTGCGCATTGTGAGCATTGTGAGCATTGTGAGCATTGTGCGTCGTCCACTCTAGAAATGGTTGCCTTACTGCCAGTGAATGCATCAAACCAATTCACCCACCCCGTCTTGCTTCGTCCACTCACCCCCTCTGGCTGCATCCACTCACCACAGCCTGCTTCAACACCGGTAGAGGCTCCCCCGTGATGCTGCTGCTCTCGTCCACTGTGCTGCACCTGTGCCAATCCGTGTCATAGCAATGACCCTTACCACGTGTTGATACCGGATCATATCATACCCTGCAACACCTGCTTCGTCCACTCATCCATTTTGGCTGCATCCACTCACCCCGGCCTGCTTCAGCACCGGTAGAGGCTCCCCCGTGATGCTGCTCTCGTCTACTGTGCTGCGCCCGCTGGCTACCGTGCCGTCCACTGGGATGCGGTCCTGCAGGTACACACAGGGGGGTTGGGGGAGCAAGGGGTCGACCACTTTTTTTTAGGCGCCTCAAAACTAGACTCCTATCCTGCGGTACACACAGACAGGGGGGTTGGGGGAGCAAGGGGAGCGGTTGACCACATACTCAATGGACTAGCAGCAAGTCCCTTGTACAAGGAACGTACCGTGGGTGGGTCGGACGAGGTGTTTTTTAGAGTTCTCACAAACACCCGGCAAAACCAGGGAGTGGTTGACCACATACTCCATGGACTAGCAGCAAGTCCCTTGTACAAGGAACGTACCCTGGGTGGGTCAGGCGGGCACTTTGTCGCCCACATTGATCTCCTATATCGGCGCCGCCACCAGCAGAGACACCACCGCTACAGGCACAGTAGAGAACGACTAAAATAGAAGGAGCACACCCCACCCCGGGCTGGAGGAGCGCTTAATCATCCACTTGGATGGCCTCGAACGGCACCACCTCTGTTGGATGGCCTCGCACGGCACCACCTCCGTTGGATGGCCTCGAACGGCACCACCTCCGTTGCTGCATCACCTCTAGGCCGCATAATATCAAATGACTCCGGCCAAACAGACACGTACGTACCCCAGGTCGGACGAGCACTTTGTCGCCCACATTGATCTGCTCTATCGGCACCACTTCAGTTGCAGCATCAGCAAAGCTGCTGCCTGCCGCTGCCGCTGCTGTAGCTGCTGGTGAGTTGGCCAGTGAAGGGCCAGTGGATGTTGTGGCAGCAGCAGGCGAGGAGGGTGGGGAGGGCGAGGGCGAGGAGGAGGGAATGATGCGGCGAGCTTGAGGGGGCAGCAGGGAGAGCAGAGCCGCCATGTCACTGGTTGCCTGCAGGGCGGGGGAAGCAGAAGATGGAGATAAAATTGGGCCCTGATGGATCGTCGAAGGAGAGTGCGAGGTGGGGGAGGATGAGGGGGAGCCAGGAGGAAGAAGAGAGGAGCGGGTTTCTAAGGGTAGGAAGCGGAGAATGCTGCGCAAGAGATCACACTGGCAAGACCGACGTTCAACTAAAAACACTAGTGACAGTACATGATTCTTGGCCCTCTCCTCCCCTCCCCCCCCAATCTTGATCTTGCCTTGCCCCTACCTTGATCTTGGCCCTTTCTTCCAACGCTTTCCCCAGCAGCACGAACGCCAGCAGCATCAGAGGCTCCTCAAAGAATGCGGGCCAGCCCTGGGGGGAATGGGGAGAGAGTTTTGAGGCGCCTCAAAACTATTCTTCCAACGCTTTCCCCAGCAGCACGAGCGCCAGCAGCAGCAGAGGCTCCTTGAAGAATGCGGGCCAGCCCTGGGGGGGATGGGGAAAGAGGGGCGAAAAAAGGGCAAAGCGTGAGAACCAGGAAAGAGGATGAGTAAAGAAAACCTGAGAGAATAGTGAAGAAGCTGGAGCAGTGGAACATATAGTGAAGGCCATAGAAGCAAAGAACCCTCCCAGCCCAGCTTTTAGCGTTCCTAAACTGGTGAGAAGAACTAACCAGTTTAGGGACGGCAGCATCCACACCACAGCGCTGAGAGCAAAGGAGGGGACAGCCCCCAGGCTGACCAGAGTGTCCTTGTTGGGGGCGCTCCTAGCTTACACGTGACTACCACATTTGATATTGACTATGCACGGCTCTACCTGTGGCTAATGAATCCACGCACACACTCACCAGTTTGGGCACGGCAGCGGCCACAGCGCTGACTGCAAAGGAGGAGACAGCGCCAAGGCTGACCAGCGTGTTCATGTTGGGCGATCCTCGCCGCAGGCTGTTCCACCCGTCCAGCAGCAGCCTGAGGCGGGGGGGTGGTGGGGAGGGGGGGGGAGGGGAAGGGCGTGTGAGGGGCGAGGCTGACCGGAGTTTTCATGTTGGGCGCCCCTCACCGAAGGCTGTTCCACCCGTCCAGCAGCAGCCTGAGGCAAGGGGGGCGAGGAAAGGGGAAGGGGGGGGGGAGGGAGCCGGGGGTAAGGGGAAGGGCAGCGGGGGCAAGGGGAAGAGCGTATGAAAGGTAGAGGTGGACTAGCGTGTTCAAGTTGGGCGCTCCCCGCCGCAGGCTGCTCCACCCGGTCAGCAGCAGCTTGAGGCAACGAGGTGGGAAGGACAGTGGGGGCAAGGTGAAGGGCGTGGAATGTAGGTGAAGGCAGGAGGGGAGAAGACCGCACAGACTAGCCCCCCACTTACTTTAGACCAGGCCCAAGCAGTGTGGTGAGGGAGAGCAGCGCGTGCACGGGCGTGGAGTGCAGCGTGTAGGTCCAGGCAGGAGGGAGAGGGGGGAGAGGAGGGAGGAGGAGGAATGGAGAGAGTGCACCCTGACCCCACACTCACTTTCGGCCGGGTCCGAGGAGGGCGGTGAGGGAGAGCAGCGCGTGCACGGGCGTGGAGTGCAGCACATGGGTCCAGGCAGGCAGCTTCCAGGCAAGGGAGGACGCCTGCAGCATGTGGGACGCATGCCCCACCAGACAGGTCGCTGCCAGCGCCCATGCCACCAGCAGACGACGACCTGATTGGGGGTGATTTTATGTGAGAGGAGGGGTGAAAAGGATGGTCGCGGAAGAGGAGGGGGAGGAGAAGGATGGTTGAAGGGAAGGCATGACTTTGAGGGTGGTTCAGGAAGGAAGGATGGAGGAGCAAGCAAGGCAAGATGCGAGTCAATTACCAAAGCAGGAGCAGTTTACTCATATTGAGTTGAGTTGAGAGGAAAACTCACCACTCTCCTTGAGCCTTCTCATGCGCTCCTCCCTCTTCGCCTCAATGGCCGACGCTGCCCGCCCCGTGACTCCACCACCAGCAGTAGTAGCAGTGGCAGCAGCGCTTGCAGATGGCTTTTCCGCCTCTCCTTCCTCCCCCTGCTCTCCCGCTGTCACAGCCACGTGGTCGCCCTCTGCAGCTGCGCCTCTTGAGCTCTTGGCCGATTCCTCTGAAGAGTTGGGTTAAGGCAGTCACAGATGGGGGTCGAGAGACCAGAGCGGGCTCTTGCAGGTGGCCTTTCCGCGTTTCCCTACCCCCCCTACTTGATAGAAGTCTAGTTTTGAGGCGCCTCAAAACTTTTCCGCGTTTCCCTCCCCGCCCTGTTCTCCCACTGCCACAGCCACGTGGTTGGTCGCCCTCTGCTGCTGCGCCCCTTGAGCTATTGGCTGATTCCTTTGAACCATTACAAGAGCCACGTTGTGGTTACCACGTGCATGGTTACACATGTGGGGTTGACACAGAGTTGCAGATGAGGATCGAGACACTAGAGCGCGCAATGACGTGCGCACGAATGCGAACTACAAATCAAGAGACAGATACAATGAAAAGAAAAGAACGGGAAAAAGAAAAAGAAAAAGAACAAGAAAAAGAAAAACGACAAATACCTCTGCTCCAGCCCATCGTGAGTTGCCCCCACTCCCACGCCCAGCCCCACTCCCAATCGACCCAATGCCCACCTCTGAGCTTCGATTCGAATCCACACTCCGTCAAATATTCCGCCAGAGCCCTCCCCACCTCCACCCGCCTCTGCTCCTGCCGCTCTCGGGACACCCCCGCGCCCACCCCCACCGCCCCCCCCTCTGCAGCTCCTGGCCCCCCATCAGCCAGCCCGATGCCCCCAGCAGCATCAGCAGCACCAGCAGCTGCAGCAGAGGGAGCAACAGTTGCAGCGGCGGTGGCTGTAGCAGCAGGGGTGGTTGTAGCGGCGGAGGCTGCTTCGCCCCCGTCCAATCGGATGGTGACAAGTGCCGTCTCCATGGGAAGGTTCACGGAAGCAGACACCACAGGGGGCTGGGGGGATGGGGGGGAAGAGGGGTAGAGGGGGGGGAAGTCGAGGTAGGCAAGTTGGGAAGGAAAGGAGCCAACGAATACCAGCACCATACAAAACATGCTGACCTGCTGCTTCTGGTACCACCTCACTTGCATTCCACAAGCCTTCTCACCTGTGACTCGGACCCTCTCACCTGCGAATCACCAGCCTTCTCACCTGTGACTCTAGAATGTTCTTCACCGAGGCTGCACAGCTGCCACACGACATGCCCTGGGCGACGGAGGCGGGGGTGGAAAGGGGAAGGGGGGACGGAGGGAAGGGGGAAAATGTCATTTTTAAATTAAGTCCCCTCTACTCATACCCCCTTCGCACCTCATACCTCCCTTTCCACCAAACCCAGTCCCCACCACACACCCCCAAACTCATACTTCCCCTTCCCCCCCAAATCCTCCAGACCCCCACTCACCCCCACGTCCAGCACCACTGTATCCTGTGCGCCCCCTCCTAGACTTGACTCCGCCGCCACATGCCCACTCGCCGCTTTTGTCCGCATCTGCTTCTCCCCACCCCAACTCTCCATCCCCCCCCACCCGTCACCCGCGCCCCCCCCGCGCCCCCATGGCCCACCTCCGCCTCCGCCTCCCCCGAAACCCCCCACTCCCCATCCCCCGCCTCCGCCGCCGCCGCCGCCATCGGGAAGCAGCGCCTGGGATATACTCCCTAGCAGCGGCCGGCCGGCACGGCATTGACACGTGGTAGCGAAGCAACGCGCTGCGGCGGCTCGCGCGGCGCAGGCGCAAGCGGCGGCGCATGCCACGGCGGTGGATGTGCTTAATCTGAGGGACATCCCAGTGAAGGAAGCGAGTTGGTGGCCGAGCGCGAATGGCGGATTGGCGGACGCGGAAGTGGCATTAGTAGCGGGAAGGTCATGGTTTCCGAACGAGGAAGTCGCACTATGGTTTCCTGGTCGGGAAAGCCGCGCCAGGGTGTTGCGTGCTGACGTGGAACGATGAAACGGGAAAAATTCTGGGGAAGATAACTCGGATGGTGAGTGTCTGAGAGAGAGTGCAGGAAGTCCAGCCAATCTCCTAGAGTAGGCTTGAGCTCTTGTGAATGATGACGTGGCAGTGACGTGGAGGTGATGGAAGTGCCGACTTCCATAGGTTGAATCACGAATGGCGGCTCGAGGCGATCGCGTGAGAGAGCGCAATGGGGCTACTGCCGCGTAACAGCGATACGCCTGAGGAAGCACCTGGGGAAACACCTGGCCGTGCATTGCTGCGCTGCCTGCAATTCCTGGACTCCTCACGGCTCCTGAAGAGATCGTAACAAGGGCAGATGCGGAATTCGCCGCAACAGCACTAGATGTAGAGTTCAAACGCGCATGAGCAACATGACACGCAGACGGGTTCATCTCGCCCTTTAAAGACCAGCACTCTGACTGACCGCAGAAACCGACTCGGTCAATTCTAGCGCGCGTCGACGATCCTCGTCCAGGAGCTAGGCTCAACCAGGAAGCACCTTCTAGTCCCTGCGTGGAGCCTGACCCACTACCCTTCGGAGAAGCTCGAGGGAAGGATTTCGGAGAGCAGTCAGGAAATGACAGGTGATGCAGCGAGGATGGTCGGAAGAGAGGAGAATCCCAAGGTTGTTCTGTGTCGTCTGTTTGGAAGAGTTCGGCTCGGGAATGTGTGTCTTGGTTGGTTGCTCGATGATGATCACCGTGAATCAGGAGGAAATGACAAAATGATGGACAGACTCGGCATTGCAGAAAGGGTCACTCTAGTTCGGTATCAGGCATTTTAGAACGTTTTTTTTAAGATCTATAGCGGTCCAGTACAGTTCGAGGGAATCTGAACTCCCCAGATGCGCAAAGGGTGAAACTAAGGTGGGCGATGCCGAACGTACGTCTAGGGCGGAGGTGTTGACGGTACGACAACCAGCGTACGAATCTCAAATCCTCGCTGTCCAATCAACGGAGGCCTAGTCTGTACACAAAGCTGGTGTACGGGCGTTCACGGATGAGGTGGCGTGTGCACTTTCGCTGACGTGGTAACGCAATGCGATTCGATGCTTCCCGAAGTTGGGATGAGGGCCACAATTTGGAAGAGATCAGCCACACGCAGATTTTCGCGATACATGCAATTCGTTTGTCCATTGGTTCACTTTCTACAGTGATAGCCCCTGGGAGTTGAGACCACCTAAAGAGGTGCTTCGCAATAGCCGAAACTCTAATGCAAGCTTTGTGCGCAAATTATTGTTGCACCTGTTGTTCGGCAGAAGCTCTCGCTGATTGTGCACCACCCCTGTTTGAGCTCCTTGTTTGTCATAGCATGTTGCAACACGTGTGCAGCAACAACGGGCACTCAAATTCCTCTGCATTTTCAACCTAAACACACAAGTATTCAACCATAACACCGTTTAGGCCTCCTCATCCTCCACCACCTTGGGGCCAAGACCCTTGAAGCCCTCAGCAGGGAGATCCGCCACAGTGACAATGGAGTAGAACTCCTCAGTGGCGTCCTCATCCTCATTGCGCCGCCGAGCAATGCGCACGCGCACGCGGCGGGGAACGTTACGCACACCGCGTGACCATACTTGCTTGTTGAGCTTCACATCCACACGCACATCCTTGGTCTTCATCATCTTTTCAGCGAACTTCCGGATCTCCTTGATGGCCTTGGGGGCCTTTTTCTTGAATGTGCTGAGGGAAGGGGTGGGGATAAAGGGGTGATGGGAGGCTTGGTGGAAGGGTTAGTAGGGGGCGTCAGGAGGAAGAGAGGGAGGCACAGAAACCACACGTGGGAACTTGAGGTGCGAAGCTCAAAGCGGCAAGTCAAATGAAAGGCCATGCTACACAGACGGGGTGAAAGAAAAGCGCAGCGCCCGCACAAGAACATCGGCAGACTGTCCGAACGATGCTTTAATGGTAGAAGGCCGCGCAATCAATTTCGAAAAAAAACTTATCCTGAAGACATATAAGGTAACCCATGAGAGCAATGCGAACGACCACTCGGTTGCTTGTGGAATGGGAGATCGGCGGCTTGATAGAGCCAGTAGGAATCACGAAGAACCTATGCTCCAGACAAACAGGCTGAGTAAACAACCGTAGGGTAAAGATAATGCTCGTACTCTGGCGCTTAATCTCTTCGCTCCAGACCGAAAAGACAACCTCATCGCGCGATAAAGCGGAGTTCCCGGGGCTACAGAATTGGATAGCTCCGTGAACGCACCTCGAGTCGCAGCTTCAAGATGCTCCTGTGCGAATTAGGTCTGCTAGATCACGTCGTCTATTTGATACACTGAAAGCCTCTCCAGCTAACGCACCTGGAAGTCTAGAGCGCAAAACTGGTCTCCATAGGTTTTAGGGTACTGCTCTACAAACGAAACCCAGAATGTAACCGCACTACTCGCACCCTCGATAACCGGAAAGAACAGCTGCTTTCCTAAGCGTAGCTACTGCCGTTTCATCAAGTCTAGCTCTAGCCGAGCCTCCTGCCGTCTCGCACAAAATTTCGCGCACTACGCACAACAGAAAAGGACACCGAAGTAAACCAAGAATCAACAGAAATAAAACGGCGTCCAGAAGCAGCAGGTGAGCTAATAGGCTCAACGAAGAGCAAGCACATAGAAAAGTCGCACCAGCCATGGACGCGCTTGTGGAGGTTGATGGTGTACTCGCGAGTGACGATCTCGTCCTTGCGCACCTTCTTCTCAACCATCTTTGCGTATCTGAGGGGTCAACAAGGGAAACCTAATAGGCGAGCCTAAGGAGGTTCGCTGAGCTACTGCGACTGCTGCAGAGCTGTAAGGGCGGAAAGGGGAAATCACGTGAAGGGAGGGGAATTTGTGAGTGGGTAGGGGACAGGGGAGAGGGAGAGGGGCGAGGGAGAAAGGCTTGGGAGGGAAGGGGGTTTGACCCAACCATCCAACGGTTGGGATTGCCTTGGACACACTCCTCCTTTTTGCGGTTGTGCACTGTAACACAATGTGTTCGACCTAACTTTGTGCCGAGCTTGCAGTTTTATCGAGCAGACGTGTAATGGATTTGTCTCAGCAAACTTGTCTACTTCCGGTTTGTAGTCCATCGGATGTCAAATCATAAACGAAGATGCTTGTATCGGACTTTTCCAAACGAATCACCCAGCGAAATGACTCTCCTGGCACTGCCACATCAGCAGCGCAGATGACTCAGGCACGGGCTGTGTGGAACGACCACGCGGACGTCCGTGAGCCAACCGCGTCTTTCCTTCTCTCACCACACACACATCGTCGCCCAATGAGAGCGCAGAAATCGCGCCAATCTGACTGACCGTCAACCAAAACTATCCATGAACCGTCAATTCCTCTCCATTCCTAGTTCTCGAATCCATCACCTTGAGAAAACCTATTTCAGCCATAATTTCCTCCCAATAGGGTCGTTTTTTGCTTGTTCCTCTCGAAGTGCCATCACCAGGTTGTCTTAGCATTCAGGCTAGTACGTACGTCGACCCTCGCTAAGCTTCGTGAACACTCCTTTAAAATGGCTACGTGCACCTCGTGCTCGCTTTCTAGCCTTTCCGTTGCATCTGGAACAGCTAGTCTCAGACGGCTTCAACGACCTGCAGCCGTCCCTGTCTTGCCGGCCCGGAGATCAGTGGCTGTGCGAGCTGCGAAGCTTCCTGCAGGGGTGAGTCAGTGTCTTACTAGTACAAGTTGAGCTGGTAAGGAACGATACTGGAAAAATACTGCACCCCTGATAAGTAGCGCTAAGGTATCGCCGTTTCTGTACTGTCTAAATATCTGGTAAGCAGCGATCCCAGAGTGATTGTTGTTCAAGGCCAACTGATTCGAGTTCATGGATGCGGAAAGCATGATGAGGGATTCGGTTCCGTCGCATGCCACTCACTTGCTTTCCCCTTGTTCTGTACGAGCACAGCGTTTGATGTTCAAAATGCTCGATGAACTCATTTATCCGATCCGTCACAAGCGCCGTTTCACCAGATGGAGACGATGCGTTAAAGCTTCTTCATCACTCCGCTGCCGTTTTTGTCCTGGCAGGTACCGTCACCAAAGGTGGAGCCCAACATTCCGAAGCCTTTCTGGGGATTCACCGAGAATGCGGAGACGTGGAACTCGCGAGCAGCCATGATTGGACTGATTGGCATCACCATCGTTGAAGCGGTGAGTTGCGTGACGTATCTGGAATGCCGCAGCACCTGTTAACATGTAAGGGTGGCTTCAGGTGGTGCGGTAATTTCGTTCAAGGCAACGCGGTAGTGAGCCGGCTGTCAGGTTTTCGACATTCACTGAAAGGGAGAACTTTGACACCCCGCATGAAAATGCGAAAGATGGAGGCACTAGCTTCACTATAACCGGTTGCGTTACTGCTCAATCGTTGGAGCTGTTGTGAGGTCTGCAGAAGGACGGCTGGGCTGAGGTTTTACATTAACACTTGAAAATTGCAGCACCATCGTCTTCCTTTGCCAGTAACCTCTCCATCCTTCATCCTGGATAACACTCCCCTGCTACTTTCTTCCCTATGGCATTCTCATCCTGCCTGGTGCTGCTGCAGATTGCTCGCAAAGGAATCCTAGAGCTACTTGGATTGGAGATTGGCAACGGCTTGGATCTTCCCTTCTAAAGAATTGCCATAAGCTTTTGACAACAGTTCTTACAGTTTTTTTTTCTCCCAATATTATCTGCTTCTGAGAGTCTATGTAAGTTTATCATGGCCACAACCAGCAGTGTCTGGAGCATGCATTGAGTAGTACGGTATGCCATAGACAGGTATGGAGAATCTTTTCATTGAAGAAGATGACCATTACTTACCAGATTCATTATGTACATGTTTCCAATTTTAGCCAGCCTCCAGTCCAGCCAAAATTGAGCACAGCTCCTGCCCAGTGCAATGCTCCAGAAAAAAAAGTTGAAGCAGCTATTATCCTGATCTACCTTAGGACAAAATACTTCTGCCAAATCAAGTTGGACAATCTATACTTGCCAAAACAATTTGGTCGGAATATGAAACAGAATGACTGAGTGATAACCGTCATGTTGCACACATTGGTACTTGCAATAGCACCACGCCCGTAAGCTTTGCACCATCTCAGCATCTTCCTCAACGAACTCGTGATGATACAAGTAAACCATCCATCAAATAACTGCAACAAGTACAGTGCACATGGGTTCAGATAAAACTGATCCTCCCTCTCCACACTCCATTTTCATCCCAAGAGGCTGATGCTCTGCATCCAGTCAAAGAAGCTGAAGCCCATGACTGCGGTGCAGTGCATCTAGTCGAAAAAGCCGGACTGAAAGCCCACAACACAACTACGGTGCAGAGCATCTAGTCGAAGAGGCTGAAGCCCATGACTACGGTGAAGTGCATTTAGTCGAAGAGGCTGAAGCCCATGTCGTCATCGGACTCCTCCTTCTCCTCCTCTGCCGGCTTCGCCTCCTCCTTGGCAGCCTCCGCTGCTGCTGCCGGGGCTGCGGCCACCGCTGCCACCATGAACTTGGACGGATCCTGTGGGGGTTTGAATACAGACGGAAAATGAGGGCAAACCAGCAATGATTAGAAAGCCCTCCTAGGTAGCCTCCACTGCTGCTGCCGGGGCTGCGGCCACCACTGCCACCATGAACTTGGACGGATCCTGAGACGGGGGGGTCGATATTCACAGGGAAAATGGGGGCAAATCAAAAAGCCACTGAGAGTCTCCGCTGCTGCTGCCAGTGCTGCCACCATAAACTAGGAGGGATCCTGGGAATGGAAGGGTAGAGAAGCGGGCGAGCACAAGACCTCATCAGGAATCAAAATCTCTGGTTCTACCGGAAGAGGAGGGAGGGAAGGAGGGAGCGAGAGAGGGACGGGTTGAGGGAAGGTGGGAGGGCGTGTGGGAGGGAGGGTGGGCGAGGGAGGAAGGGGGAAGAAGGGGGTTAGGGACCAGGAAGGGCACTTACCGCAAGGATCTCCTTGACCTTGTCGGCCAGGGGGAAGGAGTAGTCGTCCAGAGCGAGAGCAACAGCGATGACGTTCTTGTACGAGTTGGCAAAGACGTGCGGCACAGCGGCCAGCGTGGGGAAGTCGGCGCCCAGAGAGACGGCCGCCACGTTGGCCACACCCGAGGAGAAGTGGCCGAGGAGATCGTCCTCCGACATGTCGAGCACTGACGGGTGGAAGGTGGAGCCGTCGTCGAACACCTGAGTGCAAGGGATGGTCAAGAGGGTGAGCGATGACAAGAGGGGTGGGGAGAATGAAGAGGTGCGCAAAGTGGCCCAGGAGGTCGTCCTCCGACATGTCGAGCACCGACGGGTGGAACGTGGAGCCGTCGTCAAACACCTAGCGTTGGGGGGTTACGAGAGAGTGTTGGGGATGGTGAGAGCGGTGGGTTTTTGAGGCGCCTCAAAAGTCGTTTTCGAGGCGACTCAAATTACGAGAGGGCGTTGGGGATGGTGAGAGCGGTGCGGCTCGATCAGAGGAGGAAAAGCCGGCTAAGAGCCCATGATGCCAGAGGGGCTTAACAAGGCTGTCACACGCGCCTGGTCCACCATCAGCCTGTAAGAGAATCTCCCAGCCTGTTAGGATAATAACGCCCAGAATCGATGACAGCAGATGAGCCGATCATGGTAACCAGGAACCTACGTGGAAAACGTTGACTCTGTGACACGCGCCTGGTCCGCCACCAGCCCGGACGAGAACGGGCGGATGCCGAGCTTCCCCGATATACACGGGCGTGTCACGCCGAAAAGACCTGTAACGCCAGTGAGCTCACCTGCTGCTACGTGGAAAACGGTAACTCTGTTACACGCACCTGGTCCACGACGAGCCCGTACGAGAACGGGCGGATGCCGAGCTTCGCCAGCAGCGCGGCCTCGGACGACCCGACCTTCTCGCCCGCCTTGATCAGCTCCACGGGCGCCACGATTTCGACCGTTCCCTTGTTAATCTTGGTGGGGATGTTGAGCACCTGGAGGGGTTCGGGGGTTGGGGTTTAGTTGTAAAGAGGTAATGAGCACGTGCTGACGTGCTGACGTGCTGAGACCTGCTGGCTCCACGTGGGCGACGATTTCGACCGTTCCCTTGTTAATCTTGGTGGGGATGCTGAGGACGCATGGAAGGACGGAAGGAAGGAAGGCCCGGGAAGAGTGTTGACGACGGGAATGAGGAATGAATGCGACAACGACCATGCGACAACGACCATGCGACAATGACCATGCGATGAAGGATGGCCGCCATACAGCCCCACGAGATGCGATAAAGCAGGCTGGCAATATCGGGGCCTCTTACCGATCCAATCGCACGCTCGACAGAGTCACCACTGCGTGAATTCGAGGCTTCTCAAAACGCACAAGAAAACAAAAACCATTTCAGTCGACTCAAAGGCCTCTTACCGTTCCAATATCACGACACAGGGCGACCAGTTCGCGGGTTTCAGGCTTCAAAGTCTCACCTGGAAGAAGTTAGTCTGCGAGGGATCCAGTCCGGTGTTGCCAGGTGGCACCACGACATCGATGGGGGCAACCAGACCCACACGCGCAGGCGCGCCGACCTGATTGGCGGAAAGGGGAAAATGAGTCCGGGGAAAACAGGGAGGGGGAAAACAGGGAGGGGTTAAAATATACCCAAACAGGAAAGCCCTACTTGCCCCCCCTTAACTCTCCCCCAGACTCTCTTCCCTCCCCTCCCCTCCCCACACCCCCCCGATCTTGGCTGACCTTGTACTTACCCTATTTGGCCCCCTGCAACCCCCATCCCTCCCCTCCCCGACTTCCACTGACCTCGTCCTCGCCACAGGCAGCTCACCCGATCCACCCGATCCACCCGATCCACCTGATCCACCTGATCCCCTCCCGGTTTCAACTGACCCTGTTCTAAACTCAACCTCAACGCACCCTGGACTTGCCTACCCTAACCCATCAGAACCGCTCCTAACCCCATCGCAACGCACCTTGCACTTGGCCATCCTAACCCATCAGAACTGCTCCTAACCCCATCGCAGCGCACCTTGCACCTGCCTACCATAACCCATCAGAACCGCTCTGAATCTCATCGCAGAGCACCTTGTACTTGGCGACCTCCTCGCGGACCTCCTTGAGGTCGCCCTTGGTGAAGATGAGACCCACGTTGCCCTGAGATGACATGACACCGTACGGACGGGGGGAAGAGATGACACGGTACGGACGGGGAGAAGAGATGACACGGTACGGATTGGGAGAAGAGAAGACACGGTACGGATGGGGAGAAGAGATGACACGGCACGGATGGGGAAAAGAGACGACACGGTAAGGAAGGGGAGAAGAGACGAGACGTTACATATGGGGAGAAAATATGACATGTTACAGATGACGAGAGGAGTGAGTCCTTGCAGAACAGCAACACACATCCGCGTTGCAAGGCCCCTCAAGACTCTTTATAAGAAAACGGTACAACTTCAACTCACCACCAGCAGCGGCAGCACGCCGTTCCACGAGGTGTTGCCGGAGCGCTCGCAGTACATGCGGATGGTGCGCTTCAGCAGCGTGTTCTTCCCCATGAGGACCACCGAGTCCGGCCTCAAGCCGCTGCGGATGCTCTGCATCTGCTTGGACCCCACGTTGTCCGCCTTGCACACGAGCGCCTTGGAGAACTCCTCCAGCATCAGCGACACCTTCTTGTCGTACGCCTGCTTCTTCTCTGCCTTCGTGCCCTTGAACCCCATGGCTGCTGCTTTTTCCTGCTGCGACTAAGAAAACTAACGAGTTAAGGAGGTATGTACCGGGCCGGATGAGAGAGCTAAGAGGAGCTAGGAGGAGGCGAGGGGGACCTGAGAAGCCCAGAAAGGCCCAAGTCGCGCCGGAGCGGCCGACAAGGTGGGTAGCTGGACGGAGCTACCGCTTTAACCAGACAACGAGGTCGCGACGCCGGACGGCGGGGAGCAGCTAAAAATAAAGCTTAGGAGAGCGAAAAGAGAGAGAGATTAGTTTGGCAGATGGGTATATGTGGAGAAGCCTAGAGGCTAGCCAGAAGGGTTGTTCGCGAAGCGGGTTTAACGAAAAAGGGTACCAAAGAACTGCTGTCGCACGAAGGGTATTTGCGAAATGGTCGTGTTCGCGAAACAGCCTCATATTGTGTTCGCGAAGACAGGGGAACCCCAATACCAAATGTGGATATCCACCGTAAACCTTCCTTCCCCTGGGGAAGCCATTTGATTCGTCGGATTTCTAGAAGCTGAAAAACTGCACACGCCAGTTACCATTGACACTCTCTGAAGGTAACAACGACTTCGTGAAGAGCGTCGCATGCAAGTTTGTCCCAGGCTAGCGACACGGGGAAATTCCTCCTGCACCTTGGGTGCTGCCCAACAACACAACACCACCTAGATTCTTTCTGCAATCATGTCCATACTACTCCCAAGCGCAGACGTCAAGTCGAAGCCCAAAGACAGGCAGGATCAGAGGTGGTCTGCTCGCTCGTACTCCCCCCAGCGTGACTCACTCCGTCCGTCGCTCCGTTAATCGCCGTCGCGGCAAGAGTCGCAAAAGTCGCAATGGGTCGCAAGAAGAAGTTCGTCGACAAGAAGAGCGCGGCGTCGTTCACGCTCATGTACCGCGAATCCAACGACCCCGACGCGCCCGGCGAGCGCGTCTTCGTGCGCACCGATCCCGGCAGCAACCACGTCCCGGGATTCTCGGACGACTACCAGCCGCCGATCCCGGAAAACGCGGAGGATTTTAGCGGTGAGGAGTGGGAAGAGGACGAGGAGGAGGAGGCGGAGGAGGAGGAGGGGGGAGAAGGTGCGGAGGGGGGAAGCGTCGCTGGCAGCCGAAGGTCCCGAGCGCAATCGCACGCAGTCGCACGCGCGACAGATGGCGACGACACGGCGTCTGTCGCAGGCCGATCGCACGCGAGCACGAGACGCGGCGGGGGAAGAGGACGCGACTTGTGGGCGGGGATGGGGGGAGGCGGCGGGCGTGGGGGAGCGTGGGGCGGTTGGGATGGGGAGAGCATGATGGGCGGAGGCAGCGTGGCCGGGCAGGGCAAAAAAAAACTTTCTGAGAGCGCCCGCCGCGAAATTGTTGAGTTAGGGTTACCCGACGACGGTTACGACTACACGCAGCATCTTCGGGTGATCGGGCAGACGAGGACGTTCGCGTCGTTCGTTCCCGCCGAGGCCCCCGCTGCTGCTCTGCCGGACGACGTCAAGGTACGTTAACTATGACGTCACACGCTACACGCTTTGACGTCATCTACACGCTTTGTCGTCAACTACACGTTTCTAATCTGTCTCACCTCGGTTAACGTCCTATCTGCGCTTCCGAGTTCCTTACCATCCGCCATGCCCTCCGTTCCTCGCCACTTGCCACGCACGCCGCGATCTGCAGATTTACAAAGCCACGCGCCTGACCGTGCGGCCAGACACGTCAGCTGCCACGTCAGCAGCTGCTGACGCGGCAGCTGCTGACCTGGAGGTCGTCGCTAAGATCTCCTCCGTCATTAAGGAGATTCGCCCGAAACGCGGATTTACCGCCGCCGTGCCGCCAACCCGCGCGGTTCAAAGCGCAGCGGCGGCTTCCGCGAGTGCGCAAGCGGGGGAAACCGCGGCGGGGGAGGGCGGCGCATCTTACCTGGGCGTCTCGGGGCTAGATCCGGAGGTTTTAGCTCTGCTAGAGGATGGGGCGGGCGGAGGGGAAGAGGGGGAGGAGGGGGAGGAGGTTTTCGGGGAGTTGGAGGACGATTTCATTCTGCTGGCGACTGCTGGGGGGGAGGAGGAGGAAGCGGAGGCGGAAGAGGAGGGGAACGAGGTGGAGGGGGAAGGGGAGGGGGAGGGGAAGGGGGAAGCGGAGGGGGAGAATTTGGCGGAAGAAGGTGAGGGTACGGGAGCGGCAGGAGACACGGTCATTGGGGCGAGCGTGCAAGCCTCTGCAAGCAGGGTTGAGGGTTCAGGGTTTATCGGGGAAGGGGGTAAGCTTGGCGGGGGAGAGGGGGCGAGCGCGGCGGCGGAGGGGAAGGAGGCGTTCGGGGGGGAGGAGGCAAGGCGGAGGGCGGAGGATGAGGCCAAGAGCCGCGCGCAGGCGGAGGAGAATCTGAGAGTGCTGGAGGAACAAGTGATGCTGGTGAGTGGTGCTGGAGAGTGGCGGGTTTTACAAAAACCCTGAACCTGGTCAAGTGCTGACGGTCTCCCTCAACCCTAATTAAGTGCTGATGTCTTATAAGGATGAGGCATTGAGCCGCGCGCAGGCGGAGGAGAATATGAGAGTGCTGGAGGAACAGGTGATGCTGGTAAGTTAGCGTTGTTGTTAGAATCCAAATCTTACATCCTGAACCCTGGTGGATGACGGTACTGTGCGTATTGAGGTTTCGTCTAAGGATGAGGCTTAGAGCCGCGCGCGGGCAGAGGAGAGCCTGAGAGCGCTGGAGGAACAAGTGACGCTGGTGGTGAGCTGGCGTTGATGTTAAACCCGAAACCCGAAACCCGAAACCCTGGTGAGTGGTGCCATGGTGCGTATCCAGGCATCTCTAAAGGATTTGGCTTGTGCTATTGCTCGAATGTGATAAACCCCTAACTGGTCTGTAATTGACTTTCTTCTGCCCCCCCACCTACCCCCCCCCCCCCCCCTCCCCCCCGTTACCCACGACCCTGCTGACTCACACCTCTAGCTTGCTGAGCGGGAATATGCCGATGCTGACCTGGACGACTTTGACGATGACGTGGATGGGGACCACGGGGGCGGCACGGGGGGGGCGGCAGCAGGGCATGCGGATATTTCAATGTTCAGCAACGTGCTGGACGACTTCCTGGAAGCTTCCCGGCGGGAGAGCCTGCTAGAGCTGAGGAAAGGGGGGGCGGTTGTGCGCATGGGGAAGGGCGGGGGGAAGGGGGAGAGTGGGGGAAATGGGGGAACCAAGGATGGGGGTGAGAGGGGAAGGAAGGGAAGGGAGGGGGAAGAAGATGGGGAGGTGGAGATTGAGGCTGTTCCTATTGCGCCTGGGGAGGATGAGACGGGCGGGAAGGGAGGGGAGAAGGAGGGCGATGGGGAGCAGACGGAGGGACAGGGGAGAGGTGCGGAGGGGGGTATTAGGGAGGTGGGAACAGAGGAGGGAGAGGAGGAAGAGGAAGAGGAGGAGGAAGAGGAGGAGATAGTATGGGAGCGGGAGGAGGAGAAGGAGAGGGAGAAGTGGGACTGCGAGTCGATCGTCTCGACCTACTCCAATCTCGACAACCACCCCGCGAGAATCACTGCCCCGTCAAAAGCCCGCAGGGGGGGCCGAGCAGGAGGGGCGACAGGAGGAGCAGCAGCAGGGGGGTTGATCGGGGTGGAGGAGATTCGGCTCAAGGGGCGAGCCCAGTTGCCGGCTGGTTTTCTGCCTGGCAGGGAGGGGAAAGGGGGGAGGTTTCAGAGGGTTGAGGAGGAAGGGGGAGAGGAGGGGGAGGGGGAGGGGGAGTCAGGGGGAGGAAGGGGAGGAGAGGTGGGTGGTGCGATGTTGGTGCGGCCGAGAGGCAGGGACAAGGAGACAGCTGAAGAGAAGAAAGCGAGGAAGGTATGGCAGTGAGCAAGGTAGGGCAGTGAGCAAGGTAGGGCAGTGAGCAAGGTAGGGCAGTGAGCAAGGAGAGCTGGCAAGAAATGCCAGCGCCACTCGTGCTGCTGGTGCTGTTGGTGCTAATGGTGAGGTGAGGTGTCTCTGGTGTGTTCGTTCGGCTGAGCGGGAAGGTCAAGGCGGCTGCAGAGAAGAAAGTGTGCAAGGTACAGCTTGCTCGTGGTCATGGCGGGCAAGAGAGTGTGTTGGCGATTCCCCCCTTCCCCCACTCTCCTCCCGCCCCCTTCTTCCTTGCACCCTTTCGCTCCTCCCACCGCTCTCTCTCGGCCCCTCTTTCACCACACCCCCCTCTCTTGGTGACTTTTGAGTCGACTCAAAAGTCACCTCACCACACCACACCTCACCACACCACACCACACCACACCACACCACACCCCCCTCTCTTCTCACTCCGTTGCGCCCTTTCCCTCCTCTCTCCCCCCACGGCCCGTCTCTCCCCATTACACCGATTGCAGGAGGCAGTCAAGGCGCCGAAGCGGGCGGTTTTCTAGGCGCCTAAAAAATCTTCCCCTCCTCTCTCCCCCCACCACCCATCTCTACCCATCACACCTTGCAAGAGGCAGTCAAGGCACCGAAGCGGGCGGCGAGGGAGAGGAGGGAGACGAGGGAGAAGTGTTCAACGTACCCCTCTTCCCCACTCTCACTTCTCCCCCTACCCACCAACCGCAGGAGGCAGTCAAGGCACCGAAGGGGGCGGCGAGGGAGCCATAGAAAACCGACGAGGGAGATGCACATAGCGGTACAGCTAACCCCCAACCCCCCTTCTTTTTCTACTTCGACCCGCCGCTTGCAGGAAGCCGTCAAGGCCCAGAAGCGGGCGGCTAGGGAGACGAAGAAGCAGACGAGGGAGATGTACAAAGTGGAGGGCAAGAGGGCTCAGAAGGGGGCGGCATCTACTGTAGCACAGGGTATTCATTTACTGTAGCGCAACGGATGCATCACTGTTCTTTGCGAGATCATCTTATCCATGGGAGATGCATTCAATGTAGAGAGAAGGATCCTGGTATCTGTAAGAGCATGAGTGCAAGTCCTGTTTTGTTGCGTTAGATACGGTAAGAATGAAAGCATGCATTGGATTGAGAGCATTATTGTGGAGTGTATAGTTTCCAGCTTTACCAACCCTTCCAAAAATTATATTAGTGAGTGTTACATGCTATTACGCCCAGTTGAGGTTTGTCAGCCGGTGCAGCACAGCACAGGGTTGAGATGCGGTAGGTGCTTGGATCTTCACTTCATTTCACGATGGCCGAACCAATGGCTGGATTTCCTTGATGGCCCTTGCACACTCGGATATGATCACAAGCAGCTGGGAGGGACGGGGGGGGGGGGGGGAGGGGAGAGGGGGGGGGGGAGAGGGGAGAGAAGGGGGGGGGAGAGGGGAGAGGGGGGGGGGGGAGAGAGAGAGAGAGGGGGGGGGGGGAGAGGGAGGAGACGGTGGGCGTTTGTTTATACATCCTGTTCCAAATACTTGACACGCTTGGTGGGGGTGGCAGCAATGAGGGAAAGGCTGGGGATCGGAGAAGGCTTGGAGCGAAAAGAGGAACGTAGAGTTACGTATACATAGGGTAACATAGGGTACACAAAGGGTAACATAGGGTACACAAAGGGTAACATAGGGCACACAAAGGGTAACATAGGGTACACAAAGGGTAACATAGGGTACACAAAGGGTAACATAGGGTACACAAAGGGTAACATAGGGTACACAAAGGGTAACATAGGGCACACAAAGGGTAACATAGGGTACACAAAGGGTAACATAGGGTAGACAAAGGGTAACATAGGGCACACAAAGGGTAACATAGGGTAGACAAAGGGTAACATAGGGCACACAAAGGGTAAACATAGGGCACACTAAGGGTAACATAGGGTAGACAAAGGGTAACATAGGGCACACAAAGGGTAAACATAGGGTACACAAAGGGTAACATAGGGCACAAAAAGGGTAACATAGGGCACACGAAGGGTAACATAGGGCACACAAAGGGTAACATAGGGCACACAAAGGGTAACATAGGGCACACAAAGGGTAACATAGGGCACACAAAGGGTATACATAGGGCACACAAAGGGTAACATAGGGCACACAAAGGGTAACATAGGGCACACAAAGGGTAACATAGGGCACACAAAGGGTAACATAGGGTACACAAAGGGTAACATAGGGTACAAGTGGTGGCGAGTACAAAGAGTCAAGCGACTCACAATCCAAAGGGACGAGAAGGACAAGAGGCCCACCTGTTGTGTCTGCTGTAAGTCGGAGGTGCAATCCAAAGCCCTCTGAGCTCTCTGTTCGGTGCGGTGGGATTGTGATAAACAAGGGGTGAGCAGAGCAAGATGCGCTCAGCTGTGATTGAGAGTTGGCTCATGGGAAGGAGGAGAGAGGGGTCAGGTGGAGGAGAGAGGGGTCAGGTGGAGGAGAGAGGGGTCAGGTGGAGGAGAGAGGGGTCAGGTGGAGGAGAGAGGGGTCAGGTGGAGGAGAGAGGGGTCAGGTGGAGGAGGGGACAACAAGATCTCAACCGCAACAAGTAGGCGTTCAACCGTGACTGGCTGACAATAAGAGCTCGTCTGCAATAGGCTCACTCACTACACCACACGTGCTCACCTGTAATTGGCTGATGACAGACCGCAGAGCAGCAGTGAGGGCGTCATTAGCAGCTGCGTTCAAAGCGCCCAGCGGCAAGGCGGGTTCGGGTGGTGATGATGTGCCAGGTGCACCCGGGGCACTGGCAGTGGCAGTAGCAGCAGTAGTGGCAGTAGCGGCAGTAGCGGCAGTAGCGCCAGTAGCGCCAGTAGCACTGGTAGGAGCCACAGGAGCTGCTCCTGCTGTTGCTGCAGTGGCAGGAGTTGAGGCTGGAATGGTGGCAGGAGTTACAGTTGCTACAGTGGCGCTGGGCGGCGAATCCTGTCTTTGCTGCGCTCCAGTCATCCTCCCTAATGGCATACTCGATACAAGCCCATCCCCATCTGCCCTTGCCACCCCTCCGCCTTCCCGGCCTTTACTTTCCTCCTCCTCTTGCTCCCACCCTACGGCACCTTCCTCGCTCCTTCCTCCCCGCTGCTGCTGAGCTGGCTCTTGTACTGCTGCTGACGTCACCTGCTGTGCTGACTGGCGAGCTGCTGACGTCATCTGGGGCGGAGCATCGCTTTCCTCTAGAACAGGCAGGTCGCAAACGACGCACCGCTTCTCCCCCGCCCTGGTGGTAAGGGAGGGGGAGGGGAGGGGGAGGGGAAGGGGAGGGGGGAGGGGGAGGGGGGAGGGGGCACATGAGAGCAGTGGCGAGTGGAGGCAGGTCGCACACGACACACCACTTCTTTCCCGCCCTGAGGGTAAGGGAAGGGGACGGGGCGCGGAAGAGGGGGTATGAGAACAGTGGAGAGGGGGGGGGGCAGCTCGCACACGGCGCACTGCTTCTCTCCCGCCCTGGTGGTTTAAGAAACCGGGAGGGGGTTTAAGAGTAGGGCGGCGGAGGTTTGGAGTAGAATGCGTTAAGAGCAGTGGAGAGTGGGGACAGGTCGCACACGACGCACCGCCTCCCTCCCGCCTCGATGGTTCAAGAACGGGGGAGAGGGTTTAAGAGGGGGGGGAGAGGGTTTGGCGGGGGATTTGGGGTTGAAAAGGGTTAAGTGCCGAAATTCGGGATTGAAAGGGGGAGGAGGAACCGGGTTGAGGGTGAGGGGTGGAGGGAGGAGGGAGGGGAAGGACTAGAGAGATGGGGACGGTCTGTTGAAATACTTTATCACGAAAAGCAAGGGCTTTTGAGTCGACTCAAAAGGAAGGACTTGGGGACGGTCTGTTGAAATACTTTATCACGAAGAGCAAGGGCTTTTGAGTCGACTCAAAAGGAAGGACTAGAGAGATGGGGACGGTCTGTTGAAATACTTTATCACGAAAAGCAAGGGCTTGGCCTCCATTATTCGCGCCAAGTGCATCACGCGGATGAACCTTCTCAGAGTACCAGGGTGGCCTATATCGAGGATGGAGCGGCACCTGCTGCGGAGGATGGGGTTGAAGCACACGGGGCAGTGCATGGCGAGCATCGCCCAGCCCTGCAGCAGCTTCTCGCCAATATCGTTCCCCGTGGACTTCTTTTGCGGCCCCGCGCCCGCAGCGCCGTTCATCGTGGCGTTAGATTAATAGATCCGGGGTATGCGAGGGACGAAACGAAGACTAGATAGAGTGGCAAAGGAACGCGGGAAAATTCAGCAGTGAAAAGCGCTCCCAGTCGGGAATTTGGAGTGGTGTGTGCTCCCAGTAGGGAATCAAACTCTCGTCTTTGAGCTCCTCGCAACCCGTGTGCGGAATTCGGGGGTTCTATGCTGAGTGTAGACACATCATTTCAAATAAGTCACTACAGTAATTTCGGAGGGGATTTGTAAGCGATTCCTGAGGTTTCTCCACCCCAATTAGTGTGCCCTATGCTTTTGGTTGATGGCGGAGCGGACGTCACGCCGATGGCGGAGCGGACGTCACGCCGTCCAACTGAGACGGGCGAAACGCGTTCGAACTGTCCGCCCATGTGCCGAATTCTGCCCTGTGACTGGTCAGCTACCCAGTCAAAGTCCCCCCGTTTCCGCGCACGGGCAAGCCAACAAAGATCACCCAAACGCGCACAGGGTGGCCGCGGTGGTGGCGGAGCCAACGAAGATCACCCAAACGCGTTGGTTGGATGCTTGCGGGCAGTGACGAGGGGAGACTGTACAAATAATTTCAGTCGGTCAGGACGGAACGGAACTGAAACTTTTCTCCGCGAGAGATCCTCAGCCATTGGATGAGTCGACTTTTGACCACATTCGCTGCGTCATTGCGGCGATGACACCCCCCCCTTCCCCCCTCCTCTTCCCCCCACTCCTCACCTCACCTCACCTCACCTCACCTCAACCCTTGACCGTTCTCAGCTAAAGCGGGGGCGGAGGGGAGAGGAAGTTCGCCCCGGGCGCACCACAATTACTGCTACAGTAGCTTATCAAGCGGAGGCTTCTCCCCCATCCGCCCTCCCTCCCCCGCGGAAATCTCGAAAGCTCCGCCACATCCGCCTCATTTGGGAAGCTCCAGGGGTTGCGCGCACGGGTGCATGCGCCATGCACGAGAGGCTCCTCCGCCAGAATCCGGCTGCAGCACAGCTGGCATGGCGGATCGCGTTCCGCTGCAAATTCGCCCCTCGCATTCGGCTAACATTGCGCTCCCCTTCCCCCGATCAAACCATCCGTATCCCAAATCAACCCAGACGTACCATCCGTCACCTAGACGTAACCTTCTGTCACCGTTTCGATCGCTCCTATGATTCATCCATGACTCCCATAATTCTATTCCCTTGGTCCATATCCCCTCCCCCTCATCCATTCCCTAGGTGACCCAAAAGCCTGCTTCCGTGGATCCCGCTCGTCAACAGCTATCGCGCATGGCCGAATGTCGCTCGGTCCGTGGAAACTTAGCTATCGCTCGTCCTAACTTCTTGCTTCGTCTCAATGTCACCTGCGCTCGCTTTGGACAATCGCGTTCCATGCGCTCAGCAGTTAAGAGTCGACCCCTCAGCTGTTAGAGTCGACCCCTCAGCAGGTACTAAACACTGCCTCTCTCTCCATTCGAGAGCAAGGGTTTCGTCCCATCGATCCGTCCCAGATTCTTTTTACTATCTGCATAGCGAATTCCCATACTCCCTCCAGCGACTCTTCGTCTCAGACTCTTAGCATACCGTTCGACGATTCTTAGCTCCACAGCTATCATCGTACCGCGGCGGCGGCTACTACTAGCAGCAGCAATTCCAATGGCACCTTCACTTCTATCCTCCTCGTTCTCAACGCCAGACGGGCCTCGTCCCATCCTCTCATCCTCGTCCTCCCTCAACCGCGCTAATCTCTGCGCGCGGCAGCACTCCATCGTCTTCTCCGTCTCCTACGACGGCCGCACCGTCAGCATCTGCGTGGCGTGCGCGCTCCTCGACTTTCTCGTGAAATTAATCTTCTTCATCCCGCGCTTTATTCTCGTCCTCGCGAGCTTCGGCGTGCCGCTCCTGCTGCTCCCCGTGGGCTCGCTCATCGACCTGACCTCCCCGCCGATGCTGGTGGCGCAAGCCGTTGCACTCATCTGGTACACGTGTTACCTGCCCGGGTTACAGACGTTACAGTCGAAGCGCGACAGTTTCAACCGCAAGCGGCGGATGCTGCAAGCCGTGGAGGCTCGGAAAACGCGCAACGACACGGGAGATTCGCGGAATTTTCGCGCGGAGATCGCTTCTGCGCTGGTAACCAGCCCAGCGAAGTCGTGTGCTGCGACTGAGATGGGGCACCGGACGTGCGAAGACGAGGCGGTTAACAGAAGAAGCATAAGGCAAAGAATTGGCGAAAATCTCCAGTGTTTGCGAAGACTAGCTTGCGAGAAGGCGACTTTCGCCTCGCGAGGGTTGCGACACGGCCTCGATTCCGCGAAAAACGCCATCACGTGCTCATGCTGGCGGCTTATGGTGTCCGCAAGAGTTACGGTAACCACTACAGTAACAACGGCCGCAGCTACAGTAACGGCTACAGCCGCCGCTACAGCCCGATGGGCCGCCATGTCCGCCCAGGCTGCCGTCTTCACTTGCGCTCAACTCCCGGGTGCCGCTACTGGCCTTGCTGTGAGGATGCTTGCTGCCACGTGGATGCTCCTTGTAACGCGGATGCAGCGCCGGCAGTTGGCGTCGGATTCTACCGAGGCGGAAGGATCGGCGGAAGGATCGGCGGAGCTCTGCGCGAGGGAGGCGGGGGAGAGGACGCGGAAGCGGGGCAAGGGGCGGAAGGGAGCGCGCCATGCTAGGGGAGGCGGCGGAAAGGCTGAATTCGAGGCGCTGGAGCATAACGGATGTGATAATGACGTGGCAGGGAGGGAGGAGGGGGGAAAGATTGAGCAGAGCAGGGAGGAAGAGTCAGAGAATGACGTGGCAGCGCTGCAGGCGGCGGAAATTCCGGAAGTCTCGGAAATTTCTGAGGCTCCAGAGCTGGTGGAGGGTTTGCTTGAGGAGAAGGAAGCTTCGGCGAAGGAGCGTTTGAGGAAGAGGGCTGTCAGGAAGCAGCGGCGGGCGAGGCGTGAGCGTGCCACGTCGGAGGCGCTCCAAGAAGAATCCATGTCAGACGCTGAAGCCACGCCCATGCAGGCTGACGTGGAGCTGACGCAGCAGGATATTAACGTGAAGAGCGGAGAGGAGCAGTTGCCGCAATTGACGCGATTAACGCCGCCCGAGCTGTCGCAACTGATTGATCAGCTGAAGCGATTGGCTGCTGGACAAGGGTGCGACAGTGGCGAGAGTGACTCTAACGACAGCAGCAATGCGGACTGCAGCTCCCCCTTGCACCTGGTAAGCTTGTGCCACTGTGCGTTGTTTCTCTCGCTTTCAGCGTCACCTCACTAGGTTTTTCGCTTTTTTGTTTTGCATTTTTATTTTTCTTACCTCTCTAGTATTCTAACTGTACGATGGTGTATTTCCTGTTTTGCGTCCTTGCAGGAGCCAACTTATGCTACAAAGCCCAAGCTCACTGTCCGCCAATCCCGCCAATCCAAGTCATCTTCTGACGCCAGCATGGTCAGTGGCTGGGAAAGCAGCAGCAGCAGCTGCTGCGGCGGCGGCAGCAGTGGCAGCGACAGCAACATCGTCAGCAGGAGCAGCAGCGGCTGCAGCAGCAGTGCCAGTAGGAGGAGTGGTGGCTCCTACAGTGGTGGCTCCTGTATCATTGGGCAACCGGACTTGGTTGCTGCCTCAACTTTGCCATCCCCTTACACCCTTCCTTCCTCCTCCACCTCATTCCCCACCTCCTCCCTCCCTACTCTCTCCCCTTCCCTGTCCTCACTCACCCTCCCCTCACCCGTCTCGCCTGCGGATATGCTCCTTCCAAGCTCCACTGGCCCCACGCACCTGCAGCCATGGCAACACCATCACCAGCAGCAGCAGCAGCAGCAGCAGTCGCGGGCAGCAGTGACAGCAGCAGCGGCACAATGGGAGATGTGGGGCTCGCCTCACCTCAACTTCCAGAACCTGCTGCTTCAGCAGGGGGAAGAGGAACAAGGGAACGCCAACACAAACACGAGCAGTCTTTGCTGGAGCCCGGACGACAAGCCATGGCTGCCCTCCCCCACCCCTCTCTCCTCCTCACTAAAAGCCCCGGGAATGCCGGCCTCCAGAATCTCCACCTCTGGCTTCGATTGGCTGGAGAGAGAGGGTGATGGCATGCTGCCGCCTCCTGCTGTGCCGGTCCATGTGGAGTATCCTGCGGCTGGCGTCCTGTCTGGTGGCGTCCCTCCACCACCCCTTGGCCACTATTACAGTATCACCGCCGAGCGTACCAGCATTCAAAATAACACGGGCTTTGGGAGTGCTGGCCACGAAAAGCAGCAGCAGCGATGTGTGCCGTTGGGCAGCCTATTGCCTGGCTCTCTGTTTGAGAGAAACGACCAAGTCCTATCGTCGCCTGGGGATTATGCGCTCCTGGGTTCAGGATTTGCAGAAAGGATAACCCTGGAGGATGTCCTTTACACTAGGGAAGCGATTGAGGAATGGGTGCTATAGGGTGCAGCTGATGTACAAACTTGCTGTATGTGTTGAAAGAATTTTGTTGCTACCTCTTGATATCAAGTATATGTGCATAATGATTTGCTGAGGCTGCTGGAAAGTACAAATTTTACACCAAATCGGTGACAATATTTTGTCTGTAGAGGTTACTGTAGCATAAAATTACGGAATTTGTCTTCATATTTGTTAAAATAACTCAAAATTATTGGAGAGGACTATTGGTCTTACACCTGAGATAGGAAATCTGTAGGGGGTTGCTACCACATTGATAACTTTATGGAGCCTTTAGAGAGTCATTAGTACTGTCCCCCACTTGACACAGTTCTACAAAGCCTTCGCATTTCCTTTCAACATAATTTCTGAATCTTTTATCAGCTTTTGCTACATTATCCATAGTTCATATTACAGCTAACAACATTAGTTGAGCTGCCCTCCCGCACCCTATCAAAGATGTGTCGCACAAAAGCGGGTGGAGAAAGATTACACATTCTTGCAGAACTCACAACATACCTATTTGCAGACTCCTAAGCCTGCAGCAAACATCTCTTTCAACATTACTTTTATTAGTCACCCAACCAAATACGAACACATAACCTTACAAGCTAACTTTCCACAACCGTGTTTTACAACTCAAACCTCCGCAGCCTTTGCCGCGCCGGTCTCAGGGGGACCATACAGCTGCACGCCCTGCCCGTCCTGCCCCTCAGTGTTATACGCGGAGCCCCCGTGCTTCGTCATATCCATCCCCGCGATCTCCTCATCGGGCGGAACGCGCAGCAGGTTGAGCGAGTGGAGGATGAAGAAGAGCGCGCCCATGAGCACCGACACCCACGCGAACACGCAGATGATCTCCAGGCACTGGCACGCCAGCAGCTTGCCGCCGCCGCCGTAGAACAGCCCGTAGGGGGTCGTGTCAGGCTTGGCATACGCTTGCATGAGGAATTCCTTCTTGGCTAGAAGGCCTGGAGGGGCGAGAGTGAGAGAGAGGAACAGAGGGAGAGTGAGGGAGAGGGGAGAGATAGAGTGAGATAGAGTGAGATCAGGAGCCATAGGGGGTGGTGTCATGCTTGGCATATGCTTGCATGAGGAAATCCTTCTTGGCTAGCAGGCCTGGGGGAAGGATGGGAGCGGGACAGAGAGAGGGAGAGCGGAGGGGTGGGGGGAATGAGACAAGAACAGAAGGGGGTCATATCAGCCTTGCCATAGGCGTGCATCACAGAGAGCATAAAGGGAGAGACGGAGGAGAGCATTGAGAAGGGACAGAGTGGGGGAAGGAGGCCAGGAGGGTGGGCGGCAGAGAGGGGGGGAGGAGAGGGGGGTTGATAGGTGGGAGAGGGGGGAGGGGAGGCAGAGGGTGGGCGCTGGGCGCTGGGGCAGAAAGGGAGGGGGGGCCGCGGGGGGTGGAGGGGAGGAGAGGGGGAAGGAGGGGAGACTGGAGATTGGGGGAAGAGGAGGAGAGGAAGGAGAAGGACAGGGGTAAGACGGGGTAAGAAAGGAAAGGGGGGGGGGGGAGGGGGGGGGGGGGGGGGGGGAAGCGCGAAGGGTGACGTACCGACGAAGAAGAGCCCCCAGGCTCCGCAGCCGAAATGCAGCTGGGTGGCCTCAAGCGGGTCGTCGAACTGAATCTTCATGGAGATCATGTTGAGGATGATGAGCGTCCAGCTCGCGCCGAACCCGCAGAGAATGGCGGCCCACGGCTCCACGACCGAGCAGCCAGCAGTGATGGCGGCGAACCCGCCGAGGAGCCCGTTGCACACGTCAGTCACGTGCCAGCAGCCCTGCAATCAGGAGGGAATTTGAGAAAAGGGCGGAGAGCAAACACAGAGGTGGGGGGTGAGAAGGCGCAGAGAATGGCGGCCCACGGCTCCACCATCAACAGCCGGCGGTGATGGCGGCAAACCCGCCGAGGAGCCCGTTGCACACGTCAGTGCAGCCCTGCAAGGCCAACACAAGCAGAGCGCTTGAGAGAATGACACGTGGAGGTGGGTGAGACGCAGCAGCTCGGGGGCGAGGTCAGAGATACGAACAGCCACGAGGGAAGCTGACTGGGTAAGGCTGACCATGCGATAACCAGGGAGCATGAGGGAGACTGACATGGGAATACCACATTTCTGGTGCCGACTCTCCACCCAGGTAAGTTGGTGCACTTGTTTCTTCACAGGCACAATTTGAAATCCACCATACAGCACCCAGGCACTTACAGCGAGGAGTCTCTTTGCGAGGAGCGTGTTGACGGCAGCCATGCAGCCCGAGAGCGTGGTAGTGACGGCGGTGCGCCCCACCCACGACCAGTTACCCAGCACGTCCGTCCACGGGATGGTGATGCGCAGGAACGACCCGGGGTTGAACCCGTACCACCCGAACCTGGTGATGTATGGTAACATAGCCAAGTGGGAACAGTTGGTTACAGAAGGCTTGGACACGACCTCCGTGAGGCAAGAATGCGAGAAAACAGGGCTTGGACTCTACGAAAGTGGGAAAGAGATGCCGAGAATCGGAAACGGCCACAGCATAGCAGGAGCCTCACCAGAGCAGGAACGAGCCGAGCACGACGAGCGTGGCGGAGTGGCCCTTCATCTCGAGCGGGCGGCCGCCCTTGTCGAAGCGGCCCAGACGCGGGCCCTCGATAAGCGCACCCCAGAGCCCAGCGACGCCGCCCACCATGTGCACCACGCCGCTGCCCGCGAAGTCGATGGCGCCCACGTCTAAAAAGAGGTTGTTCGTGTTGAAGGCCGACAGCCAGCCGTTCTGCGTTTGGGGGAGGGCGGGGGAGGGGGAGGGGGGGAGAGGGCAAGGGGGGGAGAGGGGAAGGGGGGGAGAGGGGAAGGGGGGGAGAGGGGGAGGGGGGGAGAGGGGAAGGGGGGGAGAGGGGGAGGGGGGGAGAGGGGAAGGGGGGGAGAGGGGGAGGGGGGGAGAGGGGGAGGGGGGAGAGGGGAACGGGGGGAGGAGGGAGGAAGCATGAACACATGCGAAAAGATGGTCTCCGATACAAGGGAGTGAGGCGGCTCAAGAAGGTCCGTAATGAAAGACAGGAGACGACAGGAGAGGGCAGGTTGGCAGCGTACCGTGGCCCAGATCCAGTGCGCGACGACGGGGTAGACGAAGCCCGTGAGGAAGGTGGAGTAGACGAGGTACGCCGTGAACTGCGTGCGCTCGGCGATGGAGCCCGACGTGATGCCGGCGCACGCGATGGCGAAGGCCCACTGGAACATCCAGAAGCTGAAGTCGTAGATGTAGTTGATGCCCGGCGGGTCGAACGACGTGTACACGGGCAGGCCCGACATGGCGAAGTAGTTGGCGCCGATAAACGCATTGCTGCGATGATACGAGGGGGAGGGCACGGAAGGGGGAATTGTGGGAGAAGGAGAAGGGAGTCCGCGCACGACAAGACTTAGTAAGCAGTAAGAAGCTATGTTCACCGGACATGGACAGATAGTTGGAGCGTATAAAAGCATTACTGCGCGCACACGCGTGGAGAGAAGGACGGGAAAAAAGGGGGAGCCTTGGAAGAAGACGCGTGTCATGTTGTTCTGTCTGAGCACGATGGGACAGAAACAACAGGACACACAACTCCGGAAACCAAAGCAAAGAATAGGGGACATATATTCATGTATTGATTGACCAAAGCAAGGCAAAGAATAGGGGATATATATATTCATGTATTGATTGAGGAAGGTTGCACGAAGAGACGTACCTGGTTCCTCCTTGGCCGAAGGCGAACGCGAAGCCGAAGATGTAGAAGGAGAGGCCTCCCACGCAGGCGTCGAGCACGTTGGTGAGCATGATGTTCATCGTGTTCTTCGCGCGCACCGTTCCAGCGCACAGCATCGCGAAACCAATCTGCGGAAGAGAGAAGCCAACCGTACAGTTCAGGGTGAGACGGCTTGTGACGCAATGACACCGACGCGAAACGATTTGAGTCGACTCAAAAATCGCTTGTGACGCAATGACACCGACGCGAAACGAAGTTGAAAGCAGGGGAAGAGAATATTAAACGAAATGAGTGAGGTCTCTTGTTGTAAACAACCAGGTCGCATTAATTTGACAACGTACCGCCTGGTAAGCAGGACTTAGGTCGTACCTGCATGGCGAAGACGAGATAGGCGGAGAAGAGGAGGTAGGTGTTGTCGACGGCGAGCTGCGTCCATTGAAACTGCGCCGCGATCAGGTCGAGCTTGCTGCAGAAGAAGCTCGCGAAGTCCTGCTCGCCGATCGTCAAGCTGGGGAACGCCGACATCAGCATGGCCGTGTCATTTTCGCTGCACATGAAACCGTACACCGAGTTGTACAACCCGAGGGTCGAGGTCGAAACCTCCGAATACGTCGCCATGGCGCCTGGCACCAATGCAGACGACCGACTGGTAACCGGCAACCGGCAACCGGGAGCGTCCTGACCAGTGCGTGCTTCTAAAGATAATATGCAGACAACGGTTGCTCCAGGAACAACCTGGCTTCGTAAAAGGAGTAATGGAGGTGAGGGTTCAACCTTGAGTTTTTATTTCTGGGCTGCTCAGTGCACTCTCTCTCTAACTCTCAAGTCGCAGCCTTTTCCGAACCACTCAGGTCTGGAGTCTGGGGAGAAATACCAAAGTGCCGAACCAGGCGGGCTGTATCAAAACCACTGGCTTAGGAGGCTGAAGCTCTACCGAAGCTCCTCCCACATTTCCCAGACGAACCACCGTAGCTGCCTGGCCGAGCCATAACATGCCGAGCCAGCCAGTGGGGTGTGAAGGTGAGCGCGCCAAGGCTGTGGATTGGCGAGCGACGAGGGCGTGTGAGTGGTTGAAGATGAGATCGGCGACAAAGTGTCCCTGCGCTTCTCAAGCGCGGTCCGGTCGAAGCAACGCCGACGAGCTCGACGGCATCGCTGCAAAGCCTTTAGAGGCTCAGCGTGCGATCCACGGTCACGGTAAACTCCAAACAGAAACGGCGACGTTTATCAACGAATGAGAAAGAGGCAAATGACCACGAGGATCACGTGACAGGTTAGGCAGGGCAATTTTGACCACGTGGCGCCCACAGAATCCAGCTTTCGCCCCGAGCCTTTCGCTGAGGCGAGGGGATTGAACCTGACAGGAATTTGTGGCGGGCAGCTGGAAGGACGGGGCGAAACGGGGGAAGGGCGGAAGGTGTGGGGGGGCGAGGGGAAGCGGAACAGGTTACTGTATCGATGAGCACTATCACCAAGGAAGCAAGCACGCGTGACTCCAAACTTGGCATGCTGCTCATCAAGTGGCCCAGCCGCCGCAGCTGGTGCCCGTTCTGAGCCACGCAGACCCAAACTTCGCTGTTTATCTACCAATCAGGAGAGGCGTAGATTGCCACATAGACGACACCGAATGAAAGTGCCATGCTGGCAAGACGAGTTCCAGAACTCCCAAATCAACCAATGCGCGAAAAGTGAAGAGGACAGTGGGACAAGGGGACCGTACAAATTTTCCTCCCTATAGACAGGGCCTTTGCAGGGTACACACTCGTTGAGGTGCAGACAGTCACACCTAATCGGAAATAGGACCTTCAGGCCTAAGTTTTTGGTTCAAACCACGTCCCAATCTCGTGCCCTCGAAAATGTTCGAATGATGTGACGTAAAGCTAGCGAAGTACAATATATTTTACGTTTGGCAGCGTACATGACCACATCGTACCGCTCTCAGAGACCTCAAAGGCTGACGTCTCGTGCCGTCCCTCATTCCTTCCCACTCGTTTGCCTGTCAAATTCCCCCTTCTCTCCCCTCCTCGAGATTTGCTGTATGGAATGCCTCCTCACTCCCGGCACCAGTCCTTCCGTCTCTCCCTGTCGCCCTCATCCCTCCAGCCATGGCCACCATTGTTTCCTCGGGCACCCGAATGACAGTTCGATTGAGTTGGCGCACAAGCTCGATTCAACAAGGAGCATGCAATGCAATGCAAGCACAACGGCCGGATGATGACCGACGACCTCCTACTAACATAACTGCCCACCAACACTTCCGCGTCCCGATTTCCTTCCAGACATGTTTTCCAACCCATGCGCAATACGTAAACTTGCTTGCTAACGAATGGTAACAGCACTGGCAACACGTGGAAATGCATTCCGTATCCTCCTAAACCTTTGATCCCTCTCTTTATCTCTACTTATTCATTCCTGCCAACGATGGTTCTAGCAGCATGCTCGAGTGCATCACATCCACCCACGCGTCCACCGCGTCTGATGACTGTCAGTCGATTCAAAAGGCATCCCCAGCCTTTGTTCTCGTATCTTCTACTTCTTCAGTCCCGCCCGTGATGGTTCTTCCAGCAACACGCTAGCTCCTGAGTCGACTCAAGAGCTCTTTCTCCTCTCTTTTTCTTCAGTCCCCCCAGCGATGGCAAATCAGGCCGTTCTCTCATCTCTACTTCTTCAATCCTGCCAGCGATGGCTCCAGCAACATGCTCGAGTACATCATATCCACCCACGCGTCCGGCACACCTGGCAAGCACCAATGGGTGCAATCCCCGGAAAAGGGGGATTCTCCGTTGCCACTTGGCGACCCAGGACCGGTCGAAGCCCGCCTCTTGAACCAGGGACCCTGATGCGCATCCGGCCGCATCGCGCTCAGGCTGGTAACCTGGAGGAACCGTAACGGGGATCCCAATAACGCGGTTTTCTGTGTCGTCATGTACGCTTCGGACGTGGGAAGCGACAGCCTGTAGTCCTTCAACGCCGCCTGTTCCGACGTGGGTTTCACAGCGCCACACGCGCCAACCCACGAGGGTTTCGTCCCCCCCGCAGAGTCCTGGTACACTCCCTTCTGCGGGCTGCCCGCGCCTCCGTGGTGCGGCGAGAACGAGATAAAGTACGGCACGCCGCCGTAATTAGTGCCTTTTATAAACGAGCTCAGCGTGTTGAGAGCCCACGCGTGCGCGTCGAGATTGGACAGGTTCTTGGGCGAATTGTTCACGAAAAACACGTTCGGCTGCTTGCGGCGCGGCACGTTCTGCTGCCACCAGACGCCCGACGCGAAGACCGCCATGGCGTACTCCGGAAGGATCTTCGCGACCGTCGGATGGATCTTGTCCACGTGGACGTCGTAGCCGTGGCCGCCCTTGCCGTTCACCGTGCCGCGGGTTATGGCGTAGACGAGGTAGGGCGAGAAGAGGTGCTCGACAGAAATATTCATCCGGGGGAAATGCACGCCCTTGATGCTGAACACGCCCGCCGTGTTGCGCTGGTACGGCTGGGGAGGGAAAGGATTGGGGAGAAAGGGAGGGGGAGGAGATTGGGTAGAGCGGAAGGGAGAAGGGGAAGATGCTTGAAGCGCACGCCCTTGATGCTGAACACGCCTTGCGCTGGTACGGCTGCGGAAATGTGGGTGAGGGGACGAAGGGGGAGCACGTGGGGGGAGAGGGGGGAGGAGGTGAGCCGTTCAAGTCAACTCATATGTCAACTCAGAGCATGTGGGGGAAGTGAAACCCATAGGGAATGTGACCTTCCTCTCCCGTTTCTCCAACACTCCCAAACCTCCTCCCCCGGTTCCCCCGGTCCCCCCAGTCCCCCCGGTCCCCCCGGTTCCCTTGAAGCCGCGCTCACCTCGCCCGATGTGGATGGCGCAGAGCAGCACCTCCTTCCAGCCCCCAAACTCACCCCGCCCCCCTTCTCTCCCTCCCACACTTTCCCCCATCAGGAGCCGCGCTCACCTCGCCCTTGAAGCCGCCGATGTGGATGGCGCAGAGCAGCGCCTCGTAGAAGTTGGACATCATCGAGTCGCCCACCAGCAGCACTTTCTGCGGGGTGGAAGGGGGGGAGAGGGGGGGGGGAGGAAGAAGCGCGGGGAGCAGGTGGGGCCATGGCGGGGTGGGGGTTGACAGAGTGAGTGTCAAGGCAAAAGTTGGACACGACATCATCGAGTTGCCCACCAGCAGCACTTTCTGCGGCGGCATGGACGGGAGGGGAAGAAAAGCGGGGAAAAATAAGGGGGGGAAGGGAGGGAATTGGGGGGGGGGGGGAGTTGGAGAGGGGTGCAGAAGAGGGGGTGTTACAGGTGGGACCGTGTGATCGTCTAGACACGTAGAATAACGTGCTAATGTTTCCTTGAGGAGAATCGAGGGGAATCGAGGGGAATCGAGGAGAATCGAGGGGAATCGAGAGGAATCGAGGGGAATCGAGGAGAATCGAGGGGAGTCGAGGGGAATCGAGGAGAATCGAGGGGAGTCGAGGGGAATCGAGGAGAATCGAGGAGAATCGAGGGGAATCGAGGAGAATCGAGGGGAATCGAGGAGAATCGAGGAGAATCGAGGGGAATCGAGGAGAATCGAGGGGAATCGAGGGGAATCGAGGGGAATCGAGGGGAATCGAGGAGAATCGAGGAGAATCGAGGGGAATCGAGGGGAATCGAGGAGAGTTCGAATTCAGAGCGCCATCTCACCTTTCCCTTGAGCATGTACTTAAAGCCCGATGGGCTAAAGTAAGTATAGAGGCACTTGATGGGCTGCCAGCGGTACCACTGGAAGCGCATATCCGACCGTCCGTTGCGCTCGCACGAGAAATCCGACCGCACGTACGGGCACGAGTTCGGCTTCCCCGGGAGCGACGTGTACCGCGGAAAGCCTTTGGTCCCCCTCCGCCACTCCCCCGTCGTCAGGTCGCAGCGCGAGCCCGCGCCTGGTGGGGGAAACGGGTGGCGGAGTTGGCGACGGACGGGGTCGGATTGATCGGGGGAGGCGGAATAATCTGGGGTGTGCGTGGTGCGGAAGGTGCGGAAGGGAGGAGCGCAGACAGAAATCTATTAGGTGTGCATGGTGGTGCAGAATGTGCGGAATGTGCCCAGTTCAGTTGGAACGTTGGGATGTGCGGGAATGCAGGGCAATATTCTCTGACCTTGAGGCGCTAGCGCTGCTCCCGGAAGGGCGAGATGCGCAAGCACCCCAAGCGCCACGATAATAGGGATGACGGCAAAAGCCGCCGCTCCTAATGCGTAACGTCGCCTCGTCCCCGCTAATGTACTCATTCGGTAATTGCTAAAAGTTCCCATCTTCGTTCCTTGGCACGCGCACCGATGCAACACGGATTCCGGTTCTGGGTTACTTCCGAACAGATGCACGCGACCTTGTTCGAATTTGAGTGTGCAACGCCTGTTAGGCGAGTGAAGGCGGTATGCTAGGTGTGCAGCGTAGTCAGAGGTAGTCTACGAAGCGACAGAAGCTAGCGTGAGTAGATCAAATGATGGCGAGAGACGGTCGCCGACTGGTCGGGACGCTAGTGACTCTAGGGGCGTGGCCACAGGGAGGGGCGCTTAAGCTACTATGGGTACTGACGGGTTTTGGGCTAGGATGACAGCCAGATACAGCAGGCACTACAGAGGACCAGTTTTGGGCTTGACTGGGCATGCACCGGCGACATGAGAAGCAGGTGGCTCATGCGAAACGAACTGGCCGACAATGAATGGCTGGTGGTGAACTAATTGACTCAAGCCGCCATTTTCAGTCGAGAGGCGTGCAATGCGGCGTCTTGCCGGGATGCGGTCAGTCGGGACTTAGGCCTCGCTGGCTGCCTGAGGCTGGGACTCTAGTCGAATGTTCCAGTGAAGATATTTTTTCCCAAGAGCCGGCTGGTAGAAATGCCACAGTTTGGCGCTCACTGCGTAGCACAGAATCAGGGTCGCAGCGTTCCCAGAAGCCAAGGGAGCAGCGAGATTAGTGGGGTATGCGGGGTCGCCGAGCCAGCTCAATACTGGACGTCGGTACTTAGGTGATTCGTGCGGCCTTGCGAAACACAGCGTCGGTGGATGGACCAAAGCCAAAGATGCCATGGCAAGCCGAACGACACAGCACTGTACAGGAAGCCAGGGATGATGTGGGTGGGATGGGAGGAGGGAGTGGAGTCGAGTCGTGCGAATTTGGCCAGCCAATTTCCCTACTTGGTTGGACATCTCGAGCCGCGAAAACGAGCCGTGCATTGACCACAACGAAGTTCGTGCGTCGCATTGGGTTTGGGGCGAAAAATGTCGCGCGAATGACCACAATGGGTGCTCCCGCGCGAAACACAGGAATGCTTGGACGTGGCTCTGGTCAGAGCAGTGCAGAGCTCGTACACAGTGTGGACCAATTTCAAAATACGGTACACTAGTCACCAAAATGGAAGCAATCAATCACAAACCACTTTACAAGTTTCCCTCTCTAAGCAAAGTCGTTTCAACATCTCTACCACGCATTTCCACCAATTACTCGCCTCTAGTAAAATACGACAAGAGGCTGTAGGGCATTGAGATAAGGGCATGATAAACACCTTCACAGGGCATGGTGCCTGTGAAATGAGCTCTAGTCCGACTCCAACAGACAGAAGCCCCCCTCTCCTGGCCTAAACATCATAAGTCTCGTGATAAGTTACTGCACTCAAACACAAGCAACAAGCTTATACTGAAATTTAACTTAACCCCAGGCAGAGGCTAGGTAGTAGGTCCTTGATAGGATAGTCAGAAGTACAAGCAGTTTGCAACGACTGCAACAGCAAATGGTTCAAGCAGCACCCGGGTCAGAAAGTAGAAAACCACCCCCAACCCAATCGAAATGGGCAGTGCAGGCAGCGCTCGCTGCTGTAACGCCAAGAGCACTAGTGTAGCTCCGAGCCCTGCAATAATGGCAAGATAACACGCGTACACCGTCATCAAATCATACATCGCCGCCCGCCCCACCAGTACTCCATAGAAAATGAAGTCCCCCATTCCGAGCTTGATGGCACTTGGGAGGTCCGGGCCAAAGCTGCTGCTCGGCTCCAGGCTCGGGCTCTGCAGGTAGTGAATATCGTCTGGGTTCTCCATTGCACGAGAATGCACCTCTTGGTTTGTATGCGTGCCGAGCCTGTCAGGCTCGGCAGTCTGCTCTCTGCCGTGGCTGGTGCTGGTGGCAGTGGATGGTGCCGAACCTCTTGTGGCAGCAGCAGCTGGAGCAGCAAACTGAGCAGCGGACTGAGCAGCAGAGCTCCCAGCATCAACATTGTCAATATCACCTGCAGTGCCCCTAGCACCACTGTCAACACCAGCAGCAGTTGTAGCAGCGGCGGCGGCAGCAATCGCAGCTGCGGCAGCAGCAAAACCATGAGCACTGCTCACAACGCCACCTTGCTGCTCGCCATCCTCTACCAGAACCGAAGTCAAGTCACCTGACCGCCCACCCCTCCCCTCACAATCACCGCCACCCCTCTCCTTATGATAGTCGCCTCTGCTCCCCCTCTCGCCCGAGAAAAGCAAGCTGTGCGGCCGACTGCTGCTGCCGTCAGCAACAGAGTGCGGGAACCCATCTGAACCTCCTGGCACCGCTGCCCCTCGACTCACCTCAAACCCTCCCATCTGCCCACCAAAGCCAATACTCTGCCCGTCCATGCCAACCACCTGCCCCTCTATCCCCGCAATCTGCCCCTCCAGACCCGCCCGCATGCGAATGCCGCCGCTCACAGCCCCCATGCTCCACTCCGGTCCAAGCGACACCGCCCGAGAGATGGTCCCTCCCCTCCACCGCTCGCGTTCCCTCTCCCTCTCCCTCTCCCTCTCCCTCTCCCTCTCGCGCATGTGCTGGCTCGCAGCTTCCCTGAGCCTCGCTATCTCCTGCTCCACCTCCTCCTCTCCGCGTGCCAAAGACAGGGGTGGTACCGTGTCAGCTACAGTACTGTCTCCACTGTCTCCATTGTCTGCTGAGGGGGCTTTCCTCTCAGCTGTTACTGCTGCAGTTGCTGTTACAATGGAGCCATCATCCTCACACACTGCTGCTGTCACCGCCGCCACTCCCCCATCTCCTCGTCCTCCTCCTTCTCCTCCTCCTCCTTCTCCTCCTCGTTCTTCGCCCTGCACGACCATCCCACTCCCTCCTTCGCCCGATCTACTCCCCCTCACCTCTACACGTTCCCCATGCGCCAGACTCACTCTCACCACAGGCGCCACTGCTTCCTCCCCCCTCTCCCCCCCAATCCCCCCCCTCCTTTTCCCCCATCCACCAGACTGACCTGCTTAGGCGACGGCATAGAGAGCGTTCTCCCCACTCTCCCTACCCTAGAACCCCCTGCCCGCCCGCTCTCCCCTGCCCGCCTCCCCCTGCTGCTGCCTGGGCGGCTCCCACTACCTGACAGTTGGTCCGACGACCCGCTGTACACCGATTTGGTAAAAGACACCCCGCTTCCGCGGCGGTTTAAGTCGGCTGCCTGCTCGGCCCACTCTCCACTCCTCTCCTGTCCCTCCCCTCCTCTTCTCCCCAGCCCCTCCCCTCCTCTCCTCTCTGCTCCTCCTCCTCCTCCTCCTCCTCCTCCTCCTCCTCCTCCACCTGCTGCTAGTGATCCCATACCTTGACTCAACAGCGGCATCCCTTCACTCATTCCCTCCTCTCTCTCGCCCTCCAACCCCCTTCCCTCCCCTCTTTCCCCTCCCACCCTCTCATCCCCCCTTTCAGCCCGTGTAAGGCGTAGAGCGGAAGTGGCAGCAGCTGTCGCAGCAGCAACAAAGGCCCTCAGTGTACCAGCGACACCACCACTGCCACCACCACCGGTGGCAGCATTACCACCAGCAGCAGCACCAGTGGAAGTGCTTCCCTGCTGCAGGCGCCGCTCAAACTGGCCGCGCAGCCGCGTTCTCCTCGCGACACCAGCAACATCCCCTGCACTTCCTCCTCCTACACCCCCTCCTGCTCCTCCTCCTGCTGCTCTATCTGCCCGTGCAAAGGCTGTGGCGGGGGCAACAGTAGTACCACCAGTGACACCTGGGCTCAATGAAGGCTGAGCGGTGCTGTGGGATGGAGAGGGGTTGGAGGACGAGGAAGCAGACACCGAGGGGGGGAAGGAGGAGGAGGACGAGGAGGAAGCGGAGGAGAGTGGGGGGCGGAAGGGGCGAGCAGGAAGATTAGAGTGAGAGTGGGGTGGGGGGGGAGGGAGGGGCCAGAGGGGAGAGGGCGAGTGGCAGAGGGAAGACGAGAGGGGGGGCGAAGAAGAGGAGGAGGAGGGGCGAAGGGCATGGGCGGGGGGCGGGCTTCGTATATGAGTGCAGGGATGTCCTCGTCCCTCTGCATGGCGATGTCCAATAGCAGCTTGAGGGGGCCGACTGCAGGGGGAAGAGGGGGACATAAATGGACTTGGGTTTGTGGCTAAGGGAACGGAAGGGCATGGGCGGGGGGCGGGCTTCGTAGATGAGTGCTGGGATGTCTTCGTCCCTCTGCATGGCCATGTCTAGAAGGAGCTTCAGGGGGCCAACTGGGGGATCGGAAGGGGGGGAAAGAGGAGCGGGGGTGAATGTAAGCAGCTCTGTGGATGAGTGCTGGGATGCCCATTTTTTAGGCCCCTCACAAATAGTGCTGGGATGTCCTCGTCCCTCTGCATGGCCATGTCTAGAAGAAGCTTCAGGGGGCCGACTGCAGGGGGGGCAGGGGGGTGGGTGGGGGGAGGGGGCATAGATGGACATGGGTCTGTGGTTAAGCGAATGGAAGGGCATGGGCGGGGGCCTGGCTTCGTAGACGAGTGTTGGGATGCCCTTGTCTCGCGCCATGGCAATGCCATGTAGGAGCTCCAGGGGGCCCACTGAGGAAAGCACAAGCGGGGGACGGGGAGGCAGGTGGGAAGTGCGTGCACATGGCACTGTAGAGATGTGCTGTGATGAGATGACACGAGACGAGACGAGACGAGACGAGACGAGACAAGACGAGACGAGACGAGAGGAGAGGAGAGGAGAGGAGAGGAGAGGAGAGGAGATGAGATGAGATGAGATGAGGTGAGATGAGACGAGACGAGACGAGACGAGACGAGACGAGACGAGAGGAGATGAGATGAGATGAGATGAGGCGAGATGAGATGAGATGAGATGAGGTGAGATGAGATGAGATGAGATGAGATGAGATGAGATGAGATGAGATGAGATGAGATGAGATGAGATGAGGTGAGATGAGATGAGATGAGATGAGATGAGATGAGGTGAGTACCTGAGATGAGTGCAGCTTGGGTAGGCGGCATTACCTAGTGTGGGTGAGTACAGCATATGAGTCATACATCAACGTGGCAACAAGCACCATCCAGGTGGTCCATTCGGGCAGGCTGGAGAACCAAAAGGCAACGATAGGGAAGGCACTAACCAGGGTATGCGGCACCTTGGAAGGGCAGAACGGTACGCGTAGAGCAGAGAGAGATTTACCCTGGAGTGAGCATGGCGTATTGGCCATAAAGAGACATGTCAATGAGCAGTGAGCACCATCCACGTGGTCCATTCAGGCAGGTTGGAGAGCCAGAAGGCGACTATGGAAGTGGTGCACATACCTGGCGTGAGCACAGCGTATAGGTCGTAGAGCGACATGGCAATGAGCACCATCCACGTGGTCCACTCGGGCAGGTTGGAGAACCAGAATGCGACTATGGCCCCCACGGCGACGAGGTAGGCTTGGGTGAGGAAGATGGGCATGCGGCAGAAGAAGACTGCGAGCACGCCCACCACCGACAGGTTGTACAGGAGCAAGGAGAATGTGACTATATCGATGGGGATGGAGAAACGCTGCACTTGGACACGGGGGAGGGGAGGGGCGGGAGGTGGGGGAGAGGACACGGGAAAGAGAGAAAGGAAAGGGCGGAATGAGGCCAGGGATTGGGAGAAGTGAGCGCGGAGAAGCACGAGGAGATTGACGCCCCCACAGCAAAGGGCGATGAGGAAGAACTGGGTGAGGAAGATGGGCAAGCGGCAGAAGAAGACTGCGAGCACGCCCACCACCGAGAGGTTGTACAGGAGCAGCGCGGATGTTACAATATCGATGGTGATGGAGAAACGCTGGGAGGTGGGGGGAGGAAGGCTGGGGAAGGAAGGAGGCAGGGGTGGGGGAAAGAGAGGGAGGAAGGAAGGGATGAGGGGAAGTAGAAATGGGTAGAAAGGGGTAGAAAGGGGTAGAAGGGGAGAAGTAGGCCTAGGGGAGAGAGAGGCAGCAGCAGCAGCAGCAGAGACCACACCTGGATCAACTGAACTGCCAGTGTGCCGCCCAGCCCAGCGAATCCTGAGAACCCCATGTAGCCCCAGATGCAGCGCGCGCACCCGCACCAGAACAGCCCCACCAGCAGCACAGTGGTGTAGGTGAGCGCGAGGGAGAGAGACATGGGTAGGTAGCATCACAGAAAAGAGATTCCCACCTGAATCATTTGCACTGCCAGTGTGCCGCCCAGCCCAGCGAATATGACGAATCCCGAGAACCCCATGTAGCCCCAGATGCAGCGCGCGCACCCGCACCAGAACAGCCCCACCAGCACGAACGTGGCTGCCGTCACCAGCGCCACCATCGCCGCTGCATTCAGCAACGCGCCCCATAGCCGCTGCCAGGGCGCGTCCGTGCTGGTCAGAGGAAAAGCAGAGGGAGGGAGGGAGGGAGGGGAGGGGGGGGGAAAGACGGGGGTGGGGGGGGATGTTTCAGTGAGGCGTGGAGAAGGCAGCAGAACCGAAACCATCATCCCAAGAGCACAGCGGTCGCTGCCGTCACCAGCGCCCCACGCCACCGTTGATAGCTGAAAGCGTTACGCAGCGCGCCCCACGTGGTTAAAGCACCGAGCAGCATGCATACATCTCTTAGCCGCACATACCCCATTCTACGCATGCAGCACGCGTGCCTCTCTTCCTGGTACACCCGTGTTGCGATGGTAGGCGCAGTGGTTGACGCGCCGTGGGGTGTGAGCCCCACCACGAGCCCCACCACGAGCAGCATGCATCAGCTTTTGAGGCGCCTCTAAAGCAGTTGACGCGCCATGCGGGGTGAGCGCCAGCACGAGCCCCACCACGAGCAGCATGCATCAGCAGCACACGTACCTCTCCTCTTGATACACCAGCGTTGCGATAGTGGGCGCAGTGGTGGACGCGCCGTGGGGTGTCAGCGCCAGCACGAGCCCCACCACGAGCAGCATGCTGATCGACACGGGCGTCACAATCGCCACTATCTGCTCAAGGAGCACTGAATCCCCTCGAAGCAGCAAGCGTACCTTTCCTCTTGGTATACAAGGGTGGCGATGGTGGGTGCAGTGCTTGACGCGCCGTGCGGGGTCAGCGCCAGCACGAGCCCCACCACGAGCAGCATGCAGATCGACACGGGCGTCACGATCGCCACTATCTCCTGTCCTAGCGTCTCCAGCAACCCGCCCTCCTCGCCGAACCTCTCGCCGAACCTCCCTCCGGACCTCTCGCCGAGCCTGTCCCCAGACCGCTCTCCGGACCCCCCTCTGTTACCCTGAGCCGGCACGTAGTCGTGTCGCCTGACATCTCGCCGCGCTTGCGAGAGAGGTGGGCGATCTCTGCTGTCGCATGGACGATCGCTGGCGTCGCGAGGGGGTCGCGGGCCTGTCAGCGGCTCCGACTCGAGAGCCTCCTCCTCTTGGCGGGAAAGCAGCGACCGCGACGCACATTCCGGATCGGAGATCTCAATCTCGTGACGTGGACTTCCATGATTGGCCTCGGTGATCTCATTACGTGGAATAGGATGGGAGGGGATCGCAGGAGCTGATAGTTTCACCCCTCCTGGCAAAGACGCTCCTGACGAAGATGCTGCTAACGAAGACGCTGGTGACGCTGACGCTAATGCGGACGCTGCTGTTCCTCGTCCTGCTGCTGCTCCTGTTGCTGCTTGGCTCGACTTCTGTGCCTCAGGGTCATCCGACGGTGCTGACCCACGCATCCTGAAGGTTCAGTGTTCCTCTACTGAGGAAGAACAGCGAGCTCAGCTAGACCGCCGTTTGTAAACCCGCAAGCTCTAAAAGATAAGAGAAGAAAGTCACCCTGCCTGCTATTTCTTTCTCCGGCCCGCTTCATGGCCAGACCATTTAGCCGAAGAGCTGGCGGAGATCGCTAGGTTATGCTGTGACTGGGATAATCCCAAGGGTGGCTGGTTGGGGGATTTCACAGGCGCAGCAGCAAGGTGGGCTTGCGCGGGAAGAAAGAGGAACGCCTCATACAAATGTGCACACGAAAGTCATGCTACTGCTACATGGTGGTTGGCGAAATTACCTTGTTACAGTACAACATGCTGCTGATGGTGGATATATGTCATGCAACATACAAAGATGGGAATCTAATGTTCTTCATAGCACCAAGATATGGTTTCTACTGCAAGAAACCTAAAATCCATACTCCCTACCCAAATGCGCTGTTGCGTCGTTTCTAAGCAGCAACCTAAGCTAGTTTCGGAAGAACATAGCGGATGAAAAGGTAAATCGCCGGGGCCGTGAAGATGTAACTATCGGTGCGATCCAGGATGCCTCCATGACCCGGAATGAGCGAGCCAGCATCCTTCACCCCAGCCTGTCGCTTGAGTGCCGACTCGAATAGATCACCAAAAAGAGACGAGGCAAAGACAATCACCCCAAGCACCGCAGCACTGCAGAGGGGAGGGGGGGAACCATGAGCAAAATACGAAGAAAATAAGGAGCTGGTCTTCAAGAGGGAACCTGTTGCACATTCTCAGCAAATGACCTATGTAGAAGCCCTATGAAAGCAGGTGAATTCCACGTGACAGTAGGAGAACAGATAGGAGTGAGCATACAGCACCTGATGGGCATGGGAGTTCAGCTGACAGCCTTGGAGAGAGGAGAGGGGACACAGACTGCTGAGGCAAAACCAAATCAATTTCAAGGTGTTTCAAAACTATTCAAGAGAGAGCATACAGCACCTGATGGGCTTGGGAGGCCAGCTGAAGGCCATGGAGAGCACCACCGACACACAGATTGCCGAGGCTAGCCCAAACACTGCCCCTTCGACTGTCTTCTTCGGGCTAAGCTCTGTTGGGGGGGCATACGGGACAGGGGCATAAGCGGTAAGAGGTAAAAAGGGGGCGGGAAGGTGGTGGGATGGGGGGGGAAAGGGGGAGAGAAGAATCCAACACAGTCAATCTCCCAGAATCCAACAGTCAATAGGTGGCTCTGCCGCCCAGGTAAGCCCAAAAACCCTCTGGTGTCAGCGGGAGTGTCCCCCGCAAACCCCATGAAGATGGCTACGGGGCTTGGCTACTTCCAAACCACCCCATTTCAAAGGGCAACTACTCACCAGCAAGCCCCCCTCCCCCCTCCCCCCCCCCACCCCTCACACCCACCAATGAGCGGCGTCTTGCCGAAGCTTTTCCCGCCCAGGTATGCCCCGGTGTCAGCGGCAATGACCCCGGCAAAGCCCATGAAGATGGCCACGAGCCCCGTGGTCCAGAGCGACGAGCCTCCCAGCAAGGCGGGCCACAGCCTCGCCACTGGCGATGTCGTGGTGGCTGCTGATGAACCCAACCCACACCGCAGCTGATTGGGTGGGGGGAGGAGGCGGGCGGGAAGGGAGAGGGAAGGTGGGAGAGGTAAACCAAAGGGAAGCCCATGAAGATGGCCACCAGCCCCGTGGTCCAGATCGAGGGCCCTCCCAACAGGGCAGGCCAGAGCCTTGCCACTGGCGATGTTGTGGTGGCTGCTGTAGACGCCAGCCCACACCGCAGCTGATGGGGGGAAGGGGGAAGAGTGGGTGGGGGCAGGGGGGATGGGATGGGAGGGGAGGGGAGGGGAGGGAGGATGAGACTGAAGGAGAGAGGAGAGGGAAAGATGACGCACCAGCCGCGACCAGGAGCTGAACAAAAGGGTTCATGAGCACCCTCACAGCCAGAAGGACTTGTATGTAAATAGGCAGGACTAGTTCACACAAGCGCCATACGCATCGTTACCCAGAAGCTCTCAACAAGGCATTATTTCGTGACGGGTTCGGTAAGGCATCATTTAATGTACGCTAGTCCTCAACCATACCGCGACCCAGAAGCTGTTCCTCACCGTGACCCAGAAGCTGTAACTCACCGTGACCCAGAAGCTGTAACTCACCGTGACCCAGAAGCTGTAACTCACTGTGACCCAGAAGCTGTAACCCACCGTGACCCAGAAGCTCTAACTCACCGTGACCCAGAAGCTGTAACTCGCCGTGACCCAGAAGCTGTTCCTCACCTTGACCCAGAAGCTGTAACTCACCGTGACCCAGAAGCTGGGCAGGAAGCCGCAGTAGAAGAGGCCACAGACATAGCCGGTGAACTGGCTCCACCGGGGGCGCCTGGGCTGAGTCAGCAGCATGGCCAGCAGCAGCCCGCCAGCAAACTTCGCTCCCGGTGTCAACAGCCCGCCATTCACCCTGCCATGAAGATGGGAGGGTCACATGCTTAAAGGCCTGAGATATTTCAAACGAAAAGGTACCGCATAACATTCCAGGAAAGAGACCATAATCAGGCAATCAAACAATCCGTTGACCGGAGCATACCCCCGCAAAGACAGCATCATGTTCCAATTTGCGATAGTGCTTATGGCGACCAGAAGCGGTTTCGGATCGTTTAGTTGCCTCAGAAAAAAACTTTCATGCACAAATCACCCTTTTGCACAAAACAGTTCATGGGCGAAGCACCGCGTGCGGAAGGCACCGCCTGGTGAGCACTAAGGGCGGTCGTGGAGGAATAACTTGGTCTGTTTTTCTTGGTCTGCTTTCCTTGTGAGTTCGTTCTATTTCGTTCTGATTCGTTCTGGATCGTTCTGCCTTCCCCGTCATACCTTAATCAGAGCGAATAAGGAAACGCAAGAACCATGACCTGACTACTAAACCCCATCCTACTTGGTCCTTGACCCCCTTCCCCATCCCTTCCAAACCCTCCTTCACCACCCAACTCGCGCTTCCTTCCTCCGAACCTCTCAACGCCCTTTCCGGCCACTCTTACTCCCCTAGGTTATCCGCAACTCCCCCCTACACCATTCACAACTAGTCCCTCACCTTCCAAAACGCTTCCTCACAATATCCCACACGAACCATGCTTTTCCGCATCCCATACAATTTGGCCTCAATGGCAACACGCGAGAGTTCAGCCCACGAATAAAACCCACAGCGATCGCCGCAAAAGCGCAACCGAAACCCTCACGATATGATCCACCATATCGGAACTGGGTCCGTATAAAGCATCGCAGCAATTTTCTAGAAAACTTACATGGCAATGAGCGGCATGATGGCGCAGCCGATGCAGCCGATGTAGACCGACAGCCGCGAAGGCGCGGCCACGTTCAGCAGCTTCGCACGCGCGTTGACCAGGTTGAAGTACTCCGCAGTACCGAGCAGCACCACTCCCGTCAGCAGAACCGTGAACAGCCAGCTTCCCATCAACAACCCACCGAACGCCAGCACTCCGGCCAGCGAGCCGAACTTCACCCGCCGCCAGAACTTCCCCTGAGCGGCCTGCTCCTCCTTCGGCTGCTCCTGCTGTTGCTCCACTTGTGGTTGGACCTGCTCCTGCTCGGTTTGCTCTTGGGACGGAGCAGAACTGTCAAACGCAGCAGAGGAATTGCCTGAATCGGACGTCGCCCCTCGGCTGCTGCTACTGGAGGCATTCTGGTCGGAAGATTGCGACATGGAATAAAGCGGCAAGGAGCTGATTCTGCCAGATGCTCCCTGCGCGTCTGCGTTTGCAGTGACACCTTCTCGTGACCGTCTTGTCAATCGGTTACTGGGGTAGTTCGTGTCCATCTTTATGAGCGTCAATCTCTGTAAGCTTCCCACTGAAGCCGGATCTCTTGACAGGTGGTGATAACGCGAGGAACATGCTGATCTGACAGAGTTCTCGCGTTTATTGAGGCAGATTAGTTGACCCGATGAAGTGTATTTCACAGCTTTTGATTCAAGCTGGCTATGACAGGACGTAGGGTTTCCGTTAACGAGAGCGGGAAGTGTTCCAGGCCTTGATCGACATAACTCTAAGGCGGGCTGCATGTTGTCGTCCTTAAAGCCTAGTAATATTAACTGTAAAGATCTACAGCCTTGACGAAACTAAGTGGGGGCTGTATATCGACCAGCAAAGGTCATGAGCACAGCACGTAGAATCGATCTTGAGTCCACTCCAAGTAAGGTGAAGGAGCGGCGATGAAGGAAGCTTTAAGTTGCACAACTCTCCATTGGGTGACTACAGGGCTTGGTTGACTGCAGTTCTAAGTTGCACAACTCTCCAGCCAAGCCAGATCGACGCTGGAGAAGGGTCAGAAATGCACTGGTCGTTTTTGGATCAAGTTTCACCAACAGGGATGCATCATGTAGGTGAGGCAAGCCGAAGGGCGAGTTTCGTCGGCAGAAAAGGTTGGTAACCATGTGATTAGAGGACCACTCAATTCGTCCCTATCCACTTACGTAAGGTGGGTGTGTGACTGACGCAGACTGGCCCAACCTGGGGCTTCGTGAGTGCTGCTGTGGCGCTGTGCTTCGTCATCGCACCGTCAGGCTGGGCGAAATGAGTGGTGTGTCAATTTCGTCGCCCGAGCTTCGCGGAAAGTTACCCATCCATTCTCAAGGTTTTCGCTGTACGGTAAATTATTTGTGAAGGTAACGAAGTTGCAATTTTTTCGTCACACACGGAAATTTGTGGTCGGAGCTATAACGGGAGATGCTGACGTGTGCAATTTTTTTGAAGAGATCCAACTCAACAGCCTCTGCCGCAGTCAGACGTGGTTGGCGCGAACAGTTGAGAGAACCGCAAAAAGTTCGCGTTTTCCACGCTGGACATTTTAGCGTTTCAGCACGATATCTGTTGCCACATAAGCATCTCTCTGCTCACATCTGCACGAACGGCGGTACCAGAGCGCGCCACATCAGAGTACCTTTCACCCTCCTGTTGGTGGACGTCCTCGATTGATGGTGTTGACTGGATAACGCCCAGCTCGAACCTATCCACCACACACTGGCATCCGTGGCACGGAACTCTCTCATCTCGTCCCCCCATTTCCCCCCATCACCCACACACCCCACGTGTTATAACATCTTCGGATCCACGCCTTCCATCAATCAGTGCAAGCTTTCACACTCGAACTACTTTCTTGCTCCTTTTCCTCCCAGGAAAGGAATATGGCTTCCATCACCTCGTCCGCTGTTGTTGCCCCAGTTGCCTTCAAGGCAACTGTTGAGGCCTCCGCAGCCTCCTCCAAGTCGGTGTCCTTCTCCGGCCTGAAGGCTGGTGTTGCCGGCCCCAACGGCCTGGCCACCAAGACCGTCTCCAACGGCAGCCGCGTGTCCTGCATGAAGGTCAGTGTTCATCGGTGCCTCCACTTTCGGTGAATCCGTCTTCGTGTTCCGTCTTTTCTTGCGAACACACACCTGCACATACGATTGTCTCGTTGTCCCGCTACTGCTCTTCTTACACCTCGAGCGAAACCCCCTGATAACGCTTCCGTGAAATATGCAGGTGTGGAACCCCATTGGCAACCCCAAGTTCGAGACCCTGTCCTACCTTCCCCCCCTCACCGACGATCACATCATCAAGGAGATCCGCTACATGCTCCAGAACGGCTGGATCCCTGCGATTGAGTTCGACCCCAGCGGTGTTGTGTACAGGGAAAACAACAGCGGCCCCGGCTACTATGACGGCCGCTACTGGACGATGTGGAAGCTGCCCCTCTTCGGCTGCACCGATGCGTCCCAGGTTCTCAGGGAGATCAACGAGTGCAAGTCTTCCTACCCTGGTTGCTTCATCCGCGTTCTGGGCTTCGACAACGTGAAGCAGGTCCAGTGCATGTCCTTCATTGTCCACAAGCCATAGATTGGCAACTATTTGTCGATGTAGCTTTCTATAACTAAACAACTTGTAGCACCTCGTGACTTATTCCACGTGGTAGCTTGAACCAAAATGAATACGTGAAACCTTCCCAGATTGCGTTCAGCAACACTAATCGCCAGCAGCCGATCACAGTAACCTATCGGGGAAACAACCCACGGTCGGGTCACAACACCTTGGGCCACTTGGTACAGCCAATATTATGACACGATACAACACAAACAAGCAGTTGTTGAAAATAAACTGAGAGATGAACGAAGATGGTTGTCGTTGGCGTGTAAAAACAAGAGAATGTTGTGCAGGGTGTATAATTATATATTAAGTTATATAATTGTTAGGCTTGGTAAGTTACCGAACTTTATTGTAGAGGGTACAATCCCCTCCTTGTATGCCTCTCTCTTTCTATTCCAATCTCTTTTCTCTCAACTTTTCTCCTTCCTAAACCTCACGCTACTCCATGACTCCTAGCTAAACCTAATGCCTTTCCTAGCTTACTAGCTGTTGGGCTGAGAAAAGCCTTTAGGATCTTTCCAGAGATGCTTGAGTATTGCAGCGGAAGTTGAGTAGTTGAACCCTTGCACTAGTATGAGAGCAAGTGATTGATTAAAATAACAAGCATACAGCAATATATAGAAAGTAGGAAAGTAAAGCAGTTGTAGAATACAGTTGAAGAGCGGTTATCGAGTCGCACAGCGACTCGATTGTCGCTTCGGTTACCATTCTTGCAGTTGTAACGGTCAGTCGCAACCTCCGGTTGCGACCCTTCGAGTCCTTTCGTGTTCTTTGTCCATCCCCTCGTGTAACTTCCGTTGACTCGCGTACCCGTTACGATCTTCCTCGAGTGTGATGTTTACACTTCAGAAACGCTTAAGTCCTCGAGATGTTTCCAACACTAGCTAAGCTAGCCTTTTAACATGGTACTAGATGTTAAAGTAGCTCTAGGCTAGGATACTAGGTAGGAACACGGCCGCCATGAATGTGGCGGCGGGGTTTAGGTAGGAGCTGGACGAGAGTGTCGAGAGAGAAGAGAGAATTGGATTAGGAAGAGAGGGGAGTACAAGGAGGGGTTTGTACCCCCTACAGAAACGTTCAGTAACAACCTACCAAGCCTATATTAAATTATAACTTATATAATTTGAACACACCCCTTAGGCTTGGTAGTGTCAAGCCCTCTCACACCCCCACACCCACACCCACACCCACACCCCCTAGCCCAGCACCCCCATTCCCAGCAGGAGCCGCAACGACTCCGGAAGTGGGCAGCTCCCACGGCCCTTGGGACGGCAATGGCGGCAGCAGTGACGGTGACGACAGCGGCGGCGGCGGCGTGCGGCAGCGCCCGGCCCGCGGCAACAGCGGCGGCAGCGGCGGCATGAACGTCAGATGCTGGTGCAGCGGCCCCCGCCCTCTCGGCGGCATGTCCAGTCCCTCGGCAGTGGGGAGGGCCCTCAAGAGGCAGTCGTTGGCTGCAGCAAGGAAGGGGGGGGAAGCATGGGAAGGAGGGGGGAGGAGGGGGGGGGGGGAGAGGGGCGCGGGGCGTAGTCCAGAATCACGTCGGCGGCTGCAGGGCGGGCGGCAGGTCCGGCGGCACCATTGACGATGCGCGGCCGGCTGTCGCCCGATGACGCCGCCAAGGCAGTCTTACGACGCCGCTAGGCCGACGACGCACCACGGAAGCTCGGCGGCGCCACCACGGCGCCGCATCGTCGCTGCGGCTGCTCGGCGACACTGAGACGGCGGCACTTAAAAGAAGCCGTCGCGGCATCTCGGAGAAGCTGCCACGGCGGCAGGAAGTTGGAAGGCAGAGATCGAGTACGCAGCGGAAGCACGGAGGGGAGCAGGCCCAGGGAGGGCGTCCTGCTCTCGATACCATGTTAAAGTAGCTCTAGGCTAGGATACTAGGTAGGAACACGGCCGCCATGAATGTGGCGGCGGGGTTTAGGTAGGAGCTGGACGAGAGTGTCGAGAGAGAAGAGAGAATTGGATTAGGAAGAGAGGGGAGTACAAGGAGGGGTTTGTACCCCCTACAGAAACGTTCAGTAACAACCTACCAAGCCTATATTAAATTATAACTTATATAATTTGAACACTAGAGCAGGAGTTCCTCCCTGCTGGACCGCCTCCTCACGCTTTCGACGCGTACTCCTTGCCCTCGTTCGCTCGCACGGCCATGGCGGTCGTGTTGTGCTGCAGTGGCGGCGTCGTGCCGCTGCCGTCTCGACGCGCTGCCGTGGCGTCAGGCCGCCGTGCTGCCGTCGTAGCGTCGACGTCCCGCAGCAGCGTTGACGCCGCTCTGTAACGGCGGCGTCGGGCTGCAACTGACCGCGCGACGCCTGTGGCGCTGCTAAACTGCCCACCCGCACGCCAGTCAACCGCGCGAAGCCTGTGGCGCCGCGCTGAAGATCCGAAGCCCCGCCCCTTGTCAAACATGTGTATCTGTAATGTTTGCATAGACTGTATAGGGTTACCTCTTAGAGGGTACAACACTTAGGTATTCACTTGTACTCTCTCACTACTCATTTTATTACTCAGTTCTAAGATGGTATCAGCAGTAGGTAGGTCCCCGCGCCCGCCCATGCTTCCGCCCTAGGCCGTAGCCGCCCCCGCGCCCGTCCTAGTCGACCCCGCACCCATCCTAGCCGCGCCCGCGCGCCCGCCCTAGCTGCGCCCACCGCGCCCGTCCTAGCTGGCCCCCGCGCCCGTCCTCACGTCCCTCCCGCGCCCGTCCTCACGGCCCTCTCGCGCCCGTCCTAGCTGGCCCCGCGCCCGTCCTCACGGCTCCCGCGCCCGTCCTAGTCGGCCCCGCGCCCGTCGTAGTGGACCCCGCGCCCGTCCTACAGGCCCTCGCGCCCGTCCTAGTGGCCCCCGCGCCCGTCCTACCGGCCCTTGCGCCCGTCCTTACCGGCCCCGCGCCCGTCCTACCGGCCCCCGCGCGCGTCCTACCGGCCCTCGCGCCCGTCCTAGCCGGCCCCGCGCCCGTCCTAGCCGCCCCCGCGCCCGTCCTACAGGCCCCCGCGCCCGTCCTAGCCGGCCCCCGCGCTCGTCCTAGCTGGCCCCCGAGCCCGTCCTACAGGCCCTTGCGCCCGTCCTAGTGGCCCCCGCGCCCGTCCCACCAGCCCCCGCGCCTGTCCTAGCTGGCCCCCGCGCCCGTCCTAGCCGGCCCCGCGCCCGTCCTACCTGGCCCCCGTGCCTGTCCTCGCCGGCCCGGCGCCCGACGCTACTGGCCCCCCCGCGCCCGTTCTGCCGACCCCTGCGCGCGCCCTGCCCGTCCATCTCCGGCCCCATGCTGATCTTCCCGTCGGACTGCCGCCGATCTGCGTGCGGCCCGCTCTCCGTACCTGCTACTGCATTGCATCCTCCCTGGTACGGTTCTCCATCATCTTGCACCGCACTGCACCCCCCTGCACCGCACGGCACCGCGCTGCATCGCACTTTACCGCGCTGCACCGCACTGTACCGCCCTGCACTGCACTGGACCGCGCTGCACTGCCTCACCTAGCCCTGCCCTGCACTTTTCCTGATGGCGTCGGAGCTTCGCTTCGACGCTAAAGGCCAGCCTCTGGAGTTCGAGGCCTGGCTAGCCGACCTCCGCCGCCACCTCACTGGTCAGCGGCAGGATGGTCACCCGCTCTCGACACACATTGACAATACGCTTCCCTGCCCAGACCCCCCTGCTGTGCTGCCCGCTGACCCCACACCTGCTGAGCGCGAGTCTACTGCGGCCGCTGCCCTCGCTCGCTCTGTCTGGCTTTCCCGTAACGCTGTCTTATAGCTTGCCATTAGCAATGCCCTCCCCCCGTCTGAGCGTCCTCGCTTTAGGTCTATCACCACCACCCAGGCTTTCTTAGATGCTGTTATCCGGTGCTATTCCGCCCCGCCTGCTGCCTCGATGGGTCGCCTGATCCTACCGATGCTCTTTCCTAACCTTGCGTCTTTCCCCACTGTCGCTGACCTGGCTGCCCACCAGCGCACGATAGATGAGACTTGGCGCGCTGGCTGCACTGACGCACAGCTTAGAGCCCACCAGCCGACCCTTACCTCTACCTTCTACCTGCTTGCCCCGCCTCCCTGACCGCCTTGCCGCTGCTCGTGACCGCTTCCTTAGCATTCACCCCGGTAACCTCACCCTCACAGACTTTGTAGACACCATGACTGTTATTGAGACCCGCCACCGCTCTATCGCCTAGGCGAGCGGTACTGTGCCGGTCCCTATCTTTCAGGGTTGTGCCCCCGCTTAGTGCACCTTCTCCGATGGTTCTGCAGCTGTGGCTGAGACCGCCGCTGCAGCGCAGTTCCGTCGGGGGAAGGGCCGCCGCCCCAAGGCTGGGCGCGGCGGAGGTGGTGGGGGTGCCAGTGGAGGTGGTGGTGGAGTTGGGTCGTCTGGTGGTGGAGTGGACGAGGGGACCTTACCAAGTCCAGCTGAGCAGCCGCCCCAACAGCCGCAGCAGCAGCAGCAGCCGCACCAGCCGTAGCAGCCGCCGCAGACGAGGTAGGCGAGTGCCCTCCCGCCCGGGTGGCCTGGCGCTGGTGGTGGTCGTGCGAGTGGTGGTGTGCAGGGTGGCGGTTCGGGAGGCATGCGCTGTCAGTACCAGATCCAGACCGGTCCTCGCCGCGGCTTCGTTTGCGGTAAGATCGGTCACACAACTGCGCGCTGTTTTCATCGCCTGGACGACCTGTTTCGTCAGCGTTTCGGCCTGTCGCCCGACCTCTCGGACTGGCACAGTTTGCTTAGTCGTAGGATTCATTTTTTTGACATGGACATGGATGCCATTGTTTTTGCCCTGCATGTGATGTATGCTGATGACTCTAGTGTGCTCCCCTCTTATTACTCCTTGTCGCCTAGTGTAGATGTGCCTAGCTTAGCCTCCCCTGCTATGTCAGGCGTAGGAGCTTCTGCTTTGTTTAGCCTTGGTGCTTCCACCGTAGCCTCGTCGCCAGACGCCACTGCTTCGCTTTCCTTCACCTTGGACTCTGGCGCTTCCCGGTGTTTCTTTCGTGACTCTACTACGCTGACGCCGCTTCCTATTCCTGCTACAGTTTCTCTTGCTGACCCCTCTGGCGGTCCCGTAGCTGCTCGCAGTTCCACCACCC